GTATGGGCTGAGTCGGGATATGGGAATCGGGATTTCCGCCGCACGCCCCCAGTCTGCTCTCGAGTGCAGTTCGCTGCACGCGCCCCGTCGAAGGCACCTGCTTGACTGACCGACGTGGCGCGTTTATTCGAGGCGGTCCTTCTTTTTCCTGCTCGCCTCGATTCGGCCTGCACTCGGACTCCGCGCTGCAGGCCGCTTGATTGCTCCAAGCTGTTGCCTTCCGTTCGCAGGCTCTTTGCCGTGGCACAACACCAACATCGACTAGAGTGTCTTTTATCGGCGATCCAATTTTCAACATTGCATCGGCTTTCCTCGTATACGCGCCTCGCCTGCTCTCATCAATACCAATTCCATTGATTTTCGCTAAAAATCGTCTTCTTCCTGCTCTCGTGTCAGCTTCGATAATCCGATTCCGCCAGAGCATTCGACAATTCGATCGATAAAATTTTTTCCTTCAAATGTCTGTTACGTACCACTTCGATACTAAGATTCTCCATTATTTACTCGACAATTAGTTATCTGATTACTCGCGATTGAATCTCCGAATTTCCCTTATTAAATATTTCACGAAGGCATTCAGCGAATAGACGATAGAATTTGCTCCGTTCTATTAGCAGTCGGGTGAATGAACGATAGCGACTCATTGTCGCCGCAGTCGATTAAACGAGTTAAAGAACGTGGCACTTTGGCGTGAATGCTACAAGTCGAACGAGCACACGGGCTTGTGGCGTTCTTAGCATTATTCAATGAGTAAGAATAATTTGACGAATGGATTTTCATAGCAACGACTCCCAGCCAAAGACGTTTTCCTTTGATTCAAGGAGATTGGCGGGATATTGGCGCGTCTCGCTGACGCCCCATCAACTATCATTTTTTTTTCAACTATCGCTGCCAAGCAAGTAGACGCGAATTCTTTCGTTTGTTCATTTGCCGACCAGTAGCGCGAAAAAATGACGAGATATGAGAGGAAGAGGAAGTCCGTCCATTAGGAGTTTGGCGCTAACGCGACTGCGTCGCTACGCGAGCCCGTTGGCAGAAGCCTTCGAGGGTATTTGCAAACAGCTGTGATCGTTGCGCATTAGTAGATTGTCGATCGAGCAATCGAGTCCAGCGTAACTTGAAACTCGGTAATTAATAGAGAGCGCCAAGTAGCAAAGTCCGCGTGCGGTCAGGCGCGTCGGCGTGTGTGAGTTCATTAGCGAAGAGAGCGAATTGGCCGGCTTTCTCGCAGCTTTGAGAAGAAAAATGGGCCGAGCGAGCGCACACGCACATCGCAAATTGCGTTGCATCAATTAATATGCAGATTTTTTAATGCAGATGCATTCCTCTGCATGACGTTGAGCTCTTCATAGCGTGACCATAGCAAGTGGAATTCGTTTGCAAATATGAATAACAGTGGGCTCATTAGCGCGACTACTTTAAATATTTATGCACTCTTTCGCTGGCCTCGCGGCGCACTAATAACGTAGCTTGAAAAGTGGACTATTTAATCGGCGGCTTACAGCCGCGCTCAAATACGAGTATATTTGCGACGGTATACGTACGAGTACGTGCGCGTTAACAAGGCAAGATGCACGAAAGTCAGCAATGAGTCCGGCCCAAACTTGGCCTTTGATTCGCAGTCCAACTTGAACTTTTTGGACACTCGTTGATTACGCACCCATCAGCCGACGAACGCGTGCCTTGCCCCCTTGCCCTTCCGACGCCAACCAACTTCCGCGTCGGTGTGCACGGATTATCCGCGCCCGCTGTTTCTCTGCTCCTTTGAGCTTTCACTTGGTCCAATGTGGCTCGCTCTTTAGAATAGGCGCTGCTCCTCGAGCCAATTATACAATTGCCTCCGTCTAATACCAGACCTACTTATTATGCCGATACGCGTTGTGCTTTGCGTCAAGATGAACGAAGCCAGCAGCGAGCGGAGAAGAGAATTGTTTCTGATTTTTTCTGGGAATAACCTAGCTCATCCATTCAAATCAAGCCAGCTCGCAGATTCGGCGGGAAAAGCCAAATTTAATTAAGATAAAAAACATTTTTTTCAGTTTGACGAGAAAGGACTGGCTTTTAGTGTTTTTTCGTAAAAGGTATAGAATGCGAATATGAGAGGATAGAGAACGCACGGAGGAAAACGCAGAGAATGAAAAGAGGGAAGCGCAAAAAAAAAAGGTGCCAATGCTAGTCAATCACGGAGCTTGACGTGTGTGTACGTGCCGAGCAGTCGGTTTTCGCATTTCCCCGGAAAAACGTAGTCATTTCGCGCAAAAATAGCGAAACTCTCGCCTACAGCAGGCGTGGCGAGCGGCAAAAAAAGTACTGGCCGCAAGTCGATTTATTACCCTTTTAACGCGAGGCGAACAGATCGAGCTCGGCGCCGCCGCCGAGCCGAATATAGACGTGTGCGCGCATACAGCGCGGCACGAGCACGCGCAGCAAAAAAACATGAGCGTAATGGAAAACGTCGACTTTAATCAACTGCCGACTGGCGTGTCTCTTCGCACCTCCATCCATTGTTTTTCACCAAAATTCGATGCGCGCAGAGGCAGATCATCGGATTCTCGCTGTATTGTGCATCGCTGCCTGTTCGAGCAACTCTTTTTTGCTACTCGACGCCTCAGCAGAAAGCTTCACTGACTGATCTGCGTTCTCCCGTACAGCGTAACCTTCGTTAGACCTCTTTCCCGTCGCTCCAGAGCTATTAACGCTAATCGCGCCTCGGCTACTTTTACATTTTTTAATTAAGGATTAGATCTGCTTGCGTCGCATTGACCCACGTTGACCCGCGTTCACCCGCAAAGACGGCTCAAATCGTCCAGGGTCTCGCTTGTAGCTGCTGCTTTTGCGGGCGGGATGGCAGCTTTCCACGATAACGCACGCTAAATGCACAAATAGCCGAAGCGTTATGGTACTTTAAATGCCTCTACTGTGCTAATAATTGGCATTCAAGTTAAAATGCAAATTTCATGGCGCATAACTCGGACTAAGAGAATAGCCAGTTTGGCGAATAAAACTATATCGATAGCCAAACGAGGATAAGCTAACCAAGTGTTTCGGCGATTGAAGCATCACGACGACAAATTGACATTGATTGATAAATGCCAGCGCAAACGGACTGACAGCTATGCCAACACTTAAGATGATTAGTTGGCGTCCTATAAAAGTCAATTCGCGAGCATTTTTCCAGATGAAAGAAAAATGGCTTGGAATGAGCCTTTTCGCATTACAGTAGGGAGTCATATTTTTTATCTGACCGGCGCCAACTAAAGCCTACAGCCTCGTTGTACATACGAGCTATGAGATCGTGAAAAATGTCGACTATAACCTGAATATACTGCAGCGCTCTGCAGTAGCTGGTTATACTTTCGGTTGGGTATGCCGGCGCCACGAGTGTCGATCAAAATGAAATTAAAATGAAATCGCCCTGGCAACCAAGTTGGTTGTGGCGGACCGGGAGCAAGAGATCAACGCCACGAGCGAACTGTGCAGCTCAACTCGCTCGTCGACACGGCCTCAAAGCGTGCAACGAAAGAAAGAAGAAGAGGAAGAAGAAGAAGAAGAACTGCAGAGAGAGGCCAGAGAAAGCGTTAATGCAAGGCCTGGCAGAGAGGCGCTCGGCCCGAGAGAAAGAGAAATGAAGCTTGCGCGCGGATGAGTGACGGAGCGTGAAAGAGAGGCGGCTCGGGCTGGTCCCAGGGGCAAGTTTGCGGCGAAACGCGCGAGCAGCAGCAGCAGGCTATTCGCCCCGACAAATACGTCGCATCGCTCTTGTACTCGCTCCCCGGCCGAATGAAGGAAGCCCCAGACTGCAGACGGCCACAGCTACATCTCCGCGAGCAAGCGCTGGGAATTGCCACTCGCACGGATGCACCGCCAACCAACCGCCCGATTCTGCTTATTTCCAAACGTCTCACTGCCATCCGGATTACTGTGATTTACGAGCATCGCAGATCGTTTCACAAACGCCAACGCTTCTGTATCAAGATGCGATATTTATCACGCTACATTTGCATAATCTTGATTTGGGCTGTAAACAATGCCCTGTATCCTCGTCATACGCGCAGAAAAGCTCAGTCAATCTATCCACTTGGGAAATAAATCGCAAGTGTTGCCGCGCCGTTCAACGAGCTTGCACACCATAATTCCGAGCGACACTCTCGCGCGCGCCTGTTCACGAACAGTATAGGTTTTACATAAACCTCTTGCAAGTTTATTGGAATACACACGTGGCACAGATTTTTCCTCCGCGAGAAAATGAAATATCCTATCGGACGGAGGCCTGGCGAGCAAAGATGGAGGACGGGGGAAAAACTGAAAATAGAAAATGCATGCTCTGCTAGCTCTGTCGTGCACTCTTGCTTACTCAGCACGTGAAACACCTATTTCGTCCTCGCACGCGCATCTACATGTATACACCTCATTTGCCTTTCCTTCCAGTTTCTCGTCTCGTTCGGTATAAAAAGAAAAAGGTGCGCTGCGCACGGTCCCACAGCCAAATTTCGTCCTGTGCCCTTCTCTGCAGCGGGGCTTGTGCACGACTTTCTATGCAAATTTCCGAATGTAAAATGAAAATAATAAAAGCAGCCTTAACGAGGTCGTTATGACGAGACCGAGGAAATTACGCGAATCCTATTGTTTATACGCTTATGCGAGCAGTCTGATTAACATAGTCACATGGAAATCTCATTGTTTTATTGTATTCGGATCATTATGCTTTCTTTTTTGTCCGCCACGAACCAAGGAGCTTTTCATCATACTTCCTTCAACGCGTGAAAGGAGAGCTTCGGTAACGCGTCCAAGGGCTTTTACAATTTAACTCGTTTAATCGGTCGACTTGGTGCACGGTATTATAATTAACGCTCGATATTTTTTCAAATTATTCAAGCTTTTCATTTTATTTGTTTATTTGTTTATTTGTTGCATTACTTCTGACAAAATAAATTTAATCGATTACCTGATAGCCAGTATTTACCCTATTTTGTCTTTTTATCACCAAAGTTAGAAGGTCAATTATACTATTATACAAAAGTACTGGCGTTCGGAGGGAAACTTTTTACGTGTATCATTATAGAAAGAGTTTTTGGTCAATAATTTACATGGGCAAAAAGTATACACTACCGTTATCAAGGAGACATTCTATTTTATCGACCAACGATTTCTTATCAACGAGCAGTATGTACGCTTGATAAAAAATTAATGTCGCATCATCAAGCAAAGAGAACGCGTGCGATCAGACTCTCGTATAGACTGTTGATTATAAACAGGTAATTTTAACTATGCATTGAATAAACATCAGGAAAGTTCAAACTTGGCGCCGAAAGCACACGAGTATTGCAATTTGCAGCCGACTTCAAAGTGTATTCGTAGCGCCTTCGCAATTCAAGCGTCTGAGCGGTTTGTACTCACTACTCTGTCGTCTGAGCACTCTGAGCCTGAGCTGCTTGGGCCTGAGGCCGGAGGCGAGATAGCAACAGCAAATTAAAGCGCTAACACGGTCAACAAGATTGCACCGTGTGAGCACTGTGCACCGTACACTCTGCCTAACATACTTAAACATATAATATAATCATCTATACAGCGCGACTACAATAGTCTATTCAAAATAAGCAAGATTAAAAACAGACATAATAAAAGCCTCGGTAACAGTTCGGGGGCGTTTTGCTTTCTCGATTCGCGCGCACGGTGCTATAGTTACCCATAGTGTTCCTCAACCTTAAATCTTTCGACAAATAAGTGTCAGGATGCCTGCTTGACCGTGCGAAAGACTCCACTTTCGGATCCGCTCTCTTTCTTCCTGATTGCCCACTGCAAATCTTTGACTGAGTGAACAAAAACAAAGAGAGAGAGAGAAGAAGAGAGGTTTGCGTGCTAGATTTTTTGCCGTTCATTTTCACAATTGACACGTTGACAGCCGAGAAATCAGTAGTGACTATTTTTTTTTGTGTCGTCGGAACTCAGGATTTTTAAAGGTGTCAGAGAGAGAGAGACAAGAATAACGATCAAGTGCCCTCTTGACCGCTGCAGGAAGTCATCACAATGATGCCTGATCATCGCTAATTTGTACATACAGATATTTTTCAACAAAGTGCTGGCTCTAACTTGTTTTAAAGCAATGGATAATTCCAATGGACAACTACAGATCAAATATCAAAAACTTGCTACGGAATACTCAAAGGTAATAATTATTCTTTACATGCAATCTAGCATTCTATTCAATCAAAGGACTGGCAAACTTTTTAAATTCTCTACTGTGCAATGACTATACATTACAAAAAGTTTGTATTAAAAACTTTATTATTATTTATACATTTTTAGATCCGTGCTCAGGCCAATGTGCTAAAAAGAGCTGTAATTGATGAACAGACTCGTAATACAGAACTTAGAGAACAGCTCAAAGAAAAGGAAGTTGAATTGAGAAGAGCAGAACAAGAATTGGACAGTTTGAATTTTCGTAATCAACAATTAACTAAGCGTGTGACTGTTCTTCAAGAGGTAAGAAGCTTAAGTACTGCATTGGTTCTCAAGTTAATAATTAATATTGTGCTTTCTAGGACCTTGATAAGGCACAAATTAAACCAAGTAAAAAAGGAAAAAGTAAAACAGTAGACAGTAAAATTCAGCAGATTCTTGCAGCACCTAATCATATTCTTGATGAAGAATTTCAAAAGAAAATTGTTGAAAATGCTCAATTATTATCTCAAATCAGTGATAAAAATAAGGAGATTGAAAGCTTGCTAGATAAAGTACAACATTTGGAATATAAATTAGAACTTTCAGAAAAAGTTAAAGTTGATTTAGATAGCAAGTATCATGAAATAATAGAAAAATTGGAACGAGAAAAAAATGATGCCCAACGAAAGCTCAATGAGAAATTAAAACATGAAGAAACTGTTTCATGGTCCAGTGGTGAAGGTAAAAGAGAAGGCTATGATTTAGATTTAAAATCTGGCTACACAAATCATAGGCAAGAACATTCTCCATTTTCATCGCCATCAGCCTCACGGAGGTCTTCTAAATCAACAGTAGAAATAGGACCTCAACGAAAGACTTGGTCCACAACTCAAGATGAAAATAGCGAAGATTTTGAATTTATAAAGCTATGCGAATTAGAGAAAGAACTGAATCACTGGAAAGCACAATTTAATATTGTAAAAATTAAATACGATGAGATTAATCAGAAAGAAAGTAATGAAAAAAGAATTTTCGAGGCTAATGGCTTAGAGCCAGTAGAAGTGAGCAATATGGTATGTATAGTATACATTATTATTATAGTTAAAGAGTCAGCAATGTACTATTGTTATAGCATCAATCATTTTTTAGATTGGGAGATTGTCTGCACCTTTTCCTATACCAGAAGAGATTGAGACTAGAGAAACAAAAATTAGAGAGTATTTTTTGCGAGAAATCGATAGGTTAATAACAGAAAAATACATATATCATGTTAGAAATTTAGCTATAGCAGCGAATGTAAGCATTGACATTCATATCTATATTTGTATCTAATTTAATACATTTACTTAATTTATTTATCATTTCAGACTGAAGTCATGAATATTCATTTAGATACAAGTGAGGAAAAAAGAGAAAAATGTGAGACTGCATTGCTAGAAGCTCTTTCACAAATTAAAATTTTGCAAGAAGATAAAGAAGTTCAAGAAGGAAATTATAAATTGCAACTCAGTACCATGAGTGAACATCTTGCTAATATGAATGAAAAATTAATTCAACAAACAGAAGAGATTCAACAGCTGAAATTTCAACTTTCAAACAAGGTAAACATGTATAGTAAATTTTAACTAGACAATGGACAACTAACATTTATTATACTTATTACAAGGATGTACATATTTCTAATAAATAATTTTGATACTATTTATAATTTTCAGAATGGTAAAAGAGGAAAATAAGCTTGTTCTAATTACAATCCACATCAATGATCTAACACATTTCACAATGTAGCAAGCTCTACAAGGAATTCTCCACTTTTTGTAAATATTTTGACCACGATATCGAATTTCAATGTGCTCCTAACTGCAATAGTAGCTAAGAGCTTTTTGACTTGGTGTTGCGTTATGTATGAATTCTAAATAAATTTAGCACTCATTATTTGAGTGTTGAATATGTACATATAAAACTGTTTGTCTTGTTTGTTAATTAAAAATTTTAAACTTAAATTGTGATTGTAATATTTTACATATCACATATTTAGATAATTAAATAGTAATCCTAACTGGTTCTATTCAGCATTCAGTCTAGTTTTATTGCAAAACTTGCACCACAACTGCAACCCTGCTCTGCTAGAGGATTATTCGTAATTCTGAATGCAGAACGAATTAATTCTGTATGATAGTCTATAGTTGCACCTTTAATATACTCCAAGGAAGTAGAGTCTATAACAATCTTAGCTCCATCTTTCTGGAAAATTCTAACAACAAATGAAAACTTGAGTCTTTATCTTGTAAAAAATGTAAAAGTGAAAATTAAAATCTTACTTGTCATCATCATTTATACTACTATCCAAGTTGAATTTATACTGGAAACCAGAGCAGCCTCCACCTTCGACAATAACCCTCAAACAAGTGTTTCCTTCGGTGATTTCTTTCAAACGTTTCACACAATTGTCACTGATAATTATCTCATCTTCACGGGTATTGCTAGCAACTTTGGTAGACAAATTTAGCAATCTCAAATCGGAAGCCATCGTCCATGGTGTTCTGTATTTCGTTTCATAACGAAATAACAAGAGGTTAGAAAAAACTGAATCGTAAAAAGCTCTATTGAACATGCTTAACAATTGCGCATCAATTCAACGTTAACATTATCAAACATTATAAACAATCATTAGTCTTATCTAAACGGAGCTCAATCTTTGCATGTTGATAATGTCAAGTAACGAAATAAACATTTCGAAAGCAAGCAAAGGCAGCAGTAAAAGTCTGTGGATTGAACTTACACCAAAAGTCGTGAGAAATACTGATTCGAAGCAAAATTAGAAGAGAGCCCCCAAACCGAGCGTGACAATTTGACCATGCTGAAGTAAATTGACATTTGTCATCGTCCTCCGAGTCCGAGCGAACGAATCGAATTACATGTACCGCACAGAAGACATTACCCACGTAGCCATCACAGAACTCTGAGCTTTCAACGATAGGTCGAGCCACTTATCAATTAATTTTTTTCCCACCATGCCAATACACACGTGGATTTATTTTTTTCTTTTCGACACTCCCTGTGCAAAGTGCGTCTTTCCCACACCTTTGGCAGAAAACGTGCGTTGAAAATCGCACTTTCCACACGTCGTATAAAAAAATACGGTATGATACATATTCGGGAAAGAGTTTCTCGTCTCGTGTGCTTTTCCACCCTCGCTTCGCTCGAGCGTAAACGTCACACGAGACCAGAATCTACTTTCCCGCACTTGTATCGTAATGTACTACTTTCTTGCGCTTTATGGTAATTTTCATGCCACCAAAGCAATTCACCATTACGAAGATTAACAATTCATTAAATATAATTATAAAACGACGATAGGTACAAGAATAACAGCCGCGGGAGTTTCACCACAAACTCGCGCAAGCGTGGGTGCCGAAGAAGCTGTGGCCCGTGGCACGATGGACCGCGTCAGGCACACATCACTACAAAGAAATTGTACCTGAACACGTGGTCGCGACGAACTTGATCTCGATAAAAATTCATCGCCGTACACAAGGGTGACGTATATTTTTACTCGCTGCGGCTATTATACTGCGTTTCTTCTTTGAAACGCTTTGAATACTTATAATTAGTGATTCGTCATAATTTTTGGAGGTTATCAACAATAACAAAAACAATGAAGGAGATAAAAGTAAAATCATTAACCATTGATAATTAACGAACTTTAAGAATTCATTAGTCTGACACCCTGCTACAACATGTCTGACTAGCTTCTGATCATATCCACTTAATTTTCTTAAAGTTCGTATTTCAAGGTGTAACTGGATATGCATCATATCGACTACCATGCGTGATCGCGCGGTTATGCATTCGTTGATTTCGCTGATGAGTCGTTAATCAAACGAGGCAAAAAAGCGCCAACTCGCAAGGAAGAGGGCGATCCGGTCGATCCGAAATAGCACGATGATATGTGAGCAGACCAAAGATATTATAGACCAGACTCTAAACTTGGAAAACACAGAAAGGCCGCCACAGCGTGTCCGCTTGCAAAGCTTACGGTGCCATAAGCTCTTCGCGTTTATAGATTATTCGAGCGACAACGGGAAAAGCATGCCAGTCGCACGATCAAGTAATGGTAATTCACGTGCATTCGGTGTGTATACGCATGCACACCTATATGAAAAGCTGCACAAGTCGAGTGTCGAGCACTTTCTCTCGCTGACGTTCTTTGCCTCGACCAGCCATATAGGCGCATGAGCTTGAATGACAAGGGGAAAAATTTTTTTTTCTAAACTTTTCAGCCTTCATAGGCGAGCCTGCATATTTCTTCCCAGGTTAATGAGACGTTTGTAACTTTTGCGTATGTCTGTTCAGTTACTATTGTTTTGGTCTTTACGAAATCTCTAATCGTTACTAATACTATTATCACATGTTTACAGTGAGCTTCTTAGTACTTTATTTTTACTAAGTTAAATTCTTCGAAATTTTTACTAAGTTAAATAAATTCTTCGAAATCATTTTACAATTTTTTACAAGTTTTTTACAATTTTGAGTATATCCCTTGCAATAACATTGACATCAGGATTTTGGGTCGGTGATTTGCCTTGTACGAAAAGTTTATATGGTCCGTAGTTGGTACTGTCGTATTCTGTAAACATCGGAACAAAGGAGTTTTAGGTGTAGGTTCCTGTGGAAGTTTGGTTAGGGGGCACTGCTGTATCGACTGCTGGCTTAGTATGAGTATTTGTTAGATTATCGATATCTTTAACTTTTGGATAGAAGTTTTCTCCTTTGTTAGAATTATTTTTGAATTCATTGGAATTTCTTTGTAAGGGAACCACTTTTTGATTAAGTTGTGTATTATTTTTTTTTTTTTTTAATTTGTTTGATTTTTTCTAGGGTGCTTAGTGCATCTGTAGCATTTTTCTTCTTATTTGTTGAAATCACTTCTATTGTTTCCGTAATATCCATAGCGTTTTAATCTTGTATTTGATTTTTCGGCTTATTATGATGTGTGGTTAGGTTTGAAGAAATGTTCAAGGAAGGGATGGGAAGATGATGTATTCCTCCTCCTTGAGAGGGACAGGCCATGTTTTATGTAAAAGGCTGCGCACGTGCGCTCCTTTTACTTTACGGATAGTTTAAGTTAGGTTAGGTTTGTCAGCAAGATGTCGTAAGAATAGGTATTGTTGAAAGAATCCTCTTTTCAGTTTTACGAACACGTCAAGTCACAAAAATCACTTCACTTTACTTTATTTTATTTTATTGTTATTATTATTATCTAACCGGGTTCAACTTTGGCGGCAGTGCCGGACATGTCCTGTCGCCATCCTCGCGCGACTCCCGGCGACAGAATGACAGAGAGAGAAAGAGAAACTGCGCTTGCTCAGCGTGTGGGTGAAAACACGTACATTTGCCCCCGAGAGCGCGCGCGCCTACCGTTACGCCTGCAACGAGAGAGTGTAGACTAGTCCTCTAATTGTTTTATCTTCTCTCTCTCTCTCTTTCCCTCTCTCCCTCCCTTTCTCATACCCTACCTCTCTTCCCGATCAATTTACCAAGTTCGGCCGACCAATTAGGTCTACTATGCTCATTTTTAACGAATTCTGACGTCTAGCTGAGCGACACAAATGAACTCGACTACGCAAAAACGCATAGAAATCATGATACTTGTAAACTCGGAGTAGGCTGTGCACAAGGGTTGAAAGAGTAAACGTCCAACGTAAAAGGACCACACAGTGGAGTAATACGCGATGTATGCCGCAGATGTCGGTGTGTGCATATAGACCGTACATATATACACACGAATGGAGAAAGAGGGGGGGCCAGTCAAGCTCACCCTGTCTGTCTCTCTCTCTCTCTCTCTCTCTCTCTCTCTCTCTCTCTCTCTCTCTCTCTCTCGCGCGTGCTCTCTTTTCCTCCCCAAAGAGGGTCGCCATAGTACATACACACGAAGCGAGGCCGCAGCAGTGGCGAGGCCACCCCAGCAGCAACATCAGCAGTTAGCTTAGCACAGACAGAACACATGCACAAGTACGCACGCGGGCGGGCGCGCAACTGAGACGGAGGATACTAGTAACAAGAGCGGGAGGGAGGCCAAAGTGTAAGAGACAAGCGCGTGTGTGTGTGTGTGCGAGAGAAAAGGAACGTAGAGAGGAGAGTAGACGACGTTAAATGGCTGTCAGGGTGGATCGAGGCTCGCGAACAACGACGACGCCTCAAGCTGACCTCCACTGAGATCAACACGCGGAGGAGTCTCATCGCCAAGGGCTGTTGTTGCCGAGGCGTCGTCTGGTGCGGGGCTCGAGCAGGAGTGGCCGCTGCCAACAGGAGCACGACCACCAAGCGCGAGCCACAACCACTGTGAACGAGGGAGAGAGAGAGAGAGTGAGAGTAATAGTGATAGCGACAGCAAGCAAAACTCCCTGTGTGTGCTGCGAAATTATTAGTGTGGTTTTCCGAAAATCTGTGCTGTCTTCAATTCTCGCAACCAAACGACACCCCTTCTACGTATCTCCTCTCATTATCTGCCTGCGTTTTCCATTGCTCAAAACGACGGGTTGCCAGAATTCCCAAATTGCCTGGGACAAAGTGGCTGGATCCTTGTCTCTTTCTAGATGACAACTCTGTGATACAAGTTCTACCTCTGTTTTTTCTCTTCTCTCTCTCTCTCTCTCCCTCTCTCTCTCTGCTCTCTGCTCTCTACTCTACTCTACTCTCCATCAGCTTCTTTTTTAATCTCCTTCACCCAGTGATCTTTATTTACTCGTGAGTGTAATCTTGCACTCACCCTCACTATATTCTTTACCCACATTGATCTATCTTGGGTAGTGTCATGTTTACGGGTACTATCAAAGTAGAGATATGCGAAGCATCAGGACTACGTGCTACAGACAAACAACGCAAGTTCTGGCAAGAAGAGTCACCTATACTAGATCCCTATGTGCAGCTAGACATTGATGAGAAGTACCTCAATCGCTCATCAACAAAGGCCAAAACATTTGATCCTGTATGGAATGAAACTTTTACACATGAAGTACAGGATGCCACGCTACTTGGTCTTACTGTCTTCCATAATGCTGCGCTACAACCAGATGATTTTGTAGCCAATTGCAATATACCATTTGAAGAGTTGATTCAGCGGGATGATGAAACTGCTGATTTCTCGGTATGATCTTTTTACACCAATCTCGACTGCTTATACTTTATACTTATCTAAAAACTTATGATAAAATAGTTTGTTAAATTGATATATTCCAGCTATCATGTTACTATTTTATATAACTTACGTATTCATTTAATCTATCAACCTTGTGTAGTCAAAAATAAAATCAGTGTTATCTGTACATTATAGCAGTTTATTGATGACACACCATCTATAAAAAACAATGAAGTACTACAAATATTCAATCCTATTTTTTCAAGCATATAATTACCAAAGATAAGAATCAAATCTTTGTCATATAATGTAAACAGACTTATAGATAGTAATGTTTTTCTTTGAAAACTGTGGAAAAAGCTGCAGTTTTAATTGTGTATTTGCTTGAAGTAGAACTCACTGTACAAAATCATCAACTGATAGATCATTTTTATTTACTATTTTGCTCTGCTCTTATATTCAGCACAAAAGCTTTCTGACTTGCAACCACGCATTAATTTTATGACAGCAAAGAAACAGATAAGATTGTAGAAGACGAATCTTTTTTAGATATGTATGACTGTAATCAGTATACACATGAATCTGATACTCATCAGTTGTTCTCTTGTGCTTCTCTGTAATCCTCTGAGCTTATTACGCTGAATTATACAAATAATAATTAACATATGCAAGAAAAATGTATAGTTCACATAGGCACTATGGAAAAATAAAGTGTTTACAAAGACTATATGAAATTCAGCAGCAAACTCTTGATAGGATGAAAGTTTTGAATTCAAAATGCACAGTGAATATAAGAACAGAACCATACAGATTAAGTAGAACATCAGCAATATCTGATGTAACAGATAAATATTAACTATGTTATTAATTTAAAATCTTTGTTACCAGTACTCATATAGTTGAATTAACAATTGAAAATGTTTCAGGTTGATTTGGAACCTCAGGGAAAATTGAAAGTTCGAATAGAATTGCAACGGAACACTCAGCCACAACAAGCAGGATGTCGAGCACCAGACGGAGACAGTGTTGGCAGTACCAATTCAAGCAAACAACCCAGGCGCGAATTCAAGGAGAGACAACAGGGCTTCATGGGTCGCCGAGGTGCTATGCGGCGAAGAGTTCACCAGGTTAATGGACACAAGTTCATGGCCACCTTCTTAAGACAGCCCACCTTCTGTTCACACTGTCGAGATTTTATCTGGTAAGTAATAAATATATACGATACAATATTTTTCAAGCAACTGACATTGGGTTATGCATGCTTCAATTCTTTTGTGACTTTGGTGACAGACTTAACAATTTGAAATTAAAGTTAATATTGAGAAATTTTTATAACGACATATCATACACGTGGTTTTTTATGAATTTTAGTGACTAATTAAAATGTAATTATAATTCTAGTCAACTAAGATATTTCCACTGATTTATTTTTTTGTAATTAACGCATAATTAAGTATTTACTTACAGTCCAACTTTGTGAAAAAATTGTAAGCCTGAATAATCGTTGCATCGATCGGTAATCACTCGAACAAAAAACATCGGTTTATAAGTGTCGTCGGTGAATAATTGCAAAAGATCATGGAGATGGGAATTATGAAATTATTTGAAATATCCTCTCAAGGTGCACGGATTGTTCGAAGCAAGTGAAAAGAATTGAAACTTGAAAAAAAAACGAAGATCAATGGTCTATTACGAAAGTAACTACTAGGCATAAACTATCACTTTGATTAAAATACTCTCATCTGAAAATATATAGCTATCAATAGAAGAATAATTATACTAATGTTTCTTTAACACAATCGAAAGGTTTTATGGTAAAACAGAATAAACTAATTGGTTCCATATCTAGAAATTGAAATGCTTTCTTGGTAATCGCGACCTCGATACAATAATCACATGGGTAAAGTAAGAAAACAAAGCGACGCGTAGCATCCAGATGATAAAAAGACGTATGATAAGTACGAACACATACTTAGTTTCATCTGCTCTCGCAGTTCACTCATATTCTCTCCTTACCTCTCATTGTTTCTCGCAATAGACAAAGTCTTTCTACGATCGTGAGTGTAAGATCGAACTTTCTCGGAGAAGGGATTAAAACACAACACATGTACATATATCGCACACACATCTTACCTACATATGTGTTTCTTTACACTCTGATTTTGCCTAACTGAGGGATAATATAATAATGCTGGAGGAGATGATGTGATGCGTTATTGTCTTGTTGTATTTCAGGGGCTTGGGCAAGCAGGGCTATCAGTGTCAAGGTGAGAAAGACACAAGTCACGTTACTCAGCGATTATATTAATTGTGTTTTCACCAGGCCTGGGCAATACTTTTTATGAATGTGAATCCTCTCTCTCTCTCTCTCTCTCTCTCTCTCTCTCTCTCTCTCTCTCTCTCTCTCTCTCTCTCTCTCTCTCTCCCTCTCTCTCTTCCCCACCCCCACCCCCTTTCTCACACTCTTAATCTCGATTTTTATATGCGGCGATTTGTGCGTGTCTGTTCCATTAGTGTCGTCTACAAAAAATTCGCTTTCGCTTCGACACTATATTATTCAATTTGCTCTTCGCGACGTCCTACTTATCTTATATAGTCTAGCCATTGTACTGGACTACACTTGGATGAATTCAATGACACAAAAGTCATCATATTTATACGAAATGATGCCCACTCCTGGTTATTGACGTTTAGCAGCATCTGTTTTATCTACATACTGTGCTGTACTTTTATTTATAATAACTTTAATGTTACGCAGCCACCTCAGAATTAAAAAAGAAAACATGATTATTTTCGTACTCCATCTTTCGCTTATGTATATATTTTTTGCAAGCTGTTATGATTTCACATCACGCTAGGCTTCAATTAACGAAACTTATCATTTCTTTCAGTTTTTTATCCATCGAGAATCATAAAAATGAATGCATTTTTTCATTACAAAAGCGGATTATATCTTGTTTCTCTTTTTGCGTCACTGTGTACCGTCCCATTCAATTTATCTATACTTTTTTACTTTTTCAGTTACGTCACCATTTATTCCATACAATATTTACTAAAATGCATGCGCAAGCTTGGGATCTATGTTGTCACATTCATTGTTACCACCTTTTCACAATCATTCCCTATTGTTTCAGTATGTACCTGTGTTGTCCACAAAAGATGTCATGAGCAGGTTGTCACCAAGTGTCCAGGGATGAGAAATGAGGTAATGAAAAGATTTCTAACTTCTTAATTCTATCTCTTAATTCTTAATTCTTCTCAATTTAAACTACCGAATTCATACTTATTATCACTTATTAAATGAAAATTTCATAATTTTATCGCTACTGTAACATCACTGTAATTTAATGATACATACGTAAATTGCAGGGCAAGGACGTAAACCTACCGATTCAGCAGCGATTCAACATTGATGTTCCGCATCGCTTCATTTTGCACAACTTTAAAAAGTTCACATTCTGTGATCATTGCGGTTCTCTACTATACGGATTATTTCGTCAAGGTGTAAAATGTGAAGGTATAAAACCGAGATACTAAAAAAATTTCGTATCCCGTTACCAGAACATAGCTGCAATTTGCGACATGTTTCAGCCTGTGAAATGAGCGTCCATAAGCGATGTCAAAAGAATGTGGCAAACAACTGCGGCATTAACATGAAGCGACTGGCCGATATGCTCAACTCAGTAGGCATCTCCTCGGACAAATTGAGGCAATCGAAGATCAATTACACATCGTCTATACATAGTAACGCGAGTACAAGCTCAGCTAACGAAAACGTCGCGCCCAATGAGGCACAGTCGGCGCACCAATCTCAAGAACAGAGAGAAGCTAAGGCGGCACGGGAAAGCGCAGCTAGCGGCGACAGGATGAGCATCGATGATTTTAACTTCATTAAAGTACTAGGCAAAGGTAGCTTCGGAAAAGTCATGCTCGCAGAGCGAAAGGGCCACCCAGATGAAATTTACGCTGTCAAGGTTTTGAAGAAAGACGTTATCATCCAAGACGACGATGTCGATTGCACGATGACGGAGAAACGAATCTTAATTTTAGCGGCCAAGCATCCATTTCTCACAGCCCTGCATAGTTGCTTTCAGACAAAAGAACGATTGTTTTTCGTTATGGAGTACGTCAACGGAGGTGATTGACCTATTCTCTTCTTTTCTCGTTCATATGTTCGCTAAATTAATGTTCGCTAAAACTTGAACATTTCGTTCACAGGTGACTTGATGTTTCAAATTCAGAAAGCTTGCAAATTCGAAGAATCTCGCGCGCGTTTCTACGCTGCAGAAGTAACACTGGCTCTACAATTTCTGCACAAATATGGCGTTATTTATCGCGATCTTAAACTCGATAACATTCTGTTGGACCAAGAAGGACACTGCAAGCTCGCGGACTTTGGCATGTGCAAGGAGAATATCCTCGATGGTCAAACCACGGCAACCTTCTGCGGCACGCCCGACTACATTGCCCCAGAAATTCTTCAGGAACTTGAGTACGGTGCGAGTGTTGATTGGTGGGCACTGGGTGTTCTAATGTATGAGATGATGGTCGGTCAGCCGCCCTTTGAAGCTGATAACGAAGACGATCTGTTCGAATCGATTTTGAGAGACGACGTGCTGTATCCAGTTTGGCTAAGCGACGAGGCTGTTTCGATTTTGAAAGGCTTCATGACGAAGAATCCCGCGAGGAGGCTCGGTTGCGCCGCTGCCAATGGTGGGGAGAGTGCAATCAGGTCACATCCTTTCTTTCAGAACATGGACTGGGAAGCTTTGGAAGCACGTAAAATCAAACCTCCCTTCAAGCCAAAAATCGTAAGTCTAATCAATTTTGTTTACTACAGCATTACTTTAGTAAACTTTTATTCTCATATGCTACTCGTCATTGCAGAAAAACAAAAAAGATGCTGTGAATTTCGACGCCGAGTTTACGAAGGAAGAGCCAGTATTGACACCAATACATTCAGACGCGGGTATAAATCAAGATGAATTTGCCGGGTTCTCCTTTATCAATGCTGACTTCAATCCCAGTAGATTCGTTGCCCAGTAAAGAAAATAACTTGAATTATATAATGATTCGTTTTGAATTTTATTGGAAAAATATCTACGAAAGGAAGTTGAAAATCAGAGGCGCTGAAGATAACGTTGTGTGCTAAGCTCGCCAACGAAGGTGAGCAATTATCATACTTCGCCGTATTACTTCCTAAAATAAAAGTTGAGCGAAATTCCTCTTTTGGATACGTCTCTACTTTCTGCTTAGTATCAGATTAAGAAATGGGCACAGAAAAGTAAAGCGATTACTTTTCATAGTACTATGATCTCTAGTCAAAAAACAAAACAAACAAAAATATATATACGCAAGAAATATTATTTTCCTAGAAATAACAAGTCCAATTCGCCAAGGTGAAACTTGTCATCCACGTCGTAACTATTCTTTGTTCCACAAATGATGTATTTTTATTTTATTTGTTACAAAATTTGCGAGTGAAAAAAAATTGTATCGATACTATTATTAGTGCATATGACGTCGATTCGTCGCGAACAAAAATACGTATTGATGGCCGCTTTCAAACGATGAGAAAATGTTATTGCGCCTGTGCACTCAATTGCTTTAAGGTTCATCGACGGGGCGCGGGCATCGGTTTTTCGCTCTATTTTTTCTGTATACATGTAGATTCACGCAATTGCATCAGCTTTTCACATGTTTACTATAGTAGACATTCCAAGTTTGAAGCTGCACTCCCCTCTATTCTCCATTATTAGCTAAATTAACCACGACAACTTTAATAGATAATATGTAAAGTTTATTTTTTTGAGCACCACTAGTCAAATATTTGTAAAACTTGCCCGCGTCTAAAGAAATTTATAAGCGTTTTCCCTCAACTTGTACATGGTAAAACGTATTTTTTTTCCTGAGTTTCGCGTTGTTCCGATTTCTCACGACAAGAAATCAGGATAATCTCGTCGCGCGTCATCGGAATGTTCGCTCATAGAAAAAAAGGAAAATTGCATATGAACGGCCAGTGAGATAAAGAAGAGACATATAAGATAATTAAATTGGTGAACACGAGCCACTGGTGGTTCGTAGCAAAGAGTCTATATACAAGCATTATGCGTATTATAAATAAATAAATATATAATTATATATGAATATATATTTAACTTATTTTAGCATACGCTTAAAATTGAAGTAATAGTCGAGGCGAAACTATTGTTAGGAGCAAAGTAACAAAAAATGTATTGTTTATAATTGTTGAATGTTGATGGAGGATTGAAGGTGAAAGATAAAAAATAACTCATAATTGTAGGAATGCCGATCAAACACCTTAAACATCTACCTTTAATCGTTGTCTCTAGTTAGATATAAAAACTATACGTACCTTTGGAAGCTTCGTTGGGAGAAAGTTGAATTCTCTATAAATTAGCATTGAAATCCGTCTGATAATCTCGAAATTGAGTCCGATAGAAACATAGAATCGTAATAAATATATTAGAGAAAGCGATTATATACAGGTGTAATAAATATTTGTACATTTCTATAAAGATTTTTTGTGGAAATCTTTGTCGAACATCGGTAAGTGTATCGTAAACGTTGAAAAAATTTCTGTGCAAAATTTTTATAGAAATACGTTGGTTGATTTTGTATTTTTATTGTCTTTGCTGTGGAATGCAATGTTGAATCTCCTTTTTTTAATAAGAAAAAAATAATGAAATTGTGGGGAAAAAAAGAATTATAGAAAAAATCATATAAATATGATCGGTGTCTATACGAGATTTATCTATGTTTCTATTCGACTGTTTTTTACTAGGAGTGATGTGAAACAGGCCCAGAACTCCTCCGAATAAAAAACGTGCGTGCTCGTCATGAAAATATGTTATATATATGCGTGCGCGCGCGCGCATTTATCAATAGTGAAAATAGCCTGCGGCTTCTGAGCGACTACGCTTCATCTCGCGCCTTGTATACTAATCACACGAAAAAAAAGTATGTTGTTTTCAGTTTCAGCATTGCCGTTCGCCAGAATATCACGCGTAACAGTACTTGTACGCATACGATTTATCGTCCAAGTGATTCCTGTACTTAAGCATAATCTCGTGTACCTAAGTCCGAAAAATTATTTATGATGTCGAAAAAAAGGACAAAGGGAATTAGCTTAACGAGGCCGCACCCCTGCCGCTGTTCGAACGAAAGAGTTAGAGGGAAAAAGAGTAATGCTTTTTTAACTTTCAACTAATCTCCTTATCAAATGATCCGCCGTATCTCATACTAGTTTTCAAGTGTTGCACCGCAATGCACACATCTTTAGTTTTTAGTTGTATTGTTACTTATTACCGAGTCGAGAACGTCAGTGTTCAACTTTTTGTTCTTACTAAGTTTTCATTGATCCGGAATCACCAAACAATGATCTCGCAAGGCCATTGACTCTCACTTTCCTTCTCGCTCTTTCTTCATTTTGATGTCAAGGCCAAATATCCTACTTAGCGGTGTCACCAAGACCTTGATTCTACTCACAGAAATGTGACTTGGACGATAAACGAATACATAGGCATGTATTAACCTGATTATAATTCGATGTTGTTACCTCGTCGTCGCTGTTGTGTTACGTTGAGCTTGCAAATTAGGTGCAATCGGCATTTTGAAAGAACCATTAATTGCTTGCAATTAAGATGCTCGGGAACAATAACACTGCGTTGTTTCATCTCTTCTTAGTGTTAATGTGAACGTTGGAAAAGTGCATATCTATATCATTATTTTTATGTGAAAGGCGTCGTGCATTTTTTTATTCGAAAAATCGCTTGCATTTGTATTTAATGTTATTGTGCGTTTTTGTTACAATTGTATGTTATATAGTTTATTTGTTGTTTTAAATGGTTTTGTTTTATATTCATGCGAAGCAACATCGAGCGGATTTCGGTTGATTTGTTTTAACACGTTAACATGCGTTACGTGTTTCGCGCGCATTTTTCAACCGACCGATCGATGCATTTATTTACTTTATACGATATTCATTTATACATTTATTTGTTTGTTATTTGTTATTGTAATTGCGAAACAGCACAATATTGCATCCCGCTTTAGCTTAACTTAAATTTGTACTTTCTACAAAAATTATTTATGAAAAGTAACTGAAAATGCGTAAAACTTTGCTTTTGTACTTATACGCTATAGAAAAATGCAATTAGGATCACGCGATACCTTACTAGAAACAACGAAAGGAACAGAGTGGATCAACAAGCGAATGTATAAATAATTTGGAGCCATAGGAAAGTACTTAAGTTCCCTCCGCGTTTCGAGCCAATGTACGATTACTCGCAATACAACGACTACGTTTATTTGCGAGAATAAGCACCATAAGTAAAATTTATAATTCATTAATACATTCGACAAACGCAAAACATGTATTCGCAAAAAAGACAAGCTTTAAACCAACAAATGGTCGCTCTTTTTAAGGAAAAATATAAGATGAGCGTTACCGCAACTACATAAATACGTAGTATCGTTTCCGTTCCGTTTGACGACAATGGCCAGGCATTGAATTATAATTAATTTTGGTTAAGTCCACGCATGCTCTACCTATTCACGTAAAAAGCAAAATGTTAAAAAAAAGTTTGAATTTGTGTACTCTTTATCGGAAGCTTTAGACGTTTGATGTTGCTTCGTAAATCGTAAGAGATTTTAAGAATAAAAACCCCAGTTAGAGAGATAAACAAAAATGTGATACATACAAACCCAAAAGAAGTAAAGGAACAGAACAAAAAACAAAAAACAGATATCGGTTGTACACATGACGAATTGAAAATGAGAATGGACTGCGCAATGCGAATTAATAATGACAATTCTTCCAACACATTAGCGACTACATTGTGCGTTCAGCACGTTTAATCAGGTAGTGTAGAGAGTATAATACGAGGTGCGTGCGCTCCGTTCTCTTTTTCTTGCTGTCAATCACCACGCCAATACAAAGAATACATTTCAAAAAAATCGAGCCAATGAACAAATACATATGGAAAATGACAGGTGTCTGAATAAAGCAAACGAAGCCCGTAGCGCGTCGAATATGCAAGAATGTCTCATCAAAAGGAGTCAATAAAAACAATCCAGTCAGCCAATGAATGGCTAAACAGATCAGAGTAAAAATAAAAACTAAACAACACATAAGTGCACAAGATCTGCGTCTTTAGCGGGACCGTAGATTATAGATAGAAGTTCATATGTATCTATACTATATGTACGCGTGCGTGGTTCGCAAAACTAACGCTCGTCGAAAGCCCGTGCCTCGGCCTTCAATTTTATGTACACCAAGCGCTATTTACCTTTCTATATTTATTTATTTATTTATTTATTTATTTATTTATTTACTTATTTATTTATTTATTATTTGCGTTTTTCAAGTGCCGTTTTAATATTTTTCATTTTTATTTGGTGCGGCGCTTTATAATATATACCTTATAACTTGGAACAAGCGTGAAAAGCAATGCTTAACGCACATGATATTCCAATATGAACCAAATACACATAAGAGATCTTCACGTGCGAGCGTCAAAAAGGGCCGAGGCTACGGGTTGAATGGGTGGCCGCGCGGCGAACACAGTTACTTGTCTGATTATCGTGTAAAGAAAACCGTAAATAAAAAATATATGTATCTATACATCGAGTCTTCAATGATTATTTATTGAATCCATTGAACCTTTGAATGATTTAGTTTACCATGACGATGCTCATAATAAGCAGCAATTCAAGTAAGTACGCATGATGATTTTTTCAATATAATGCGACTTTATTATTTTGCCAATACAGAGTCCGAGTATATTAATACGTTTACTATAATACGTAGACGCGTTCTATCATGCCTGTATTCGTTTGCATATATGTATGCAAACTGTGCGTTTCATCTGCTTCATCTTTGTCGCACTGACTGTTCGTGATGCCGAATAATATATCTCCATTATTTCTCTCACGCTGACCGTCATTTGAGAGCATTTAATTATTCCATAAACTTAATATATAATATTTACAGAGCAATCTCTTTTATAATAGATTTTTTTCAATAACATTGTCAACCAATAATTCATTAATTTGCTTTTATTGTTTCATTAAGCTACACAACCCATTCGGCATTCCTATATATAATATTGCATATCAGGCACACATATAACTTTATGTACTTTCGCACTCGACGATTTTCTTCTCTAATTTCTTCAACTTCGCATCGATATACTCTTACTTGTTTCAACCCATTTTTTTAATGTTTACCTTGAAGACTTGGTTTACTTGAACGCACCCTCAGTGCTGATCACAGTCGGCCTTAGCATTCATAAATATTCAGCTCCAATATCAAAGAATTATTCTTATAACTGCAGGTTTGTTGTAGATCTTCATATAAATATTTCAAATATCAAATTGCTTTTTAGTAAGAAATCGAAATGAATCGGTTCTGTATAAAAGTACAAGAAAATGCCACTATTTTTTATACATAGGTAGTACTATTAAAAATTCTTTATCCAAATAAATGTGTCGTCAAGTCAGGTTTGATGGCGTTAGCGTTAACATTCTAAAGAAAAAAGTTTTGATGCATTAATATTATATTAAACTTTATACAAACAAATCATGCATTTGAAATATTTAACGAATCTTGGTCCGAAGTTTCAATGGGCCTGCTCTACTTTGGCTAAATACTTTACGGAACTATCTTTACCGTCAATAGCTCATATTTACATGCTGACAACTAGTATAAATAAACGAAAAAATTTTACATTTAAAGAAAATAATTACAAATAAAATCATTTTTATATTACCGTAAATGTGTTCATACCTATCAATTTGGACGTTATTATAATTGAGGCACAGCGCATATAATGAACAAAGTCTTTGATGTTTGTAAAAATTCAAACAACGATATAAAGATAGAAACCGATTTTTGTATAAAGTGTTCAAAATTTTAATGATGGAAGTTTATAAAATTTTTTTTGTTAATTGAATCTGTAAGTCATATGATGCGGATAGTACTTGTTTCTAATTGTGAATTTATTTTTTCCAAGGCCGTTATGTATGAAAATGTCAATCCAAGTGGAATATTGCTTAAAATGTAATGATTGATATGCAATTTCAATCGGCAATCACCATAAAAACTTTGTACAGTTTGGATAATTTGCATCTTTTGTGCGTCGTTTGCGATAAAAATGTATTCGTGCTGGATGGCTGAAATCTTATTTATAAACAATCCATTCAAAGTTTATGTTTGAATACATTGCTATAGCGTAAGATTAAACATTTTATTATATTTCTTTAGTTTTTTTAATAATGAATATTATCGCAAGCAGAAACACTTATATAAAATGCAGCTTATGTTTCTTTATATATATCGCTAATCATTTATATATTCATAAAATCAAGTTTTAGTAATCAGTATACAATATCAGTGTACATCACAAGCAAAATTGTCTTGTATAAATATCTTCAGAAAATTGATAGATCACGTTGTTTGAATAACCAACAGCCTACATATCTAATTAATTTACGGTCATAATCGCACAGACGTATTCTTGTATAGGCAACACAAAAATTGATGTATACCACTTCATAGCATCTTTTTCAGACACAGTGGGAGCCGCATTTTTCGATTTGTAGATAAACCTTACTGATTTGCATCGAATAGTGAACAATTGTCAATTTTCAAAATTAAATTCTAAATCATTCTAATTTTGCTAGATATTAAGTTGTTGAATCACTTGAATTTTAGTTAGTATCCGATAATAAAATTAAAAAAATTGAAGTTCACTCAAACAATATTAGCTTTATATTATTAAAATTATCGATAAAATTTAAAAGTCGCAGATGAAAATGCAGTCATAATAACTTCTTTGCTTATTATTCCTAGCAACTTTACAATTATGAATGTGTGTATATATATAATCTCCTCATATAGCTGATATCACGAACCTCTTTCCCATACATCGTACAATTTATTGTTTTTACAAGTTTTTACGTTTCATAAAAACGACAAGGTATAGGTTATATTCATACAAAAGGCAACAACTGTTACAAGTATATATATTATATAACGACACAAATAAATTGCCAACTCTATGAATATGGGAATTCATTACTGTAATTCAATAATCCGTACGAAAACTCTTTAATTGTTTCAAGTGATCTGTATCAACAGAAGTCAATAAACAATTTGTCATGGCAGTACTTTGCATTATTGTAATTCTACGATTCAGTGTAATAAATTTGCACTATCTAATCATTACCTTCTACAAGCGATCAATTAGTTATAAATTATCGTTTCTGTTTTAATTATCATATAAATTTCTAAGCTTACACATTAAAGCGTACTAAACTGTACCTTTCCATGTAATATTTAAAATTACACATTAAATATACAGTGTAAGTAAAATAGATACAAGTCAACAATTAAGTAGTTTCAATAGTACAATGACTGCCTCGACCGCCGTATAAAAAATATTCATCGATAATGAATCGAAGAAGTAATGTACAACAGATTACAAAGTTGATTGATAACTAAATTTATAATATTTCCAACCACGTGTTAGATAATCATACTTATTTAAAAATTTCAGGTTTGTTTTACAATAATAAATATACATAGCAAATCGGAAGATGACATGAAACAACCATGTTCCATTATTTGTGAGTTTAAATATACACAGCAACTCTACTTTTTCCAGTAGATGACTGATAAAAACTATCTTTAACTAGCTTGCGAATGAATAACAGGGGCACCTCTGTGCAACGCTGTTGCTGGCCGAGTTTTCCGATTACCACTCGTACCATTTGCTTGTTGCTGTTGTTGTTGAAGCTGCATCTGCTGTACTAAAGCAGAGTCTCGCTTGCGAATTTCCAAAGGTATACCCAATACCTCCATGTACTCGCGAATAAGATTAGCTATCTGAAAAGCCTATGAAAAGAGAAAGATATTACGAATAGTCTTCTTTCTACGAATTTCTTTTTTCAGCAAAAATGTTCTGAAAATATCTAAGATAATCTAAAATTATTTTTACCTGAGAGGTTGTCAATATGACTTTGCTTTGTTTCTTATCGGTACCCGTAATAATCATTAAGCAGTTGATGGCAGGGTTATAGCTGAGTATGCTCCCGTATTCGTAAGTACATAATGCATTTCTGGAACGGTGTTCAAGTAAGTGCAAACCTTTTTGGTCAACGGCGAGCCAAAGTACTCGAGGCCAATTCGAAGTAAAGGATTGCATGACGTCAAAAATGGTAGCTCTATGTAACGGCCACGACTGTATCAAATTGAGAAAAGCCTTTTTAGCTTCAGGAGGTGTCATGCCGCGTAAAGATTGGTGGTGTTGTACGACGCCATCCAAGCAGAGATTTGGTACAAGGCGCGAAGGTAGACAATGACCGGCGATAGATTGATACTCCTGTACCGTAATGTGGTCTTCGCAGTCTCCAAGTTCCACTTGAGCTTGTAAAGCCGATAACATCATCTGAAATCGAGCAAATATCGATTACAACAATAGTTTTTCACAAAATTTTTCGTCTTTCAAGAAGGCGAATATCGAACATACAGCTTCCTTTTCTGTGATTGGAAAACGGTCAGCACGAAGGTCATGAAGAACCTGATGATAGAGTAACTCTTTCTCAACAGGATCATCGAGATTCATGTATTGATCCAAAAACAAGTGTTTCTTGAACAAAAAGAAGTGATGCACATGTTTTCGCGACTGAGTATTTTGACTTGAATTGTTAGAATTTCTATATTTTTCCCATTTAGACATGACTTCTGCAATTTTCTCGTCAGGTAACAGCGCTCGGTCAGACGTGCCAAGCACTTCGTAGATTGCGTATCCTAAACATGAATAAGAAAATAATTAGATAACCTATTCGACTAAGTATAATACATGACTCGCACGTTGCAACGTACCTAAAGCACTTTCACCTAGTCCAATTTTGATTTTGATCAATTCCATAACGTCCCTTGCCGTCGATGATGGATGGAATTCTACAGCGTGATACTGACCGTCCATAAAATGAAATCTTGCATACAGTGGTCTTCTGTTGATAGTGCACATAATTTCTTCTCTGCTAGGTGGCCACTGTCTTCTCCATGTTCCCTGAGTTTTATATAAGCACTTTTCTGCAAATCTCGCATACTTACCTTCTTCTGTCACGAAGTCGCTAGCGCATCGCTTCAGATGAGTGATGAGATATTTTCTAACAATTTTCTGCGGTGGTAAAATGACCGAACAAGCTAATGACAGTAAGGCCCAGTGCCTTAAATTCACTCGACTGTTAGGATCTGGATGATCAGTTGTTTGTTTGATCAACTGGAGATACAACTCGCCCAGAAGCACTTCTTTGCGCATGCAACGTTCCATTATCGATTGGATGAGATTCACGTGCTCGTCTTCGGCGCGTCGAATATTTTCACCGTTTTGACCTAAACCAGCATACGTTAGAATCAATTGGAAGACACTCAAGGCCACCTGTTCTTCTGCTTCTGGTAACTTGGTCAAACTCTGAGTGAGAGCCATTCTACTAAACGCCCAGTAACCGTAGTGGAACCCTTTGTAAGTTTCACCTTGATCGGTTCCACTTCCGTGTTCTTGTCGTAGTTTCTCGATTCTGTGCTTCGACAGTCTTCTCAGTGTATTCCTAAAGAATCCAGCACCAGTGTCTTGTGGCTTTCTCAAAGCATCCGAATCGACCAAAGTCCTTCGACAATTGATCAAGTAATGGTAAAGCCTTAATCTATCTTCATTAGTTATGTTTTTCAGTTTCTTAGTTGGCCCTTCATTATCTGTTATCCAGCCTGCGAGAGCTGGACAGTAACTGGCAATCAAACTGCCTATTTCGTTTTTCTGCGACGTCTCAAAAACGAAACACTTGTGTGTACTTTCTGATCCTCCTCCTCCTCCTCCTCTTAGTAATGAAATTGTTATGAATGAATCACTCGGGTCCAACATAATACTTTCCACGTCTTGGTATCGATACTCGGAAAGTATAAACTTATCATCAGGTTTGATCAACATGAGACCCTCGCAGTTCACTCCTAGAATCAGCTGATTACCATATGACCAGTAACCGCGGTACGTGACGTTGTACATAGTTGTTCCATAAAGGGGATATTGCATGACGCAAGACAAGTAGAGCACTTTGGCTGTAAGTTCGAGGCGACCAGAGCCATATTGTCGATGTGCTTGGGCAAGTATTGGCACCCAAACATCGTCGCCGCGAGCGCGGCTGATTCTGTATGGTAAAAATGTCTCGATTTCGCTGTAGTAATCTAATCGGTCGTTATCCTTTGGATCTCCTAACATCACTTGAGCCTGCAGTCCAGCAAGTTGTAGCGCTACCTTCTCGGTTATCGGGAAATCGTCACACTGAACAAATAACAAATGTTGAAACTAAAGAGTTTGAAGAAAAATATGTATCAAGCTCGATGCAAGAAATTTACCTTAACAACATTATAAACCGCTTGAGCATAGAGCATGTTGACTTCAACCGGATCTTGAGATAGTTCTCGTGTGTTTCGGAAAAGTCTTCGCTTAAATATGAAACGATTGTCACCACTTCCAAGAGTTTGATTGTTTCTACGTATTGTCGTAAAACCAGATTGTGTTGTATTTAATTTGCATTGTTTCCTGCGGAAAAGATTGATTTCAAAATTTTACTCTGCTTTTGAATGAAAATACGAAATTAAAAACTTACATCTCCCAAGCAGCAATAACATCGTATAAATAATCGTGAGCTCTGACGTGTTCTTCTCCATCAGGTCTACTTTGATAAATAGCCCATCCCTCGAGAGATCTTAATCCTAATTTTTCAGCCAGCTTAGCAGCCGCATCAGCTGCAGTGTCAGTTGGATGAACATCGATAGCCTTTGTCCTACCATCCAAGAAGAAAAATCGACACACGATCGTTCCTAATCTTCTCATGGCAGCAATCTCAACGGTTGACGGAGGATATTGTCGGCACGAGACTTTGGTATTTTTACAATTGTCAAGACACCATTGCACATACTGTCGCAATTTCCCTTCGAGTGCCAAATTCTTCTTGAGAAAAGACACAAAATACTTGTATAGCAATTTGCTAGGCTGAAAAGCTACGATTGCCAAACACAGTAGAAGCCAGACACGCTCAGCCCATTCGGGATTCGGATTATTGGTTGCTTGACGCATGCATTGTACCAGAATTTCATCACGCAGCTCCTCTCTCTCTATGCCGAAACCTGTTATAGTTTGTATAGCTGTGATTTCTTGGTCCAATTTCATTTCACCTCGAAGATATTTACAAAGATCCTGAAAAATATACCACATTTTCATGAATCAAATCCTTAGTGTTTTGACTTTGATTAATAAAATAATAATAATAATTTGATTAATACTTACCCTAAAAACTGTGCATGCTACGTTAACATTATCCGGATCGTACAGATGAATGTGTGAATTGGGGATTGTTGCTCCTTTGTAATATGTGACCATTTCATACTTTGGAATACATTCCAAACTCTTTCCTTTTGATTTCCTCGTGAGCGTGGCCATTATTGTGCCTTCGGGTGAGCGCTCGTGACTGTTGAAATAATTCTGTGCAAATTCAACAATGTCGTGATAATTTTCACCTCCTTCTGTAACTTCAGTTTTTCTCTCCTCAAGTTCTTGCAGCTTTCGGTCTACGCGACATTTACGTCTCTGTTCACGTTCTACAGACTGTTGCTGTTGCTGATCCTTTGTTGTCTCTTGTTCTTGCTTGTGATTTGCTTGCAGTTGTTGCTGTTGCAAATGTTGCTGCTGCTGCAATTGTTGTTTCAACAATTGTTGCTGGTGTTGCAATTGTTTTTGTGCTTGGTGTTGTAGTTGTTTTTGTGTAATTTGTTGTTGTTGTTGTTGATGTTGTATTTGTTTTTGTGCGTGTTGCTGCTGCAATTGTTTTTGCGATGTTTGCTGCTGCTGCTGCTGCTGCTGCTGCTGTTGTTGTTGTTGCTGCTGTAGTTGTTGTGTAATATGCGTTTGTTGTGCCGAGTTATTGTGGCCATTTTGTTGTAGATGCGTTTGATTATTAACGTAATTTAACATTTGGTTGTGATTATTATTAGAGATAATATTCTTCTGTTCAAGCTGAGATGGCTGTGTTACAGGAGCAACCTAAAATTGTTTTTATGAGTAAATAACTATTGACAATAATTGTTATTCTAAACCTCTATTGATAAATCCACGCTTACCTTTTTGATTTCTTGAGATTCTTTGGCAATTGTCGGTGATGGTATGGTATGTACTTCTTCAGGAAGATGGCCATTAGTATGAATCCCATTACCATTTACTATGACTGGACTAGACGGTCCATTTTCATCCCAGAGACGAACTGACTCATAAATTGGCTCTTGTTTTTTTGGCATTGTTGCTCCGTTGGTCATTCCATTGGCAAATTGAAGAGGTGGTGGCGGTGGAGGCGGAGGTGGCCCAGTCGGCTCAGGCAAACTCGGCCCTTTCTTCTGTCCAGTAACAATATTTTCTTCGATGACTGCAGTCTTTTCTTCTAGTGGTTTCTCTTTGGTCTTATTATTTTTCTCAAGCTCCTGTTGTATCACTGATTCAAGTTCTATATCGAGGTTTTCTACCAATTCGGTGATTTGTTGATCTATTTCCTCTATAATTTGATTGGTCTTTGAAGATTGTACGTCGGATAGGAAAGAAAACAGATTGTCAAGATCCACAGATTCTGCAGTTGGACCATTGCTATTGTTGTTATTGTTATTGGCCATCTTGGAATTAAATTGCTCGGCCATTTGCGAAAGAGCAGCAATCTCCTCTTGCGCTTTTCTGCAAAACAAAGAAATTCAGCATTTGAAAGATCTCAAATAATTTTATAGCAATCGACAATACGGTGTTAGTGAGATTCGATACATCCAACCAAAAAAACCTAAAGGTTTGTTTCAAACTATTGAGTGAATCATCAAATTGGAACATGTTTTTTAAGAAGAAGTGTCTTGATTTTTTGTATTGTGTTTTAAAAAAGTAAAAAAAATTTACAGTTCAGTATAAATTGTAAATTATAAGAGTAAGAACAGCAAGTGTATCAAGCAAATTATTAAAATAAAATTTTTCCATAATATTGTTTTAGTAATAAGATAGGACGTGATTTGATTAACACATGCCAAGTACAAGACACATCGGAAAATCTTCACTCTTAATTTGACAAACTTACCCAGCCTCCATACCGGCCATACCATTGTATTGATTGCTATAATTATACAAACGAACGTTCTTATAACATTATCCCGGCCATGGATATTAAGACAAGTTAATAACGCCATTTGAGAAAAATTGTTAGATTCATTGTGTGAGATAGTAAAAAATAGTAATTACCTCTGACTCTCCTCAAGGGCCTTTTTGTCTTCCATAAGTCGTCTTTCTTCTTCAAGCCTTTCGCGTTTCCGCATCTCCTCCTCGACGCGCCTCAATTCCCTTAATGCAGACGCCACTTCCCGTGCAAAAACTCCACGCAAATGTGACTGTATGACTATTGCAGCTCGTCGCTTCTTCAAAAATATTATGCGCGATTTCCAGCCGCGATAAGCGTGCTGTATCTTTAAAGCGGCATCCTTTTGTCGCCGGTATCCTAAAAGCAAATTATTCACTTGATAATGTAACTCGATCTTCCCTCCTACTCCTACTATATTTTTATAATAATATTTTAAAGCTTTTTTTTTGTTTTTTTTCAAATATTACCTTTACGGACTACACATCCTCTCCACGTCTTCTGAATAAGCGTAGCTTTACTATTAATAATTTGATTCCTCGCATCTTCGAGAGGCTCATGAACGGTCTTCCTGAGAAAAACTTTGTTTTTGCCAATTTGCCACTCGGCTGGCATTGCATTCTTATTTTTAATTAAAGTTCTAACGGCCTCTTTTTCGTCTTTGGGCAAAGCGAATCTACTCTTTTCCAAACAGCGGTATCGTGACAAAAAGTCAGTGAAAGTCATGTGTGTCGGGAAACCCTCTTTTCTGATTCGAATGATGTCCAGCATGCCCAGGTATCTAAGCTGATCCAGCACTAACTTCTCGTCATAGTGGTTAGCTTTCTTGTCCATGTTTGGCTTTATGCAACGCGCGTACCAAGGGGTCGTGCCTTGCAGCACATCGACTAAGGCTTGAAGTTGCTGTCGAAAAGTATCGCAGAGAGTCGGCTTCCCCTTAGACGTACCCCTTGAGAGGGTGGTAGCGTTACTAGAGGTTCGGCCGTAGGTGCAGCCAAGAAGGTCCTGTTGGAAAATTTATGAAACGACAGTTGCAGGCGACATGAACGACATGAACGATCGATGATGGCATTTGAAAGAGACGTACCTGGAAATCCGTGAGCTCTTTGACAAACTCATTTTGGCTTCTGGTCATGAAGTCGAAAAACACGTCCTGCTGCACATCACGATTCTTGTCGACGAAACCCTCGATGGAGTAGGTGACCGAGCCAGCGTAATGCTTCAAGCCAAATTCTTTCTCCCACTTGCGCCGATCCTCGCCCTTGAGGTAGCACGGGTGGCTCTCGAATTCCGTGTGCAAATTGGTGAGATAGGCAAGATCCGAGCCTTTGGGCATGTGGCACTGCTCGGTAAGGAGCTTGAGAACGCAGCGCGGAGGCTTCTCGATGAGCTCCAAGCAGCTGGTGTTGTCCGTGAAGGTGATGTGCGAGTACTGAATTTCCTCTTGGCGATACTGAAACGAAAGAGGGTTAGCGTGCGTGCTGCCAGTTGCCAGATGCGCGCTTGCGAAAGCTCACCAATTCCTGCTCGAGCGCGAAAACGTAGTGGTTGAAGAACTTGTGCAGCTTCTCGTTGGTGTAGTTGATGCAGAGCTGCTCGAAGCTGTTGGTGGCGAAGTTTTCGAAGCCGAAGATGTCGAGGACACCGAGGAACCTGGAGATGTCCTGGCCCGGATTGGTGCAGTTGTTGATGTGATTGATGAGCCAAGCGAAGGTTCTGGAATAGAGGGCCTTGGACATGGCGTGTCTGTTCTCCTTGGCCTCCTGCAGCCGCAGCGGGATCTCGGTGATGTTGCCGCGCACGTTGATCTCGCGCTGTAGAACTATCCTGGCGAGGTCCTCGGCCTGCAATCCCAGCAGCGGCGCGACGGTCTCGACGATCGCGCGGTCCTCGGCGGTCAGCTCGCAGCGCTCGCCGTCGACGTCCTGGAAGCTGAGGTTGCCGAGCCAGAGGATAGCCGAGATCACGCGGTAGATGCCGTCGCACATGTCCGCCGGCACTTGCAGCACGTTGAAGGCCAGCCGCAGCGCGTCCAACTTCTTGGCGTCGTCGAGACTGTCCGGCTGCTCGCCCGACTGGCTAAGGTACTTGTAGAAGCTCGCCGGCTTGAGCCGGTACTGCTCGGCGAACTCCCGGTCGCGACCGGCGCCCTCCACCAGCTGGTAGAACACGTGGTAGTTGCGCTCGCCCGCGCTCTGGAAGGTGATGCGGCTCTGCTCCAGCAGGTAGTCCTGAATGATGCAGCCCCTGATCATCCACTTGCTGTCGAAGCACACCTGCATGAACTTGCCGAAGCGCGAGCTGTTGTCGTTGCGCACCGTCTTGGCGTTGCCTGCAAGCCACCACGTCATCACGCCACGGGGCCTCGCGATCATACTCTCGGCCCCCCGGACACTCACCGAAAGCCTCCAGTATCGTGTTGGCCTCGAGGATCTGCTGCTCGACCCAGGTGTCGACGTTGCTCGTCACCGAGCACAAGTACTGCAGTATGAATTTAGTCGTCTCGGTTTTGCCGGCGCCGCTCTCGCCCGATATCACGCAGGACTGGTTGCCACCGGTGTCCTTGAGCGAGCGGTAGGCCGCCTCGGCCAGGGCGAACACGTGCGGCTCGAGGGCACCCATTTTTTGGCCATGATAGCGCTGCACGTGTTTCTGCAACACCGATCGATTGGCCAAATTGGAGCAGATCGTCCAAAGGGGCCGGCTTCTATTGTTACGCGCTCTCGCTGCTAAAAGCTACAAAAAGGCTAAGAAGGCTCTAAGAAGGCTAAAAAGGCTAAAACGACTAAAAAGACACGGTCAGGTGCCGCCGGTCAATTCACTGCTAATGAATAGCGACGCCTTCGCACGGCGGGTTGAACGGCCTATCCACCGTTGCAGCCGAGAACCGTTCGGTGAATAAGCCCCTGTAAAGCATATCCAGCCTCGTGCATTCCCAAGCATCATTGCAAACGCGCCTTAGCCTCGCTCGTTGAGCGTCGGAAGCCCAAAAAATTAATTTACATGTGCGCTCGTCGGATCGCAACGAGGCTTTCAAGCAGATTAATCGACGTGCGCTTTTCCCCCGACGACGACGGGATTGCGCTTCGGCGTAACGGACGCAAGTAGTGCAACCCAGTTTAACGTCAGCCAGCCGCGTTTGCCCCCATTCGCGGTGCACCCCCTTCTCGCGCGCGCTCTCTCCCTCTCTCTCTCCCTCCCGTTTTTTTCGCACTCGACACACTGCGCTCATTTTCACGGGGCTCTATCTCGTTGGCGCTTCTTATATGCCTGCTTCTTTTCGCGCTTTGCCAAATGGTGCAAAACTCGAGCACTGCTGTTTTACGTATAAGTAACGCGCGCTATTTTCATCAAGAAACTCGCAGAGTAAACAAAAGGACACTTCCAAAGGAGATTGTACTTTTATTTGTCCGTCGTCGATATTTCACTAACGCAACTTGAGTGGCCGGTGTTGCGTAGAAATTAGAGGCTTACTTTTAGCCCAGTTTGCTCCACGAGTAATTGAAAGAGGCGAATTGAACGGCCACTGAGGGAGGGAGCGATAGCCACCGGTAGGGTTATTGTGGCTTTATTTATCGAAAGCTCTTGAAAACTGAAAGCCGAGCACGCTCGCGCTAAGCGCTCCTGCTAAAAATATGCGAAGGGAGCAAGGTACAAGTCAAATTCATTAAGACGACATGTACAAGTTGATTAAAAAGCGAAGAACACGGCAGCTTCCAGCTTTCCACGAAAGGGAGCCGCGTAAGCAAACTGCATGGTTTCGTCACCGCGAGCGAGCGACAACGAGCTCTCGTTCTCATTCGACGATCGTCGCGGTCGTTCCGAAGAAAGCCACAGGCCGCAGATGCAGAGTCGCGCCTCGTACTCCAGTGCGCAAATATACTTAGCCGTACAAGAATTAACAAAGTAGCTCGCCCTTTTAAGCGAGTTTGCACGTGCCATCCGCTCGAATCGCTCGCTCGGGCAAGACTTTGCTCGTTTCGATTATGGATTATACCCTTCTGCCAATCAACCGGCAAAACAACTCGAGAGCTGGTCTGACAGGGAGAGATTAATTATTCGGCAAGAGCGTAACGTTGAGATCACGTTGAGATCGGACGGTAAGCAGTAGACTAGTTTCTTCGGCTAGTGAACCTGCTAGTAAACAAGAATGACCTATGGAGGTCCTCGAGAAACCGTGTAATTGGAAGTGCACTGACTTCCACCAGCCAAGCTAGCCACGGGGCGAATCGTCGCGCGGGGGGGCAAAGACGAAGCAACAGCTGCTACCGCCGATAAAGCAGAGCGCGATGTCAATCGAAGTGGTCGCAAGGAAAGAGAGCCGCTAAAGGCTTTAGGGAGAGAGAATCCGAATCGGCTGGCGGCAGGGCTGCGCGCTCTTTCTCCCGCGTCTCTCGGCCGATCAATAACCGGGCGTGTGCATCGCGCAGCGCCCCGCGGCTCGCGAGTCGCGAGTCGCGCCACTAGCCCGCCGCTTCCCTGCACGGAGAGGGATGCGCCGACGAGGCCTCGGGCATCTCGAGCATCGAGACGACTCGCACTCGGCTGCCCAGGTCGAATAAGCACCGGCGCATTCCAGTCGGCTAGCGGGCCCGCGCGACCTAGTCGTCTCGTCGGCTGGCTCCCCTCCTCTCGCGCGCGCGAGCAAGCTACGCACATCGGAACCGGGAGACCCGATGGACCGGTGCGTCCGAAAATATACGAAAGCGGAAATAAAAGCGCAGTGCGCGTGCTTGGTTGCGCGGCACTCGGTGCCCGAAATACACGAACGTAGCATCTCGAAGCAGCTGCTTGACGCGCCCACTGATCCCTGCAAATAGAAAGGCGCGTGCTTGACGTGAAAACAGGCCGGATGGACTTATTGGTGAGCTGCAGCCCAGTTGTCGTTGAATACAGTCACGAGCGCGCAGCAAATTGGCTTTGATGGACTACATATCCTATCTGGCACGCGACATGCGTTCGAGTCGTCGCCGTATTTTTGCAGACCACGAGCGGCCGATCATCTCCCCTCGTTGCGCGCACATTCGTGTTTCGTCACGGCTCCATCGCCTATAGAGCCGTCGCGGTGGCAGAGCCGGCGGCTCGCTCATCGATTAGACCTTCCCATAAATCTGCCACCTTTGCCCCACTATTTGCAAATTTCTAACACGGTAATCGACCGTAGCACGGTAATGGGCGCGCCGCGCAGTAGTCAAAAACAGAAAGATATAGACATCGGGCGCTCGTCACGTGTGCCGGTGTGTTTACTATTCTCCGGCGGCACTTCCGTCGGAGCACAACGGATGCCCGCCGAGAGACAGAAAACAGAGGAACAAACAGAATTCAGACTCTACTCTCGTCGAATGTCGAGCTCTGGTCCGCTGTCTGTCCGATCCAAGGCTACTTTCGAGGAGAAAGATTGTCCAGCGGTCTTAGTTCATACTCACCAGGGTGTAAAAATCGACCTCCTTGTACGGGTTCACGGCAACCAGGATCGATCCCGTGTACGTCTGTTTTTCATCGGGTCTCTGGTCAAGGAAAATAAATTCGCTGAACGTACGCTGCATTGCATTAATTAACGACTTAAATAATTAACAATTTCTTCGGTCCCGAGCCTTCGATTCCTTCGATTCCTTCGATTCGCCTATGCGCGAGAGCATGACGTCAGCCTAAGTCGAGGAGGGGCTAGCAGCGGTCGTAAGCGATGACTCACGCAGGCAAGTCCAGGGGCTGACGGGACGCGCGCCGCCCTGGGCCACCACTTGCATCACGCGTAGACTTGCACAGCTGGGCTACACGCACGACAATCCAATTATAATCGAGCCGTCCCGCGTCGCTCCAGTCCACATGCAGAATCGAATGCTTCGTCCACGAAATTAAAATAGTCCCGTCTTTGATGTTCGTTTGCAAGACACGAACGAGCCACTCGGAACGGCTTTTCTTTTGTTCCTTTCCACGTTCCACGATCAATTTCCTTCGGCAATATCGAGGCGCGAAGAGTGCAGCAGTACAGCAGTACGGCAGTACAGCAAGGGGTGGGGCCCGACAAGAGTCCGCGACAGCAATGGAAGCGCGCCCGCCCAAGTGCAAACGATGGGCCAGGGCAACGAGCCACCTACGCGTACATAGTTCAGAGACTTATCGAACAACGGAGAGAATGCCGTTGGATGATAAAACGATTTTGCGCGTGTTACCTTTCGAGCTATCAGTTATTCAACATTAGTCGCATCGCTTTCAACTTTTATATTTTATATTTTATAGTTCACTTTCAAATCATACTAATATTTTTTTTCGAAATTTTCTTGATTCGGGCACAGGCACTTGATTCGCTGTACGCCTGCAGAGTAAAATCGAACTTTGATTTTGACTTTTCAAGTAGCATTAACAAGAATGACACCGTCATTTAAAAAATCTTGTCCGCCCAAAGGATCGTCATAAATCGCTGGCCTTGAAGTCATTTGCCCGCCATCGTTTTGAAATATCTCGAAATGTGCAGGATCACAATTGGCGCAGAGCGATCATTGGCGATGACTTGCGCTAAATTAAAATCTCTCGAAATGCGAACGAAGCGAGCGGCCATTGGCCTTCGTGAAATCGTATCAATAATTTCAGAAATGGCAAGGGTAGGGAGAGAGGAAATAACTTGCGAGGCATCCATCAGGACTCGCCTGCCGAGGGCTTGAGCGGGCTGTGACAGTTGGTCTGCACCTGTTTTCACCTGGCTTTTGCTGGCCGGCACGTGCAGAGGCCGCGAAGGATGAAGCTACGAGCGAGGCGCCTGCAACTTGCCAAATCATTGGGTGCGCTCTATCGCGGCCTTGCTTCTAGAACGTTGGATCGATTCGTTGAACGTCAGCCCGCATTTAAGCACTGGAAAACAGACGATACACAGCCGTCGCAGCCGAGCGCCAAGCGCACCTCTGCAACGACTTGTTCTCCCGCGGCAAATGCCCCGTCCAATTCCAAGGCACAAATATACGGGGCTTGAACGTTTGCGGGCGAGCAGACGCGAGCACACGCGACTGGCGTTGTCGGTCATTGGCGCAGCGTCGCTCGAACGAGCTTTCAGACTCCCACGCGACTGGCGCGAGCGACAAAACGTCGCGAGACCGTTGACACTATCTTGGTTGATGTGGAAACAAGCTTTTCTCGCAATTTCATCGACTCAGCAATACGTTGAGGCCTTTTCGCTGGCGAGCGGTGCAGTTGGTGCAAATCAATAATTGAATTATCGAGCAGCGCTCGTGATGAAGGAACGCCCTATTACCGACAGCAGTAGAGGCTGATCGTACGAATATCATTAGCGCGACAACATTCCATTGACTAGGAGGCGAAATGACAAGTAAATCAGAGCACGCCGATTGAATATCCTGCCCATATAACGATCCCAGCTAGGAGACCTGGGAGACCTGGGAGCGGCGAAAAATAACTCAATTTCCCCGAATCCAATCAACGCCAACGAGTGACTATGGAATATAGCGTTAAAGTAAGAGCGACTTTACAGGATATCGAGGTACATCCAAATAGTCGCAGCTCGAGCAAGCCGAGGAAGAATTAATGAAAAGATAGCACGAGGCCGAGCTCATACAGGTGTGCTCTCTCTCTCTCTCTCTCTCTCTCTCTCTCTCTCTCTCTCTCTCTCTCTCTCTCTCTCTCTCTCTCTGCAGTGCCGTGAACACCGCGCAGTGTGTATACCAGCTGTATTGCGTCTGCCACAGGCTGTCGCCGTGGCAACCACTACACCCAGGCGCACCGCGCTGCTGCAGCAGCATCTCGTCGGTGTCGTTGTTTATTTACCTATTTGCCTGTTTTGCGACAAGTCAACGAAGACTTCTTCTTATAAATTGTACTTATAATTATACTGCTGTACTCTCCAACTCGGTTCTCTCCCGCTATATCCCATTCTATCCCACTACATCCTCTCTCTTTCTCGAGCGCTTCGACCGTCAGACACAAGGTCGCGTTACGTTTAAGGCTAAAGGGCTGAAAAGGGCTAAGTAGGCTCCGTAAATATCTTGGCACCAGTGTTCACTCAGCCGGGCTCGCCGAGGCAGACTCCATTAACGTCGTCGATTGGTGCTTTACAAAGGATACGTAAATCTCGTCGCGACCGTAGCGGATCTGCAGATTTCGATTGATGCCCCTCTCGTCGATGTCGCTGATGACCGTCATGTCCGGCACCCCGGACTCAGGGCTGCAACCTACAACAAACAAGAACGCGTTCGGTTAGCGTGAGCTGCAGCAAAAGCTACTCAAAGTTTGGCGCAGCGGTCTGGCCGCAAGCCTGCAACGCGCCAACTACGTTTCACTGACGCGTTCAAGCCATTTGCAGACAGGCGGAGAGGCTCGGTGCGTCACACCGAAAGAGCCTCGAGGTTGCATCCGTGTCAGTGGAATAATGGGTAAATCAACGGACGGTCGACGAGCGTCGAGCTGTACGCGAAGGACTAGCGAGGCTGGCGGGCAGCTGATCGCCTCTCTCCGCTTCGCTAGCAGGTGCTGCGCCAGCTGGCCTGCCGAGCGAGCCGTCCGTTCGTTTGGTCGCCTGGTTTGGGCGCCGCGACCTCGCAACTCGGGAGAACACCGATCGCGGACCGATCGCGGACCGATCGCGGACCGATCGCGGACCGATCGCGGACTGATGGCGAACAATGCCAACGACCAACTTGTTGCGGTCGACGGAAGAGGCCGAAGAAGCCAAGAGCGACTGCGCCCTCCTGCTCGCTCCCCCTCTTGGCGTTGTTCGCGAGGCGGCGAGGAGGGCAGGCTGCAAGTGCCACTCCGCGGTTGGTCGAGCTGAAAGGCGTCACGGGCTGCCGACGAGAAGAAGCGGACCGACCGGTGCGCATTAGGCACTTGATGCCGAGGCCAAGCCGAGGGGGAGCTTGCACATGCACGGCCGAAAAGACGCGCGAGGCAGCCGCGGAATGGGGAAGTGTGTGGGTCAAGGGCTCGTCGCTCGCGAGTGTCGTCGGCTGAGCGATGTAACGTTTAGACACTCCCGCACGCCCCGACCCCAGTCGAGAGCCTTTCGTTTAGCACTCCCCTCCGGCAGCCCTTCGCAGCCCTTCGCAGCCCTTCGCAGCCCTTCGCAGCCCATCGCTGCGTTTACGTGCGACAATTTTCACGGCTGCGTGCGCGGCCGAGGGCAAAGGAGGCTCGCTGACAATCGATATTTCGACCGGAGGATCGCCTCGCTGCCGCGCTCAAATTACCTAACTAGCCGCCCCAACGTTTGCCAACACATTTGGATCGAGACGATTGCTGTGTGCGGACTCAATTAGCTGACCGCGCTTACACCTTCCAATGAGAGCGGATTTTATTTCCGGACAGAGATGGCGGAGATGGAAAGCGCGACTTGACGAACAAGTTGCGTTACGGGGCAACAAACGAGACGCGTTATTTGGCGCTCGGAGGAATCGGATGGGCGCCGCAGACACGCACAGCGTGTCGGTCGCTATGCCCATCGACGGCCAGATTCGCTGACTCGTCCGCGAGCCTGCTGTCGCGATCGAGCTTTGCCGGGGCATTCTCTTGCTTCGTTCCGCCGCTCGTCGTCACGCACGCGATCGACGCTTCGACGTGCATCTAATTTTAGAGCACAATGCTTTTCTTCTTCTCGCCTTGGACGTGCGTGCCTCGAATGCTCCGTCGCTGCGCTGGATGCTAGGCAGTTCCACTTCCGTAAGGATCGATTACGCGCGCGACTCCCGAGTAGAGAAATTGCTCGGTCTTGGCCGCGACGAGCTCGTAGTAGCGTAGGCGGATTTTGGCGTGCCGACGCCACAGCAGCGCGGCAGCGCGCGCACAAAGCTTTTCTCACGCTCAGTCGCGCGTACGTATGAAGAGCGAGTTGTAGCCCTTGCCGTGCGACGACGACGGCGGGAAGTTATTAAGGCGAAAAATTCCATGATCCCTGAATCGGCGCATCCGCCGGACATGACGAGCTACTTGCGCGTCTACGCGTACGCGAGCCTTTTCAGAAGGTCTACTTGTTTGTGCTCGGGAGCTCCGCCGAGCCAGACGAATCTTGACTCGCGTTGGTCCGACTGACCCTCTGTCTGTCTCTCTCTCTCTCTCTCTCTCTCTCTCTCTCTCTCTCTCTCTCTCTCTCTCTCTCTCTCTCTCTCTCTCTCTCTCTCTCTCTCTCTCTCAAGACGTCGACGACGAGTTTTCCGACGGCTCCACGGCTCGTCAATTGCCATGCTCCCGCATAGACAAGCCATAACATTATGAATATTGCATGAGCGAATGGCTTGATCAACACTTTCACCTCCGACATTCCGGAAATTCTCCTGGAGAACGGGCTGCTTGTGTGACTCATCGAGGAGTCGAGGAGGGGCAGCAGGGCCTTCCGTGGCGACGCCAGGATCGATAGAGGAGCCTCAAATTTGACCAGACTTGCTTGTCATTGCTCGCGAAGCGCAATCGGTCGCAAATGAAGCTGACGCGGCGCTGCGTCGTGCAACAATACAAGGCGAGCATCCCGCTTGTCGATACGAAGAATGTCGATCGAGGTGCGAGCTCTTGCGCGGCCTCTCGTTATTCGCCGACGCTACCGAAAGAAATCTCGAGCTCGGCTAATGTGTATTAACGAGCGACGATTAAGCAGTGACGACAGTGAGGACGCGAAGCAGTCGCAGCCATTCTCTGCCTATCGCTTTGACCTTCGCTTAATACACTTGCGCGTGCCAAGCGCTGCCGCCTATTGCAATCGCGGTTTATTCACGGAAATCGGCATCCGTCTGGAAACGTCAGTGCATAGTGCGTCTGATTCGACTCGTTGAGGCTTCTTCAAATTTCCACTGGCTTTCTGCTTCTCCTCTATTCGTCCTCGCTGCTGCAACTGCCGACAGTATTTAACTAATGGACATTCCAATGTCGGAAAGCAAGCTATCGATGCCTGACGCAATGCCAGGGAAAGCATGATTCAGTTTGATCGGATTTCCGGAACAGCAAGAGCCAACAACGTGGCAAAAAAGGAGGCGAGCAAACCAAAACCTCGTGAAACTCAGCAAAAAAGCTTTCAAACTGCTGAGAAGCAGAAAAGCTCGCCGAGCAAAGTCCATTAATCGACACTTCGACAGTTACCGCGAGGTCCGCGCCCAAGACAAAAGCCCAAGCATCGAGATCGACCGAACGGCTAGTGCATACAACAACGATTCGCGCACACACCCATCCTCTTTGGTCTGGTTGCTATACAGAAGAATCAGGGAGAACCGAGCCGTGTACCAGCCTGCAGGGTCAACGTCTCCCTCTCGCCGCCCGCGCGATCCTCTGGAAATCATGTCCAAAGAAAAAATCCCGCTTTTATCGTCCACGGATTGCCCTTCTTTCTCTCGCTCTCTCACGCACACACACACGCGCGCGCGCGCGCACGAGACCATCTCCAGTTCTACGGCTGTCGTTGTTGCAAAGTTCTCATAGAGAAGCCGCCGCAACTCGCCAATCTTTATGCTAAGTTCACGCTATCTTTATGCTCGAAAAGACTCGAGTTGAATTAAGAACGGAGCACGCGACAACTAAAAGCAGCTTTCAAAGCGGAAGGATTAAAAGCCACACGGCGCGTTAAACCCTCACTCTCTACATGCCATTGGCACTAAACGACCCGTTCGAATGCCATCGATTACTCAGCTTGAACATCTTTGCGCTCGTTCATGCATCTGGAAAGTGCGTGTAAAGATGCGTCTGCGTACGCCCCCAATGTGTACGAGTCAGGACAATCGATGTGTGGCAAGTTCGTAACGGGCTCAGCGGATAGATTATCGCGAAGCAGCCCTGCACAGCGCTGTTATCGCGCCAAATTTGCCCAGTACTCATCGCGGCACATGCCTGACACCTAACTCCACCCTCGCCGCAACTCATCCACGAAAATTCAATATCCCTCCCGCCTCCCCACCCTCCTCTTCGACCAGAGATACGCCCCTGAGATACGTACCTACGATTCGTCTGCTGATTGTTTAACCAGTTTTTGGCGCGCTGAAACTCGTGCAGCCGCGTACTTTTGTCTAGATTTCCAGTGTGTAATGGTTATTAGTCACGACAACGTTTTGGAATCACATGTCGTGCCCCGCCGTCGTTGTCTAGCAGCTTTGTGGTCAGAAAATTTAGTCTCGCGAGAATCAACCTGACGTGTACGCTCTCGCAGAAAATTGATAGAAGCTGCGAGAAAGGCAGCGAGCGCAAAGCAGCGAGGGTGGTGCCCGCCAGGCAAGCAAGCAAAACCCATTAGTTCTCGACGCGCGTTTGCCGAAAAACGGCAGGGACGAAAACACGACACAGTACGCACTCGATCTTCATCGATTCTTGTGTCGCGCGCTCGTGTACCCGAAAATAACGAACGAATTGTCGAAACGTAAACAACGCACACAGAGATAACTCACCCAGAGTATTAGCAACCATGACCGAAGCGTTGTTGCTGGTCTGCTGCTGCAGGGGAAACTCTCCTGCTGGGGGTTCAGTCAGCAGCAGCGCCAGTTCATACTAGACACCGAGATCCATCCACCCCCTGTGCGCGTGAGTTGCCAATCGCGCACGCTCCTTACGGGACGACCACTCTTCTTTCTCTCGCTATCGTTCCTTTTCTCAGTGTTCTCTACAGTGAATCTCTACATCTTATTCAGCCCAAGTTCGGATGACAGGCAGCTCGTTCGCACAGGAGGCTGTCACACTTTTCACAACAATCACACAGCACTAGGCACCCGGCACGGCAGTATTGCTCAGGGGGCTGGTATACACACGCGCGTACACCCGCTTCTTCTCTCCTCCTTTTTACATGCGCAAATGGGCTCGAGTGCGTGTAGAAAACACACAGCAAACCGAACCCACGCTACGAACCCGACGACGGTTGCCACCCGACTGATACATACAGCCAAGGCAAGCCAGCAGCAGCCCTGCCTCTCGCTTGCTCGCTCGCTCGCGCGCGCTCTCTCTCTCTCTCTCTCTCTCTCTCTCTCTCTCTCTCTCTCTCTCTCTCTCTCTCTCTCTCTCTCGCTCTGACGCACACACGCAGCCGCGGACACGACACGACGCTACAGCAGAGCTCTCCCCCTTCTTGCTACATGAAGCGCGTACACCTTTCTCCCTTCGCCCTCGTGCAGCGGCTCTGTAATCGGTGCACGGGACCTACATTTTTTTACATAAAAGGTTTTCACAATAATTGGCCATGATCGTTAGAAGAGTGGTTGATGATTTTTTTTGTCAATTTTGGACTGCCAGGTAGTGAAATTACTTGCAACGATAACGGCCAAAAGAGACGGATGTAAACAAAGCGTGAGTCGACAAAGTGGAGCCGCCACTTACCGATTGAGCATATAATTATTTGTATGCTTATTAATCTCGTTATTTCTCTTTAAATTATGTGTATTCACTGATCATTGCGAGTCGAAAATTTTAATAACTCATGCCTTGAGGTACGTCATTTGACGAATAGAAAGCTAATTTGTCCAATCTCCAGTGACCTACATTAATATTTTATCATTGGTAGAGGGCAGCAGTATTCGACAAGATCGGTGACTCAGGTCGTTCATCTTTCTTTTCTTTATTTTTAAATCGTGTCTGTTGTGATTGTCAAAATACGAACTGTCAGTTACTATTTTGTTACATCTCGTATGTTCTTATCAAGTGACTGCAACATTTTCGTTGGATAACATTAATGTTTCGTACAGTTTCAACGACTGTCACAATCTCCTTTTGTACAAGTTATGCACATGATTGAAAATTTTTTAGAAGGTTGTAAGATTTATGTATACTCTTTTACATCGTAGACGTGAGAATTTAAGGTTATAAACAAATAATATTGCTTAATGAGTAATTTAAAGTCAATGAAATATTATATCAAGTTCAATGACGTTTGGCTTATGTGAAAAATTGTTATAAATAAGGTAATCATTAGATAAACGATTTTTTCAGTTTTTTATTCCTCCTGAAGATGTGAGCTAATGTCTAAATAGAAAAAGAACAGAGAGAAAGCGAGCCAAGATTCAACAATAGATTCAGTAAAGTGGAAGACCATTCAGTTTCGTTTTACCAGTAAGTACAGTCAAGTTCAAAAGATACATTCGTAACAATAGACTAGCTATGAGTATCTTATACTTAATATCTTGAAGAAAACTGACCCATCAGTTTGCCTACGAAAATCTTGCAGTTGATTGTTATTTTTGTTATGGCGATTCTTCCATCGGTCCAATAATCATAATTAGTAACCTGTTTATTATAAAACAAGATCCTCGTTGTTTTGTGCAACATAAAAGAAAAAAGTAACAGTAACGCGATAATATTCGTATTAATTTCGAATGCGAGACGGACACATAACGGTAACTACGAATTTAGCCTTTGCGGAAGTGCGCAAATATATTCGCGCACCCCCGCACATTGAGCACTTAGGAAACTCGAGATCCGCATTACGATGAGCTTTATGGTAGCAAACTTGATGACCTTTACTAATCTAGGTTGTGTACGCATGGTATTTGCACGAGAAAGTAAGCGGTCGATATATTACATCATGACGATCGGCCACATGAATCACTTGGCGAATATCGTATGACACTGCTGCACTTCAAGGTTTAACATGTCACTTGTATACGCGCGTATGTGTATGTATGTACTTTAATTAAAAACGATGCACGCGACCCTGTCATCGACACTCTGCTCTCGTTCCATTCTTACACTTATACACCTACGCGCGATATGTGCAGTCAGGTAGTCTGGAATTAACTATTTTTCCGTGGGGATACTTGCATTTGAAAGATCGACTCGTACATCGCTGTTTCAATTATGGTAATAAGCGCTGTTGCTTGCAAAGTGTCAAGTCTCGTTTCAAATAAACATTAGGATTGTGCAAACTCACGTGTCGTCAACTATTGTTTTACGTTAGTTCATTATATTACAATAATAGCGAATTGTCATGCTATGGGTGTAGCAACTAGTTGGTGCTTCTATTTGTGGCTTTCAAACCCTCGTAGATGCCACCGTTGACTATATAATTTCGGAATCGCAATATTTTCTAGGAAACAAGCAGCAACTTCAACATCTTGAAATGAATTTTGACGTATCTCGAGAAACTTTATCGACTCGGCTCTGCTCGAGAGAACAATGACTGTTCAGATCACCTAACCAGCCAATATCCGTAGGTCGGGAAAAATCAGTCAGTCCGTGTCATAATGTGCGTTGCGTAAGTAACGCGAATGACGAGGTCACTTCTTATCGGCCCATTCTCTTTTCATGCTTGACGGCCGAGCAATCAAGATAGGTAAACGTTGTCCTCGACAGCCGACCGTACGAGCATAGCTGCGTTGCCCCTCTGAGCATAAAAAAACTCAGTGCACATCTGTGACAAAGAAAAGACGAATAAGGGCAAAAGCTAACCTGCCACTCTGCCTGATATCGACAAACTCACGGAAATGGTATTCGATCGGCAAAACGTTCAACTCTTCGACAGTTGGAAATTGGATGGTATCGAACGTGAATCGGTAGTCGGCAGCGCGAAGGACAGTAGGTCACGGTGTAGGTATGGAGTTGCGAAATACCAGACGGGAAAAGGTGCAGCACATCCAAGTCGCGTACAACAAAAATTAGCGTGTCCCTCGCGAATCGTCATCGTTGTGTTACCTACCTCGAGTTTCCTCTTTTCTCCCTTCTCAGCCACGGGTTTCGGTGTGAATTTTCCGAATTTGCGGCTGCCGCGCTCGCCGTCCAGTAACGCGACCGCTCTCTCCGATTCTCAAGCCTCTTGCGAAACCTCGTTTTTCGCGGTCAGCAGTCTTTCATTAGCGCGCGCAAACATTTTCCAGCGAACGGCTAATTGTCGTTTTGCTCGGGGACTTTCATAAACATTCGCGCTTTGCGCTGTGATGATCGGCCGACTAATCCAGTTGATTTGCGATTTACAAAAAGAAAAACAACGACTATTCCACGGGTGCATGATCAGCGCAGCTGACCGGTTGCAGCATCGTATGATTTCCAAGTATTTCTCTCCAATTGCACTTTTACTCTGTTGGACCACGCGAGCAAGAGGAAGAGGGAGACGGAGAGGGAGAGGGAAAGGATCTCCACTTTGATCGCGGCCGCCGGCCGCTTTTTCGCGTTAGAGCTAGAGACAGAGAGAAGCTGCACACTGCACAGCACAGAAAAGGGGGCCGTTTACGAAATAAACCATGCTATATAAATATAACGACTAGAGGTTCGCTCCGCGTGGTGCTCGTTCGCTCGCGAATCGACACACTTTCACACGCGCGCCGCCGCCACTATTATTAATTTCAGCCATTACTTCGAATCCCCAGGCTACTTGCACCAAATATACGATTCTGTTCGGCCTCCTTGCGCTCGCATTTCCGTCAATTACGCGATATCCAATAAAGACAAGGCATCAGCTCTCACTTTCTGCTCGAGCGCCATCGTTTATGTAACCTGCCGACACACGCTCATCCAGAAGAAGAGCAGCCGAAACGCGCTGCCACCACGGGCCAGGTTGCACAAAGAAACTTGGCCGTCCTGAGGGTGACAGCCTTTCCTCTCGTTAATGGAAGATGCGAGTGTCGCTCGCGGTCCAGCCACATTACCACCTGTTGCATCATCGACCGACGCGCAAGAGCTTTCCGCGCAAGGTTCCCTTGATTGCCCGCGGAGTCAACGAGGCGACGCTTCCAGTCGCATCATTGCAACGCAGCGCGTTTTCCTCGTTCCGTTGGGCGTCGACGCTGCCGCGTCGAGTCCGACTGCGTCGCTGGCCCTTTCGGCAACTCGAGTCACTTGTTCGCAGCTCGCCAAACAAGTGCAGGCAAGAGCCGTGCTTGCTTTGCGTATTCGATTGCAATCTATAAAAAATGCAAACTTGCAACGCGACGACGTACAGGAAAGCTGCACTTGCGACACTAGTTGCGCAACATGGTGCTTTGCAAAACGCACGAAACGCACGAAACGCACGAGACGCACGTGACGCATGTGACGCGCTGACAAAAAAAGATCATCCATAGCTGCCGTGAATTGGCAATGGGGTCCGGCTGATTCGTGCCCACGCACGACCGATCTAATCGTGCTACGCGTTACGAAGCGCTGTATTCTTTATACGTGTTTCAGCGTACGGTGACCTGGTCTGCGCACAAAGGCTCACGAGACGTAGCAGCTGCCCAAGTGCCTACTCCAGCTGCACGCACGGAGCGCATGCGCAGCAGCGGGACTTTTCCTTTCGACAGTCTCGACCAGGCTGGCCGTCTGACTCCGGCGGTCGCCACCAGCGCGCAGTAGTCGCTCTGCTCGCGACACTCGAGTGTCGTTTCGCGTCGCAGCTCTGGCTAGTGCGTGCAGTGTTCTGCCAAGAGGAGTGTGACAAGTGCGCCGTGACCAGTGTAACATGCCAACTTGGACGAACTGGAGGCCGGGCGTGCACAGCCTGCAGCTGCAGACAGAGGACACTACGACGACGGGCAGGCGGTCAGGACACGCGTCCTAGAACCTCCATTCTTCGCAGCGACCTCCGTGCGGGCCGTCGATATGGCTTCGGTCAAAGTGGCCGTGAGGGTTCGACCCTTCAACAAGAGGTTCGTCTAGCATTACCGAGATGCTTCCACGAGTGGTCCAATCGACCGTTTTGCCCCTTCTCCTTATTTCGCGCGACCAAGCCTGCTCCCTTTTTCCGCGCATACGCAAGCACGTGATAAACGACGTATAACGGCGAGGCTCCCGTGGGTGCACGCAATAGTCCTGACGGATGCCGTTTGGCCTGCTTTGTTTACGTTCTTATCGGTCGTTCGGTTGGCGCTGACAGCGATTCACGTAGGCCGTCTTCGCGCTCGTTTCTCTTTTTTACGCGCGGTTTACGAAGAGCCAATCTCCGAAATCGATTTCCGAGTCGACAATCTATATATCACTAGGCTGTCTTTCGCACGGCTCTTTGACAGCGTCTCGTTAAAACAATATATTTATTGGGCAATAACGTACTGCCGACGTCGTTCGCAGAAGAAGCTAATTACGATTGCAAACCAGACCAATACTTGAACTCATACAAAAGGTCATTCGATGGTTGACTCGAGAGTAGATAGCGAAGATTAAAAAAAATGACCAATAGATAGTGATTCGAGATCGTCGATGCAGTTTTCGCGTGTTGACAAACGGAACATTGTTATGTCGATTAATAATCGGCGAACGGAGTAGCGGAATCTCTCTGTTTTTTCGAGTTTCAATGTATCTTTCCTACGTCAACTGCAACAGTCAAAGTTACACTTGGACTCGTAACAGACTCCTTAGTTATCAGCGCGCGCGAGAGAGAGAGAGAGAGAGAGAGAGAGAGAGACGGAGAGGCGCTACTATGGAATGTAGCGGATGTACAGTCCCTATCGCAATCGGTCATCTTCCAGGAAAAACGATCGACTCGACGTACAAAGCCAAGTCCGTGAAATTTTCACGCACAGGCATTTTCTTCGGGCGTAGCTCACTGCCCGTAGACTTTTCTCGTGTTAACGGGCACCCTTTGGACGCGAGAGTGGATTGGAAGCGCATTTTCATCCGGCTTATCGTCTCTTTTCCTTTGTCTTTCGCCGGGCAGTTCGCGCATAGCGTGCGCACGCGTCCACGCCTTTCTAGCTCGAGAAAAATAATCATTCGCTCGGCAACAAAAAATTTTAAGCCAAACAACCAACTCGCGCGCGTCGCTTCGCGCGCTCGTTGTGCCTGAACCTTGTTTTCCTTTGCAGGGAGCTGGCGATGAACGCGAAGCTCGTCGTTCAAATGGATACCAAGCGAACTCGGATCTTCAATACCAAGGTAATGTATTTGTCCGACTTTGTTAAGCGAATGCCACATTACGGCGCTCCTCGGGAACCGATGAAGCTCGGCCTGGCGTGAGCGACGCACGTTCACGACAAGTGCCAACTATTGCTTGAAATATCGTTAACGAGCTCCTCCGCGTTCGTCAACCCAATGCACAGATCCACGGATGTCCGCAGGCAAGCGTGACGCTCGACCTGCTTCGCTCTTTTTCTTCTTATTCCCTGTTTGTTTTTGCGAACCAAACAGCCACATGCCATTTTTCAAGTGTTCCACCGAACATTACACGCGGAAGACTTTTTGCCCGTGCCCATTGGCCTTGTGTTTGCGCAGGAGTTTGCTCAGGCGGGAGCAAAACGGAGTGCAGGCTTTTGTCGTTTTATCGTCCATCACTCGTCCACTGCGGATATTCGCGGAGCACTTTGGAGAAGAGTAATTCTGAACGACGCGTGCGTCAAGTGGTAATTATTTAAATACTCGGCAGATGTGAAAAGTTAGCAGAGATTCGGCCAACGCTTTTTTCGCGAGTAGATCATTTACGTGGCACGGCGCAGCTGTCGTTCGACATAATAATGTCCCAATGACACGCGTACGATAGCCGTGAACTTGTAATTGTACCGCGTAGATTTGCAATGATCGGTCTTTCGAGATTGAAAGACGAAAAAAACCAAGGAGAAAAAGAAGATCGGTAGACAGCAGATGTGGGCCAACAGAATTCCGTCTCAGGCGTGTGCACTTTGCATCCGATCGATATTTTTGATAGAAGAAAAGCACGTCGTGGGCAGAACAGAACTCTTATACATCACGGTGACACCGACCTATCGATTGAGTCTTAGTGGCAAGAAAAGTCTGCCAAGCTGTAATTAGGAGCGCCGCTTCTTACAATATATTACACGCTCCTCCTCCGCCACGCGTCTGCTAGATTACTTAGCTGCTGCTACTTCTTCTTCCGTTTGCTTGTCTGCCCTTTCTAAATCGACGACGAACACTCGGGCGAACACTGGCGAGACGGAGACGCGCGCCAAATCTCTTTCTTTTTCTTCTTAGCGCGTTCTCGCTATGTCGAGTCTGGCATTCGTTGACTGCGAGTTACGTTCGACCACACCTGATTTTTATAGCGGGCCATTAGCAAGGAAAAGCAATTGCGATTTTGCACACGTGATAAGCTATTTTGCTTTGGAGAAGAAATAACGTTCCTTGCCTTAGAATAATTAGCGAGCTGCGAACGAGAACTGATTGAAAGCTTAGTGAAAGGATTCGTGAATTCATTGTGCTCGCGATAACTGAAGCGAACGAACCGGGAGACAATATGACGACACAATGCCGTTATATTTCCACGTATACTTTTATCCAGTTGCAAATTGCAAGAGCTCGATGAAAGCCGACAAATGGTGACGAACATTGAATATTCATCGATCGCTACGTCGCCTCCTTGAACTCATAAGAAAAGCACATTCACAGACTTCCTTCGCTGAGGAACAAACGTTGCGCGGGCACGATGCATCGCCCATTCGAGCAGGGCGACGTAGCGGATGGGCCTCCTATTATGGCAGCACTGGTAGACTCGTGGCGTCGGAGTACGTGCGTGATTCGGTGACGACGCCCGGCAAAGCTACGAAAGGAACGCGCCGAATGAATGAATCCTTGAAAAATGAATGACGAATGAAGCCTCAATTTTGTTCCGCCGTCTGATTACGTTGCAGACCCCGAGCAGCGCCAACAGGGACGTCGACCGGGAGAAATACAAGGACTTCACCTTCGACCACTCGTACTGGTCGTTCGACGATGCCGACGACAATTACGCCTCGCAGGAAGAGGTAATTTAGATTGCATGCAGACGTTTAGCGGCCGAGCGGCAGAGTTGAACTGGTCTCGCAATTCGATCGGTCGACCTTTCAATTTTAGCACGGCCAACCGAAATCGACTGGACTTTGCGAGCGTCATCGGATGTGACCTGTTTGCTCTTTCTCTCTGTTACAGGTCTTTTACGATCTCGGAACGGAAGTTATAGAAAGTGCCTTTGAGGGATACAATGCCTGCGTGTTCGCTTACGGTCAGACGGGTTCCGGAAAGACTTTTACGATGATGGGTTCGCCTGTGAGTATCTCTCTGCTTCTTACTTCTCTGTACAGCAGCGGCACCTTGGCTAAAGACCGCCTTTATTGAGCTCGCGCGGTTTACGCATTAGGCTTTGCCTGGCAGCCGAGCGAACTTAACTCTCGGTCACGTCCAGTTATGCACAGTTGTAGTTCATAGTCGAGAACGTTCAAAGAAAGCGCACCAAGTTCAGTTCTGTTCAATGATCGCGTACGCGACAGCAACTGAAATTATCGTTTCGAGCTGCCTCTCTGCGCACCAAGTACTTTGGAGGTTCAGTCGACAAGTGCGTAGCGTTCCAGCGAAAAGAAAAAAGACTCTTTGTGAAAGCAGGAATCTCAGGGATTGATACCGCGTATCTGCAAGACTCTCTTCTCGCGAATGGCGGCTGGCAAAGAGGGCGGCGCGTCTTACAGGACGGAAGTGTCCTTCCTGGAGATCCACAACGAGCGTGTGCGAGACTTACTGAGGCCCGATCAAACCATGTCGCATTCGCTCAGGGTCAGGGAGCATCCGAAACGCGGCCCCTACGTACAGGATCTCTCCAGTCATCTAGTCTACGATTATTCGGACATTCAGGTGAGTCGCTGCCGCTCACCGAGAATCCGCCGGACCATGAGACGAAGGCAATTTGCAGGAATGCATGGTGAGGGGAAACACGCACAGAACGACGGCCAGCACAAACATGAACGACGTGAGCAGCAGGAGCCACGCCATCTTCACCATCACCTTCGTGCAGGCTGGCTTCAACGAAAATAACATGCCATCCGAGACCGTCTCGAAGGTGCACCTCGTCGACCTGGCTGGCAGGTCAGTCATCCCTCTCTAGCTTCTAGGGCCTTGACATTGTCAAAGAGAAAACTTGTCGGAATTACAGTGAGCGAGCCAATGCCACCGGGGCCACGGGTCAGCGTCTAAAAGAAGGAGCACACATCAACAAATCCCTGGTGACTCTAGGCTCGGTTATATCGGCCCTCGCCGAGTTCAGCTCTTCCACGGACTCCAACTCATCCAGACGCAGCATCTTTATTCCGTACCGCGACAGCGTTCTCACCTGGCTGCTCAAAGACTCTCTCGGAGGCAATGCCAAGACTATAATGATCGCGGCCATCAGTCCAGCCGATTGCAATTACGGCGAGACATTGAGTACGCTGAGGTACGCGAATCGTGCCAAGAACATCATCAATAAACCGACCATCAACGAGGACCCCAACGTCAAGCTGATCAGAGAGCTGCGAGACGAGATACAGAAGCTCAAGTCGCTCATTGGCAAAGACGTCGTGAGTATTATTTCTGGGGCCTGAACGACCGGGGCAGTCGGCTAATGCCGCGAGGGGGTCAACGGATCACAGCGAGCGACACGAGAAAGAACGGAAAAAGAAACGCGAGCAGCTTTCGTTGGCTTTTTTGCTGCGCGTTGCCGCCCGTGTATATTAATAGATTTCTTTAGACATTGGCTCGGGCTCGGGTTGGGAGTGTTTACCGCACTGTTCGGTGATCGACCAAACGACAAAGGTCTTTTTCTCTTATCCGTGTACACTTGGTCGATCGTCACCCTTCTATTGCCGGTAATTCGAGGCTGCTTACGTGTTTAACCTTCGAACAATGCATCGTTTTCATGAATAATGGCCGCAGAGCATCGAGAAGCCGCAGGTCCTGCTCGCGCAGATCCACGAGAAACAGGAGCAAGAGAAAGTGCTGACGGAGGAATGGGCGGAGAAGTGGCGAGAGACGCAGAAAATCTTGTCGGAGCAACGCGCCCTCGGGCTGCGTAAAAGCGGCGTTGGCGTGGTACTCGATTCGGAGATGCCTCATCTCGTGGGCATTGACGATGACCTACTCAGTACTGGCGTCACGCTCTATCATCTGAAAGAGGGCAAGACACTGGTCGGCACCGAAGAAGCTGCCACCCCGCAGGTACAAGTCCGCGCAGTCTCGCTCCCTCTCGCTCTTTCAACGTCGAATGGCTGGCTTCTTGTTTCCCAGGACATTGTGCTAACAGGAGTTGACGTAGAGCCCGAACACTGCGTGCTAGAGCTGGAGAGTGGTGTCGCGACATTGCACCCGCGGTCGCCCCACTGTTGGATCAACACAGCGCAGCTTGACAAGCCCACGCGTCTGTCGCAAGGTTGCATCATTCTGCTGGGTCGTAACAACATGTTCCGCTACAACGACCCGGCCGAGGCGGCCAAGTTGCGCAAAGAGGGTGGCCTCGGTAACGGCAACCTCCAGTCAGCTGTGGTCAATCTATCGAGGCTGTCGCTGCTCAGTTGGAGCGTCTCGGATTTGCACGCGTCGAGCTCCAGCGACAACCTGTTGAACTCAAGCGAAGACCTGGGAGCCCTCGAGGAACTCGAGCAGCAGAAAGCAGCCCTCATCAAGGAAAAGGAGGACTTTAAGGTGCGTTCTCGAGTCGTCGAATCGAGTCAATAGGAAGTCTTGTTTTCACGAGAGTGCAATGTTTTTACTATCGATGACAGCGAGAACAAGAGGAACGAGAAGAACGGTGGACAGCCAGGCGCGAGGCTTTGAAGGAGGCGCAGCGCGAGCTGGAAAGGGAGTGGGGTGCGCAGTGGCGCGAGTGGGCCGAGGGCATTGCCGCCTTGGAGCGCAGGCAACGCGAGCTGCGTCAACGCCGCCAGCTGCTCGAGCAAGAGCGCCGTGACGAGATGACCCAAGTAAGTGATGACATGGACCCGTCGACAACCGCTCCGCATTTAGGCCTTATCTCGGTCAAGCTCAAGCACCAGTTTTACCTGATCCTCGTCGCACTTGCCGTACTCATCTGTCTCTCCGGCAATATCATCATCTACTCGCACGTTTGCCCCCTTGACATGTGACCGAACCCCCGCCCCCCCTGGCCACTCGTCGCGTTATATACTCGTTTGCCTTTATTTTCTTTCACTCGATGGCTCCTCTAATGACTGTGACTACTTTGGACTGATTCGTCGCAAGTTTTTACTAACTTTATCAAGCTTTCCTTCAACGTTCTCAATAACTCAACGATTTTCAAAGACATTTTTAACTCTGATACCGAAAGACTAAATTTATCGTGGTTACTAAAGCAGTCTATTATTGTGCATAAAAATCTATGTACCGAGAAATTAAAGTTCTCCCAATTGGTCATCGCGCAAATTCCATTTTTCCAAAAGTTTTCTTGCAACTGTAAATATCCTCATAAGCATGCGTTCAAATTGTTCATAATTTTTGATCCACCAATATTCTACAAACTCTTGGTCATTTTTTGAAAGGAAAATGTTGCTGAGAATTGAAATACGAATAACTTGTTGTAACAGTTGTTTTCGATTTACAGAAATTCGTACAAAATTACCCCCTAATCGAGGTTTTAGCTAAGGCAAATTGTTGATATGTATATCGAATGATTACGCATTTAACAAGTTCACGACAGACTTGAGTACTGTGCTGTAATACAGTATCACTAATGAGTATTAGATGCTTGATTGTAAGAGAATAACGGGAATAACTACGATGTAGGCATTGAACTTGTTTTAATGTGCAATAGAGTTTAATACATAGATCATTTTAACGTTACTAGGGCTTTTCGTTATTTAATATGAAAGCCGTAAAGTATTTTTATAATGTTTAAGAGTACAATGCGATCAGTTTTGTACTTTTGAGAGATACAGTTTATTTTTGTCTAGTGGTAATAGTATTTTTGATTAGCTAGTAATAACGATGTGCCTCTAACTGCCATTATAACGCGTGTTTGAGTTAAGACGATGGTACTGCCGGACCTTACATGAGAGAGAGAGAGAGAGAGAGAGAGAGAGAGAGAGAGAGAGAGAGAGAGAGAGAGAGAGAGAGAGAGAGAGAGAGAGAGAGAGAGAGAGAAACGTCTTATTATTCCAAGAAATGTGAATAAGACAACAAGCAAGTTGACTGTGTATCAATTTTAAAAAAGAAATACGACGTGTAAATATAATAGTTACATACGCATCTTGTATTAAAATGTTCGTGGGTTTTGTTATGCGAACAAAAGGAAATTTATTGTTATGATTAATATTATATCTTTACACGCAAACATATTGAAAACACAATATATACAAGTATACTGTTGATTAATAAATTTTTTCCTATAAACATTGGTCTTGGTTGAACATTTCTAATTTTTCTTTCTCAATAATATCCGCTCGCCATTTTTTCATCATTTTTCTTCAATTTTTCCGTAGTACCTAACCCTGTAATAGTTAAATTAGAAGAACGTAAGATTCACCTGTTTACTGGCTGAATAATCTTAAATAAATTTTCATTTTGGCTATGAAGCCAATAAATAGTTTGTGTTGTAAAATTTAGGAGCAAACAAAATTTTTTTGACAGAGCATGAAGTTTGTAAAATCAAGGTAAGATATACAATAGATTTGTACATGCGCATAGTAATTTTATAATAATTAGCCATTAAAACATTAATCTGTCTGTGTAAAATTATTTAGTCGGTAACAGATGACTTACTTGCATCTCTTTCTTTGCCGATAACTATTTTTGTTCCATTGTTTTTTTAATTTGAAATCATTGATGCTCATTGACTGGTCTACGACTTGAATAGCTTACAATCAAGCTAATACGCACATTATTATTTGTAACTAACGCGACGTTAATTTATGTTAACAAACTCCAATAACTTTCAATTAACTTGCTTTAGCAATTGATCACAAATATACTGTGAATTTTTGTTTTCTCTCATGCTCTATCATTCTCTCTGGTGAATAAAATCCTCGTGTGGGATGTGACATGGATTGCGACAATGTAACATCATTATTTTTGGCAATGTATAAAAAATGAAAATTGTAACCTTTATGACTGAACAACTATTATAAAACAAAAAAAATGAAAATGAAAATGAAAGGGATACGATGGCGAGACGTCCAGCGCTCTAGCGCAAGTCTTGCAGGTAAGGCGCAAAGCTAAGCGACATCTTTGTAAAGCTTTATTTTTCTTCATTTTTTTGTTCAGATATAATTTCACATGAAATATCTCTCCGACACTGATTGGCACTTGGTTATTCGCAAGGAGCACTGCATGGAGAAAAGTTTTCTTCACTCGACAATACATTTTTTTTAACGACATTAGTTGAAAAAAATATAGCCTCATGAAAACTAATTTCTCCGTGTTAAACGCACTTAAAGTAGCATGTTAACTGTCGCTTCGTATGATATATCATTTCATGTATGCTTGTAATGAATCATTTTGTTATAATTCTCACTGTTCGTGATATTAAACAGTGACCTTTGACCAACAACAGTGAATAGTAGAAATATTGTTATTTTATACACATCGACACACCTTAAGAATGATAAACATCATATTATTGTTTTATCCAAAAAAAATTAAAATGCACTACGTACATGTTATGGTTATTAATTTGCCATCGATGCCTTCATTTGCTGGGCGTTAATTATACTTCTCATTCGTCATTAATTTCTTCAAGTTCTCTTTTTACTTTGATTTTATTACGTATTTTATTATTTGGGTGTGTGTGTGTGTGGCTAGGTAGAAAGTTTGTGTAGGGAAGTCGCCTCTCTTCGTACCACTCTGCAATCCAAGCATCGTCAGTACCAAGAGTTCATGAATGCACAAAACCGCTCGCAGAGCCAACAACGGACATCAGAACAGGTAATGAATGGTTCTGTTTTAATGCGCCAAAATAGAAACGGATCAGCAAATAACAAATCAGAAAAGCTTCGGCAAAACTTCTTTCACGTGACTAGTCTGAGAATAACACGAAGTATAAATCTTAAGGAGTAATTTATAATGTTTTTCGAAGAGCTGTCCTATCATCATGCTCACGCTTAAAAAATTCACGCGAACGCACTATTCCTAACAATAATTTTAGTTGACTCGCGTGTCGCGATATCACTTCTAAAGGGATCCTTTTATTTTCCAGACTGATGAAGGAGCTGCAAGTGATGGTAGCTTGCCCGAGTCTTGGTCGAGTCTAAACGATGATAAATCAGCCAACGCCACAAAAAAGTTTGCTAACTACAGCGTAAGTTACCTTTTCAACCAAACATCAATTTTGCAAAGAAACGAATGATGACACTTTGGTTTTCGAAATATTAGAAAGAACTTGCGGAGCTTGAGCAGGAACTCCGGAAGAAAATAAGAACGCTGAACGAGCACCAAAGTAGGATCGACAAAATGGATGAAGAATTGTCGGAGCTTGGCGAAAGACAACAGGAAATCAGCAATGTGAGTGTCACTTCCAAGTCACGCACAGCTTTCTAATGCCCCCAAGTTCAATAAATATTTCTTTGAATATTAGTTGCAACTGGAAGGCCTGACCGACAAAAAGATCTTTTTAGCAGCGCGTTCACAAGAGCAATTGGACGAAATCCTCCGACGCAAGCGTAGCCTGTCTCTGAATCTCAGACGCGCGCTACCAGCATCTCCGGACGCGCATTCGACGAGCAGCGACGAGATGCTTTCCAGCATGGACCAGTTGCCGAACGGTCTTGAGGACGATGAGAATTACAACCGGAAGCGTAAACTCGCCGCTGCTTTGAACCTCATGTATCCTGATCTCTCAAATTCCATCGACACCGCAGAAAGTGGCCTAGACACTTTTCACACCGCGGCCGCAGACTCGCCACCGGATCAGTTTCTTAGTGCCGAGCTCGAGTGTAAGGGTAGGAAGGAGGAAAAGGAGTCTGCTGATGTCAAAGATAACAACGAGGATAATGACAATAATTTAGTTTTTAAAACATCCACTGATGAAATTAAAGAATTTAAGAGAACCTCCGAATCCAAGTTTGACGGAGTCGACGCTGATTCTGCCGGAAACACAACAGAGGTTCTTTGATATTTTTCATTATTTTTCATTCGAACGAGAGCTTTCATAATCAGACGAGAGTATTGATCATTTTAATGTTTCCTTGCAGACCAATTCATCTTCATCCGCCCCTATGGAAAATCACGTGAACGACTCGGCGATAGACACCGACAACTCTCAGCTTCACTCCGAGGAATCAGTGCTGAAAAGCAGCCAGACAATGAAAAGACTCAATCAGAAGATTGCTCGGCAGCGAATGCTCGTGATGAAGTGCCTGGAAGCGAGTCCACCGTCTAAAGACGAGCTTAATCGACAAATCGCTGCCTTGCAAGATCTGCAGCGTCAACAGATCGAACTCGAGGTATTGCTTCTCGAACGAGAGCGCAATTGTAGTAGCCAAATAGGGGACGACTCATCATCGACCATATTGAACGACAGCTGCGAAAGACTGCCGAGAGACCTATTAGCAGAACAGTGCAGTGATGAAAAAGGAAGAGACGCGACGACAGAACAAAACCAGTCGTTCTGCAACAGCACAAATAATTTATCAAATTTCATGCCGAGGTCGTATGTCAGGTCGAGATCGTCGAACGACGACGAAGGCAATCAACACTCTCGTCGAGGCTGCGTCGCCAGAGTACCGCAGATCAGGGGCTACTCCTCTGTGTATCTTACGGTAAGAGTGATCATCGCTCAAGTTCAATTGAAAAATCAACGGTAAACACAACTAATAACTAATACACTTGTCACTGTTACAGAGTCAAAACCGAGGCGACCGTTTGACGAGCCCGTACGCTCTCACGATAACGCGTTCGCTGCCGTCACTCATATCCAATGAGAACGACGCTGACAGCATCGTTAATTTGATCATCAGCGTGCCGTCATACGTGATTCGCGGTGCCGGAACCTCCAGTCATTATGAATACGAAGTGCGCGTCGTCGCGGCCGATGACAGCTGGACTCTTTTACGCCGTTACAGGAGGTTTAGAGAGCTCTACGTTTCGATGCGACAGAAATATGCTAACAAGGTAAAAGACATACATGCTTTAACTTCGCTGATTTCGTGTGAACAAAAAATTATAAATACGTTTGTTCTAGGTATCAGGTATTCGTTTTCCTCCAAGGCAGGTGTTCGCCAGGTACGAAGTGGTTGCGCGTCAGCGTCGAAAACGCCTCGAGGAATATTTACGTCGTTTAATACAAGTGTGCTCCGAACTGCCTAGCTGCGAGCCTTTGTACAAATTTAAGGGCAATTTAAACCAAATCGACAAGCAATCGCTGCTAGAGTTTAGCTCGTTCTTCCGGCGTGGCACTTTCGAAAGCAGCAAATATGGTACTAGTTAAACTCGTCGATGATTCGCATGAACATTTAGTGCGCGATATTTATATTACCTTTCAAATTTTTTTATAATTGACACCCTTAGTACGTTTTGAGGTGCAATTATTTTTTACAACGTGTTACGTAAGCATTAATGAAAGTGCAAATTTGAAAGAGGACTGTTGCGAATAGTATATTACATACCAAAGGTGATAAGTTAATGAACAAAGAACTACTTGTCTTTGCAGTTCTGATGGATTTACATAGATAATTTTAAATTTACTTACTACAAGATGACGAAAAAAAAGAGATACATTTATGGAAAATTGTTATTATTGATACTAAAATTCCATTAGTTATATATTAGTGAATTCATTGAACAGCACTAGTAATGATAAGAGTGAAATTAGAATGGTACATCGACAGCTTATAAGCGCAATAAGGTTTTCACGAAAAGAAATAAGTACAACATTTATTTTTTTCTTCCAAAATAATGCTTACGTAAAGGTATGATACCTTTTAAATACATATTTATGATTGATAGCAAATGCCTAGAGAGATTAATGTTCAGAACAATTATTCAGTTATGTGTTTTTTAAGTATTACTATGGGAAGATTTATTCGTAAAGAATATGAAATGTTGCTATTAAATTTATATCCATTTTACGAAGAAAAATTTTTAATATACAGTCAAGCGTTTGAGAAAATGTCAATTTATTTGTTTCGAATAAGACGTTAATTTGTTCAGAAGACGCTTATGAAAGTATTCAGTTAACTTAAAAGATATTTGCAGCAATATCGATACTGGGCATATAATTGAATGAATCTGTCAGTCATGATTCTTTAAATATTACAGTAATAACGATCTACGGGAAATATTAATGATAATCAAAGAAAAATGTTTTCCGCAGTAATACATTCATATCCCAAAAGCATAATCACGGAAAGGCTTATTTTCTCTAAAAATCTATAGAGAATTCACAAGCAGCTACCGCTTTGCGTATTTTGCAAAGCAGTATCGTGCTTTGCTAAAGCATTACATATATAGGCAAGAATATAGAGTACTAATTTGAGCTACAAATATTATATTCTTATGGCTGTGTAAATGTACTCTAAATTACCTAGCATTGTCGGCATTTTTATGTAATCATTTCAACAAAACAGCGGACTGAGATTTCGGCAGGTTACATTTTTTATGAAGCTATCTTCTTCAAATTCCAAAATTAATTTCAGATTAAAATTATTTTTATCATTTTAATTATTATAGTTTTGTTAAGAGTTATTAGTTGTTGTCGCACCGCCTGTTAATGGATAATTTTAAGAATGAATAATCCGAACAAGTTTTACCTCATTTAGTGTGCATTATCGCGTGAGGTACTTCGTAAATGCTTTTTTATATGAAATGAAAACAGATGAAATAATTTCTGTAAACTATGATATAGAATAAACTGTTAAAATATAATATGTAATTTTTTAATCTTACATAATCAACTTACTCTCTCATTATAAGAAAAAGTGTCTACAACCAACATTTATTCAAATTTAGGTTTTACAAAGATTTTTGAAAGTATTTTGTCATATTTTCAGACAATATTTTAAAAATCTAGAATTGATGTTACATATTTCGTGATGGAAAAAACAGTCTTTTCATTACGTTTAATAGAACAAAATCCTTTGGTGCTTCTAAATTTAGAGAACTTCTATTGTAATATGTAGTCAATTATTCATTACTATAAGTCTTTTAAATACTTCATGTCAATTTCCATACATGTTCAATTAATAAATAAAAATACTAGTGTATTATATGAAGAAAACATTAAATGAATGCTTGTTTACTAGCAAGAGTATCTACAAATGGAGCAACAATACAACGGGTTGTAAAGTAAAATATCAAGCCAAATGCTATTGAAATAGGTAAGGCTGGTAGAGCTTTTTTAAAGATCGCAAGTAACAACAATGTCAAACATAATCCCTGAAAAATATTTTTTGATTAGTTATATTAAAAACTGAATTTCAAAAGTAAAGGATGAACGAGCTATTTGATTACTCACAATCAAAATCGCAACGAAGCAAGCGAATGTAGTGTTCCAATCACCATAACTCGACGCTTTTCCCACGAGAACACCATAAAAAATAAAATCACCCAATCCGAGTTTGATACCTCTTTCTTCTTGTATCGTCATTGATTGATCAGTCATCCGTGATGAATCAAATTCAACTGTACCTCGTGGAGGGCCCTGTGCATTTTCTCTGACTTCTCGAACTCGACGCGCACTTCGATCAGCTGAAAATAATTACAGCGATATTGCAACTACACTTTCACGCACGTATCAATTTATTAAAAAAATGTGAACTAATAGAAAATTATAATGATACCGTTTGATTCCACCCATTCTCTAGTGAACCCACCATCTTCTGTATCACTGGTTACAGAATTATTTTGATTGGTTGGGATTCTAGCCGGTGATGAAATACTTTCACCTGCAGTACCGTCGTTGCTCGTCATTGTTGCTGCCGCTACATATCCAGTAAAACTCATTGTAAAAGCATACATCACGGTAGAGGAATAGATCAATGCAGGAAAAATTGACTCATTTCTCTCCTGTGCAGTTTCCACTAGTATTCTTAATGGGCCTTTTGGTGTTAATACAGCAATCAAATCTATATTTGAGAGTAAAGACCAATAATCAGATGTTTAGTAAGTGTACTAATTTGAATAAAATAGTAGAAATATAATTTGCTTACCCCAAATACTGATTACTGCCAAAACAGACCATGCAGTCCACTCTGGTAAATATTTGATGAATACAAGAGCCATTAAAGAAGCTATAAATATGAGGTATGCTTGCTGCAAAGGTAATGGGCCTTGCCAGTGAATGCACACCATGCCAACAACACCAAAATTCCATAGACCAATAGCTAGTGATATAACATCCAGTGGTATGTTGTAAGCTTTAAATACCTCTCTAAAAATTATTATTCATATTTAGAATAATTTTATTTAGTATGAACAAAAAACTTTTATTATTTCATTTATTACACTTACTCGCAGTATAATGATGAGAACAAAAATAGTAATATCAAAGAACTAGCTATTAACCAGCAATGGATGGTTTTATAAAATTTATATTTATAAAGAACTATCAATATCACAGTCATAACAACGACAACCGCCATTAATATCATTGAATTGGCTAAAGCCTGCCAAGCTTTGGTACCTGCATTCAATGTTTCTTCATGGAATGGTGTATAAACTCTAAATGACAATATTTTATTATTACTTAGTATCATTAAAGAATCTAAGAAATATGTATAAATTACTTACAAATAAGTTCCTGGTTGAGTATAAAAATTAATAGATCTGATTGTTGTTACAACAACTAACATACACAGGGAAACAGGAACGAACAATTTTATAACATGAGAAGCTCCATATTTCAGCTCTTCTTCCATTTCATCAAATTCAGCATTAGGATCTGCTGAATGTCTTGGCGGATTCGGCCCTGGTGGTTGTTGCTCACTTCTTGTTCTACCACTTCCATCTTCGATATGAACTTCAGGGACTCCATTTTCTAGCTGTGGCAAGTTTTGAAAAAATATTTACTGATTAGGTTGTATGATTATTTTTCGAAAAATTACATCAGTATTAAAACACTAATTACCTCGATGCTGCTTGTCGCTTTTGGAACAACCTTTTTTCGTTTTGTTGCTAGAGATGCACTGCTGGTGCGAGTCTCAGCTGCAACGTGAGCGTCCATCAGGCCGGTATATTCGTCAGCACAGTCGTATTCGCTTTCAGACATTCATCAAATTGTGAGTAGCTTATAATCGATTAAATGACAATCAGCTTTTTTATGGCAAGCATAAGTAGTAGTCAAGTCACCACACCAAAGCTTCCCACTTGAACTAGCTAACGTTAGTCTTATCAGTATCACAAACAGTAGAGCATTCCAAACAAGAAACTTTCAACTACGATTTTGTTGTTGTCATTCTCAATAAGATGAAAACACCAATAAACAATTACAAAATTTCTTTCTTGAACAAAGTCCACTATGATTCACTTGGACTTCATTTTCTTTTACTCGATTACTCGTTGCCCAAACGCTTAGTGCTACATACCAATATCCACCAGCACTAGCTGCATAATGGCCAGCTGTAAACTCGTAGCCACGTTACGGCATCATCTGGAACTACGAAAGTATTTAGATTCTATTTTACCACTCCGGCTAAACTAACTATAAACGGCTTTAAAGAGATTATAATCGACTTTGATCGAGTTTAGAATGTTTTATTTGTAATAAAATAATATAATAAAATATTAATAAGGAACTTTTAATATGAAATTTGTTGAGCAGTTAACTTTTATTAAATTTATCACTATAACATTAGTTTGATACCTAAATTTAATTATGGCTGCATTGATGATTAGAACGTGTTTGAAACGAAGGTGTGTTATTGAATAATTGTTCATTAATGATAAAGTATACAATTAAATAGTTTCAGTTTACATATTCATAAAGTTTAAAAAGAACTTACATGCATGACATTTTCCATAAAATTATCTGAATAGCATAACCTCAAAAAGTTGATTAATTAATTCTTATTCAAAATAATTCATATTCTCAATTATTTTCAGTTTTACAAAAAATTTATCATGTAAATCATTTAACCATGATGGTTATGTGAAATTCAATATTTCACTGTTTAACTTAACATGTTTACAATGCAACTCTTACCACAATACATTTGTTCTTTTTAAAAAACGAAAAACTGCAGAAGTAAGAAAGCAGGTAAATCTGGTCTAATGTTAATAATTAAATGTAACAGTAAATTTAATTATATATCATATTAAAATTATATTGATCACTTGTTTTCCTGGTTAGTTACAACAACTTAAAGAATTAGAGATGCTTAATCCTAAAACGAAAAAAGAAAGTGAAATAATTGAAGTTTGGAGAAATATGACTGTGAAAGAATTAGCAGCAGTCTCTAGGCGTTCAATAGATGATATTTTAGATGCCCTCTTTTTTATTGATCAGAGTACCATTCATGATTCTAATTCCATCTTTGAGGATCCTTCTATTTTATATGAAACTGTCAAAAAGTTGGGTTTAAAACTGAAAGTTATTTCAAATCCTAAAGAACTAAATACTCATGTCACTAAAAATAAGCGTGATGTAGTTAAACGGTAAATATAATTTAATTGTCATACTAATATTATTCTATATAAAGCAATAATACAAAATGGATACACTTTATAATGGTTTTAGTCCTCCACCTGATCCTTTAAAATTAGTTAAAAGAAAACCAGTCATAACAATAATGGGTCATGTTGATCATGGTAAAACAACTCTTTTAGATGCTTTGAGGGATTCAGCAATTGTAGATTCAGAATTTGGAGGAATTACTCAACACATTGGTGCTTTCAATGGTATGTTACAATGAGTTTTAAAATAAAAGCTTGTGGATTTATTATGTTAAGAAAAATTACCATTTTTAGTAACATTGAGTACTGGAGAAAAAATGACTTTTTTGGATACTCCTGGACATGCTGCATTTAGTGCTATGAGAGCTCGAGGAGCTAATACCACTGACATAGTAATTCTTGTTGTTGCTGCTGATGATGGAGTTATGGAACAAACTGTTCAAAGTATTGAAATGGCTAAAAATGCTAATGTCCCAATAATAGTTGCTGTTAATAAAATTGATAAACCAGGTGTGATTATTGTAAGTACAAATGTGATTTCATTACATTTTATTTCAAAATTTTATTTATTTATCATGGCTTCAAAAAGGATAGAACACATCATATGTTAGCTGAAAATGGAATTGTGGTAGAAGCTCTTGGTGGCGATGTTCAAAGTATCAATATATCAGCTTTGAAAAAAACAAATTTAGATTTACTAATGGAAGCAGTTGCTACTCAAGCTGAAATAATGAACCTCAAAGGAGACCCAACAGGTATGGTAGAAGGAGTAGTTATTGAAGCAACTAACGATGTTCACAGAGGGAAACTTGCAACAGCTTTAATTCAGCGTGGCACTCTCAGAAAAGGAGATGTTTTAGGTACATAAAATATCGATATTCTTATTCTATTTTTGTTTTTAAATCAATTTTTTTAAAAATTAATATAGAACATTTTTCTAGTGAGTGGATTGGCATGGGCTAAAGTTAGAGCAATGTTTGATGAAAATGGTTTGATTGTATCAGAAGCTAATTTGTCAGATGCAGTGCAAATTATTGGCTGGCGAGAATTACCAGAAGCTGGAGAGGAAATATTGGAAGTAGAAAGTGAGAAACAAGCGCATATGGTTGTGAGATATCGTAATGAAAAGTTGGGCCAGGTGAAATCAATTGAACAAAAAATTGTTGCTGATCAGAAACATCAAGAACATTTAATTGTTAGTAACGCATGATTTTTAGTACACAGTATGACCAGTTTTTTTTTATTGCTTTTCAAATGTATGGTAGGAATATCGAAAGATAGTACAGAAAAAACGGTTGCTGGGAAAGAGGCGCCTTAAGCCAGAAGGGCCAAAACAAAAAGAAATACAAGTAGATGATTTTCCTAAAGTCAATGTTATCATCAAAGGCGATGTTGTTGGATCTGTTGAAGCGATACTTGATGTTCTCGATACCTACAGCGATGAGAAAAAATGTCGTTTATCAATCGTTCATTACGGAGTAGGTGCCGTTACAGAAACAGACATTGAATTAGCAAACGTTTTTGGAGGTAAGATGAAATTGACTATGCTATAAAATAAATAAAATTATATAAAACTAATACTGTATTGTTTGTTAAGCAATTATTTACTGTTTCAATACTACTACACCACGTACGTTAACTCAAGAAATCACAAAGCTAAATATTCCAGTTCGTCATCACAATGTTATATACAGAATGATTGACGATTTGAAAATAGAGATTAATAAGCAACTTCCGATGGTGTCGGTAGAAGAAGTAATAGGTAATAATTTCGTTATGATTAATTGTAAAGTATCTAATTTACTAATGCTCAATCTCCATATCAATTTAAATGTTTTATAGGGGAAGCATCCGTTTTGAAAGAGTTCGACATCAATATCAAAAGAAAAAAGGTTAAGGTTGCCGGGTGTCGTTGCGTTAAAGGCTCGATTAAAAAATCTGGTTTATTTAAAGTAATTAGAAACGGAGAAGAAATTTACAGGGGTAAAGCCAATGAAATAAGGCATTTGAAGGACGAAGTTGAAACGATAAAAACTAATCAGGAATGTGGAATTATGTTTGATGCTGCTCAAATAGAGTTTGAACAAGGCGATCAAGTTATTTGTTATAGGTTAGTTGATAAAATGCAAGAAACAGACTGGAATCCTTTTTAACTGATAATCAATTTGCAGTCTATTTTACGATCTTTGTAGAAAAAGTTTGATATAATCGAAGTAAATTTGTAAATATATACATCTTTGTAAATAGTTCTTTTTAATGAACAATACAGAGAAAAGATTAATACTTATATTATTGTATGAAAGCTTTGATCAGATATTTTATTCATGATTTGATTAAAGGGATGAAATAATTAAAATAAAAAAAGAGTGAGAGGTGAAAAGAAATATACTTTGACGTATAATTAAGTACAAATTTATTTATTATTGCTTGAGACTCCGCGGTTGGCGTTTTCATATACATTTAATATTTGTCGGATTATTAATCATCCTCTACAGTTTCCATACTTGAGTACGAAAGCATCCGAAAAATTGCCGAGCGGACGAACCTCATTGAGTAAAATTATTATGCTATTCAGTCAACAGTCTATAGACGGATTTCAGTTTTCAGTTTTCCACTCATACAGTCCGAAGTAAATCGGTATAGTATCGTTTTCTGTGCCTTGTCCAATAATGAACGCTGTACGCGATATAAAATTTCCAAATTTACAATATTAAAAACGTATGAGATTTTAATTATACAATTCGTCTCGAGAGAAAAATATTTCAAACTTCAATATCTTTTAATGAGTTGCAATTTTGACTTCACATGTGCAATTTAAGTTGAAATGGCATCTAATATTTAACGTACTAATAATACAATCACGAAACGTTTTTTTTGTTTTTGTTTTAATACAAACGATAAAATACATAGTTAAGCAATATACGCCTATAATTTTAGTATTTCAGCCGCATCATTCCGTGAAAATGACTTGTATAAAAACAGCCAGCGACTATTGTCCGATACATGATTTATCTGTAGAACTCCAATGGCGGTTTTTCGATAGTATAAGTAAGCCGCAACTTGGCGTCGAGTATATCATTGAAAGGTGAATTGAAGACGTGACTTGTCATCGGAATAAAAATAGTCTGACGATTATCGCGCGCTTCGCAGTTAATCATTCATGCGCGGATCGAGAGCATAATCTATGATGTAGCTGAAAAGAAGAAAAAACGTGGGGCTCGATCTCATGACCGACGTCGCTCTTATCCCACCGCCAACAGTCCAACAGCACACACTACGTAAGACTCATTGCTGTACGTTTACGACTCACGATTCGGAAAACTGGTAGCGGTGAAGAGTAGCCAGCGTTAGGAGGCATACGTCTCGCGAAAACGGCGTTGCAGATGCTGATAAGCGGTGAGAACGCCTTTCTTCTTCTTCTCCAAGCGACAAGGGGCAGCTTCTTGATTGGCTTTGGTGACTTTCGCTTCGAACGGCTCGATTGTCACGTTGCTGTCGGGATGGACGAAGAAGGCGATCGAGTGACGACCGCGTCCGCAGAGCTCTGGCACCACCAGACGATGTTTCAATGCTGGCAGAGCACCGTTCGTCCAGCAACTGAGAATGTCACCGCTGTTCACCAGAATGGCACCGGGCAGATGACCTACGCGGCCCCAGCGTTCGCCGTGCGGCATTTGCACTTCTAATCCGCCTTCGCAGTCCTATTTTTTGGTTTGTCGTTGAAAAAAACATGCAAACAAAAGACGTATCTCAGTTAGCGATGTTTTCGTGAAAGATCGTTAATAATCATTCCAAAATATTTCGTTTGTGTTTGGCTTTTAGCCTCGCCATCGAATCTTTGTGCGTTTTTTTGTGAACTTACAGTTTTTAATCAATATTTTTTTGTCTTAAACTCTGTAAAAGTAGAAAATGCATAAATAATAGTTTTAATAGCAGCCAACCCTGACGTTTTCTCACAAAATCGCAGACCATTGGAAATCGTGCTACGAGTAATTATATATTATTCCATACATTGCACTCAATCAACTTGACGCGCAAAAGTTCCGCAGTGCTGATTAATTGTCGCTCATCGAATCCGCGAGAGGATAGATAACCTGCGTGCTTAATTGAAAAATCGATTGCACAAGCATGCCAACTAGCAATATATAAAAATGTACTAAAAATAGTAATCAAGCGTAGCAAATTATCGCTCTCGCGATCACGGGAAAAAAGAGAAAAAGAGAAAAAGAGAAAAAGAAAATATTATGGCTCGGCGTAAGTGCGCCAGTCGCACTCCCGAGCACGTTTTTACGAATTTAGAAGTAAGTTAGAGCTATCGTAAGGATTGATTATTTGATGGGCGCACGATCCTCACACAGACTGTTAAGACTCACGAAGCAGACACATCGATGAATGGACACAAGGAACCGGTCGGGTTGGGGTTGAGTTTGAGCTAAGGCTCGAATAGTTCGGTCATACGAAAGTTAATACGCGCAAACACAATTGGAAAGTCAAGCTTGGCGCAAAGCGCGTTAGCACTGGACCATTCATTGGGCGATCGGGCAACTAGGCGACTAGGCGACTGGGAAGCGGCGGCGCGCGACGAGCGGAAACGACGTACCTGAGCGAGAAGAGTGAAAGTGCCGTAATCGCAGTGCGATGCGCAGGCGGGAAGGCCGGCTTCGGGTAGACCGAGGGCCGGATAGTAGACGAGTCTCATGGAGGACTGGTTGCCGGGCTCCAGTAGTTTGGTGTGCTTCGACAGCAGGAAGTCGGGCGTTTGCTCCAAGCCCACGGCCAGAGCCTAATGCAGACACACTCTCTTTGAGCCTTTCTCTTTATCTTTGTCAAAGTCTCTTTCGAGATTTGGCTTGTATTGCTTGTATTTGTGCAATAGTGCTGAACATACGGTGAGAAGCATGGTCGTCAGCTGCTTGAGGTCCGTGGCGAGTTGCTGGACAGCGCTGCCGAAGCCGGGCACCTGTTGGTCGGGCAACGGCTTGTCTTCGCCCGTCACGTCGAACGAGTGTCGCGCCGCCGCTCCCGCCGCCGCCGCCACCTCCTCCTCCTCCTCTGCCACCGCCGCTGCCGCCGCCGCCGCCGCCGCCGCCGCCGCCGCCGTCGGGCTCGACCTGTCAGCACACGCGCGGCGGTTCGCCTTAAGTCCTTCGGTCCGAGCTCGCACTCGCGTGGCCTCTCCACGGCTACAGTACCTCTCTGCGCCAGGCTTCACGTATCCGTGGTTCGAGGGCGACCGACGCTCGTACTTGGCGCGGGCCTCCTCGGGCAACTCGCAGAAGCCGTCCATCGCTCGGTACACGGCTTTCAGCTGTGGTCAGAACAAGATGCTCAGTCGATGTATAACGTATAGAGCTCGGTAGTCGGAAGGACAGCAGAGAGAGAGAGAGAGAGAGAGAGAGAGAGAGAGAGAGAGAGAGAGAGAGAGAGAGAGAGAGAGAGAGAGAGAGAGAGAGAGAGAGTGCGTTCGCGAGATTTGCAGGCCAAGGAGCTATGGGTGCGCGCGGTCGAGCGATACGGTCAAACGATAGCCGCTGCAATTTCCATGCCCTGGCTCGGACCCATTTCAAATCTATACTAGGAAAATCCACGCGCGCTGGTTGCAGAAGCGGTCTTTATTCGTTCGAGGCGCATTTCACGACTGATCGATGGCTTCGTTTTCTCCGTAAGTCCCCGACAGACTGACGTTGAATGACCTTGGCCGATCAGTCGTCAAACGCGCGATCGACAGCTGGCCGACGCTCGCTCCAGCAGCCTCCCAAATAACGAGTACGGAAATCCGCACTTTCTCTCGTTTTTTCTCTCTCTCTCTATCTCTCTCTCTCTCGAGACACCAGCCAATTTATTCGAGCCCTCCTATTTGCGTCGCGCAGTTCCCGATGTGACGCGAGCTCGCGAGCAAAAGCCAAGAAAGCCAAAACTGGTCGGCAATTGCGCCAAGTGCTCGCAGGCGTACCTTGTGATCGGGAATGCCGTGGTTCACCAAGAGGGCCAGTCCCTTTTCGGAGAGCGCCTGAACCAGCTTCACGGCGACCTGCTTCACCACTGCCTTCTGCGGGCATCGCTCCGTACCTGCAACAGCAAACTCTCGTTGATCTTACTGGTTGCAGCCAAACGGCCTCCCCGACGCCGTGGCGCGTGGGCTGCAGATGCCGTGGCTAATAATAGCGCAAGCCCGCGGAATTCGGCGCTCCGATTCTCGGGCGTCGCGGCTTTTCCCGACGGGACATCGACCGATCGACGCACATCAAAGTGCCGGACCAACAGCTGGCGGCTTCTTTCCCTGTGCTAGCACGCCCGGCTAATTGCCATCGTCACGCGAAAACCACCGCGGCTCGGGTTCGACGCCCCGTCGCTGCATGCGGATCTCGTTTGTCCGATGCTCTCGGGACGTCGGGACGTTGGCACGGGTCTGGCCGACCCGGCCGTTTTATTCAGTTTCAATCCGTCTCATTCCAAGCCGTTCACCTCGCGACACCAGCAACAGCAATCGTCGAACAAAGTGGGCTTCTCGATCGCTATCTAAATAATCGCCTAGCAAAACTTTCCGTCGGCGCTCGCCGATAAAAAGATTCATTACGTAAAGCAGCGCGCGCGCGCGCACGCGCCAAATGACGCGCAACGCGATAACGAAATGGCATTCTACACCGCGAGAACGATCCAATTGAAATCGAACCAACTTTGTCCGTGGATTTTTGCTTCACTGCTTTTCTCGTCGTGGCATTGCTCTCGTCGGTTCTCGTGGACCGACCAAGTTGTTGCGTTTCATCACAAATCAATCGAGGTAGAAGAATTCGATGGGAGATCCTCGAGGGTTGATCCGCTCTCCTCGTAGACACGCCGACAGCGGAAACGCGCGCCCAAACATTTGCTGGCGGCTAACCGAGACGCATCGCCGGTGAAGAGCTTTGGCAGCTGTTTGCAAGCACCGTGCCAGAGACGGCCAGAGCAGGCGCGGCAAGGCTGCTCGTCGGCCTGGGCGTGCAGACTCCAGCGAGCAGCGGAAGCCCGGAGCAAGGGCAAAATCTGCTGGCAGCCCAGTCGACGGACGGCCTTGGTCAGGCGGACGTTGCGCGCGTAAAAATGCGCGGCTCTCCGTGGACGCGACGACCTTCGACTCGATCTCGGTGGCTGATAAGTCATTGGAGCGGCCTCGCGGGCAATTGCACGTCCAGCTAGAACGATGCTGGCACTCGCCAGGGCGAACGAGCGATCGCGGCGCAACTGCCAGTGAGGCGTCGAACGAACGCCGCGGCGGGCAAAGAGTAAAAACCGGCACACGTGCGCGCCAGAGATACGGAACAAAGAGACGAGCGTTTCCTGTCGAATGCACCTCGCCAGACAGCAGCTGCGCGGCAGCCGATAAAGGGCCCCCGCCGCCGTTCCCGAATAGCCGAGTCTGCACGCGCTCGTTCGGTCAATCAGCCTGGGCATTGCGCGCGCATGTGGGTCAGCCAATTGCTGCACTTCTGACACGGAAACACAATTCGCAAAGCAATGCCACGGTCGACTTTGTGCTTTCCGAAGGCTCCTCGAGCGCTCGTTCGACCAATTGAAAGTGCCATTCGCGTCCCGAGATCGCGTCGACGCCGATTTCGGTCGCGGCCAACTCTCCGCTGGACCGCAGCTCGCGTGAACCTGGTTGAAAAGCTCTCGGCGGGCCCATTGTCCCCGATCGAGCTTTCGCGGAATCGCAGCCGCAGCGGCAGCCGACTGCTGGCTCGCGCGCCGGGAGAAAGTCTTCGAGCGGTCTATTAATAAAGCGGCGCATCGTGCGATCACTTGGAAAAACGCCGCGCCGCGCGGGTCTCTCGCTCGATTTTCGCGCGCTCGCCTTCGTTCTCGTCGCCGAATCGAGTGGAGTGGATCACTTTCTTCTGCTTGCTTAGCGGATGAGTCAACGTTTCTTTGTTCACTCTCCCTCCGAAGTGTCGAGCAGTGGCGCAGACAGACGCAAACAGACGCAAACAGACGCAAACAGACGCAAACAGACGCAAACAGACGCAAACAGACGCACAGCCGCGACACTCGTTACGCCATTGAGCAGGTCGCCTTGGAACCGATGCGTGCGCGCGCCCGTCACTCGGTCAGTAGGACTGCTAATCTGCGACGCTTCGAGCTCCGACGGCGCCGCCGCCGTCCATGCTTCGGCCGAGATAAAAATAAAGCGCTAGCGAGAATCACGATCTGGGCGCTAGAGCATAGAAGATCCGAATTTGCGCGTTCCAGACCTACGTACCCACGCTCGACAGCGTCTCGCTACTCCGTGCACGAAAAATACTCGGAAGATACTCGGAAACTACAGACGAGCCAGCGCTGCGCGCATGGCTTGGCTGACAGCCGTGAAAGTCCGATCGCAAAAGTCGCGAGGAGTATCGTTAGAGACAAACAACGGCCGAGACTAGAGTCCGAAATTTCGAAAGGTCGATTTCGAGTTGGAACGAGCAAACCGGACAGACAGGAGGCATTCAGCAGGCAGCAGGCAGCAGACTCGATCATCTCCTCTCTCCGACAGTCCAGAGCGAGCCAAAACTTGCGCCTCGTTTCGCTGCCTCGTTCCGCCGCCTCGATTCGCCGCCCGTCTGTTCTTCGAGCTAGAACTGGCTAGAAGCTCTCGCTCGTGCGCTCCTCGACGCCTGAAAATGCGAGTGGCAAGGTAAGCAAGCGCAACTTACCCACGTGCTCGAGGTCGATGATCGGGATCTCGCACTTGCTGAGAAGAGTCTCGCAAGTGCTGCTCAGCGTCACTGGCCTGCTCGTGCAGCTCATCTTGGACGTCGCGCGTCGAGTGTCGGCCGACGAACGCACTGCGCCGCACCGCGCCGATATCGCGAGCCCAAGATCAAAGCAGGAATTTGGCGGCACGCGCACGGTCACACGCGCACAGAAAAGGCTTGGCAAAGTCGGACGGGCGAAGGACAAGGAACAGTCGGGGCAGGTAGAATGGCCGCGAGGAACTAGCGGTAGCCGTACGTGGGCTGCGAGATGCGCTCGCTAGTTGCCAGGTCGAGTTGCCGGACTATGGCTCTGCTGCGGCGCGCGGTACTGTTGCAACGGTGGCGGCGACGGGCTTTCGCGACGGCAGAGCACATGCTACGACTCTCTCGACTCGATGGCGAACGACCAACAACTGAGAAACCAGAGACTCTTCAGAGCAGAGAGGCAGCGAAACGCGCCGCACGCCACTGCCAGACTGTCCCTACCGCTACCTTCCCTCTCCCCGGACCCCAACTTCCCACGCGCCGCTCTTCCTCGCCTCGTGGCTGCGGCCCCCTTGCGACATCTGGGCGCCGAGTGAGCAACTCGCTTGGCAAGACGCTTTGTCCGTTGCCTGCATTTCGCGACTCGAGTCGCCAACGCCAATCATTCATTTTTAAGTCAACTTGACAAGTCTTCGTTGGTCTTTCGATCAGTAAAGTCAGACTCGTTCGATTCTTGGTAAGTTCTGCGTATCATACAAAAACTACGATTGCGTGGCTCGTCCGACAACCGAAAATAGACGAGTCAGTTAGTACCCACTTTCGTTCGTAATTAATGCATTAATGAGCATTCAAAGCCACCGAAACAGTGTGCGCACTAGTACAAGCAGTGATTTTCAAACTCGTCAAATTAGTCGAAGCAACTCTTGGTAGTGGTGGTGTGTGCGTTCTGAAACACCTGACCTGGGCAATCATTTAAGATTGATAATTTGGGCCCTTACCCAAACAATCGTCATTTTTTCATCAAGGTTGAAAGGTTTCGCTCTCGACATTCTCTAAAGTAGACTCAAACATATCCCAATCCCTAATTAATTTGCACCTTCGTCGTCCAGGTTGGCGAGGCGTTAACCAGGCGTCAGTCTTGCGACAGTCATTGAAAGTCGAGCAATCGTATGCGCTGAGTGTATACATATAACGCGAACGGCGAAAGAAGCAGAACACCTCGGCAGCCTCGGGCTAGCCTGAACAGTGAACAGCCCACTGTGCTATGCTAAAGTGGCGCCCTCGCAAGGACCTCGCGACGAACTAACCAGGCAACTGCCAGCCACCTGCCGTTGGATTATGGAAATAGTAGAATTGAAACACTGACAGCTAGAACATAATTGTTAACTAAACTCGCAGAGAGCCTCGTCAATTGAGTAACTCGCTAAGACTCAAGCCGACGCAAAACGAGCGAACTTGGTAGCAGCAGAGAGAGGCGGTTGCCAGAACAGAACGCCCACCTGGCGCAGTGCCGCTGACAGCTCGATCTGAAATCTACAGAGCGGTTCTGTGCGCGCGCTCTACAGCTCTATAGCCGCGAAGGCGCAGCGAGCCAAGGACGAACGGTTGCTCGCTTTTCTTGCCTGCAGCAGGGTCCGAACTTGGGTTTTCAGCTCCGTCTCTTCGCTCAGCGTCAGGCTTGCTTCTCGATATTACGATTAGCAAGACGCAATTGGGCCGCGCGCACCGTGAATGCAAACTCGGTAGGAAAGCTCGCCATCTAGGACGCAAAGCACAGCAGAACAGCCGAGATTCTTATTGCGCAAACGTCTGTGCCGCGTGCGACCTGAAATGCAATGTGAAATGCCAGTTGACAACGTTGTGGCATCGTTTGAAACCAAGTGCGAAGGGGCTCTGTAGTTCGTCCACTAGAACTTGCGATGGCTTTGTTGGGCAGTCAAGCGAAAATATACATGTTTACAGCTCAGGCTGGATGCCCGCAACTTTTCTACTTGTTGCCACGAGCGAAGTATTTGCATCGGGGCATTCAGCGACCTGTGAGCTTAACGACGAGTGCTTCACTACTCTTTTGCTCCTTCATTTGTATTTCAATCAGTGGGAAGGGAGTTTCAATGCAAAAAATACAATCCTACTGCGGAGAGTAGCGGTTAATATTAATCATGACTTACGATGACGGAAAGAACAAAAGCTATGGTACGAAAGTAAGCGCGACGGACAATCTTGAATAAAAGCAACAGTCGGTTGTTGGCTCGAAATCGGAATAACTCGAACCTCTTCAGGCTACTTTGAAATGCCGATGGCCAGCCATAAGAATGCCCGCGCGGCGACTGTTACACGTCCTATCCACGTGGCAATCACTATTTGCAATCTAGTCCATGGACTGGGCGTGTGGCTTCCGACGGAAGACTCGCTCGTTCGCTCACTGTAAAACACGCTGGATAAGTGTCGCCCAAAGCTGAGCTTGCGCGTGGCTCTGTGGCCTCCGAAATGGTTACTTCGAAGTGAAAAGCAGCCTTTCGAAAACAAGCAAGAAGCCGAGGCCAGAGGACAATTCATTAAACGGCTATCCCGTGGCTGAGGAAAGTGGAAGCAATCCGTTCGGCTGCGCGAATGCTCGTCGATCGCCGTGCTTTAAAGCGCACGCAAGTCGCGACAATTGGAAATGACACGCTGATAAGAGCCGACCTAATGGCTCTCGTATCTTCCATTCAAAATCATCATATCGTATCATCATTATCGTGATTACCGGCCTTGCCGAAATTTACTGGACGTAGCTACGAAAAATTGACGGCCCACCGAGCGTCGAGTCATCGCACAGATAGACGAGCGCGATCGATGCCTCATTCCACCACTGTAACGATAGCATATCCACGCGATAGCTTGCCAGAGATGTCCGAGCTGTCCGCAAATACGACGGTTGCACTGTCGGTATTTGCGGACGACGTTCGAGTCTGCCGCGCCTACTCGTCGAGCTCTAGCTGATTGTCGGGCAGCTGGCGCTGCACGCGATCGGATGCACTGCTCGTCATGCCAGCCCGGTCGCTTGTTTCAGGCGCGCAGCTCGGACTCGACGTCAGCCCGGCGTGGGACGACGACGACGACGACGACCAGCTGTCCGAGCTGCAGGACGTCGTGCACACGGATTGGCCGCTGGACCACCTGGACGTGTCACTAGCGTAGAATTTGCGCGGCTCGAGCACGTTCGGGGCGCCAGTGTGTCGACCGTGACCGCATCGGGGCGAACACTCGTCCGAGCTGTGCAAGCATCACGCAAGCGTTTACACGGCCGTCGAGCGGAGTCAGTCCCGAGGACCGGCGCCTACCTGCTGTCGACGAGCAGCCCAGCCGGCTGCCGCGGAGCCCGCCAGCGCGAGGTGTCCGACGAGCAGATGCCGGGCACGGCCTTAACGAGGATCTGGACGAGAGCGAGAACGGAGAAGGCACCGTCGAGCGCAAGCGAGTGAAAGCGCGCACCAACCCTGACCGCGAAGAAAAGCAGCAGCAGTTGGGTGCAGGCGACGAGGCTGGTCATCGTGTACCCGACCACGGCGATCTTCAAGAGCATCCTACCGAGCGCGCTCGCGCAGCCCGGACCGTTGAGCGTTTTCACGTCCGCCTCCTCTCGCACGTCCGCGTGCGCGCACGGAAGGGCCGCACGTTTGTCGCAGCAGCTATACGGCACGCCTCGCTCGTCCTCGGTGTCCTCGACGTCCTCAGCGTCCTCGTCCCGCGCACCCTTGAAGAAGCCGTGAGCCGTGTGCGCCGTGGCCACCGCGAGCGACGTCACTCGGTACCTGCCAGTCGACGGACAGCCAGTCGGCGTACGAGGAGGCGCCGCAGCACCGCAGCCCGAGCTGCAGCTCGTCGACCAGCAGCTTGTATGAGGCGTTTCTCGCGTAGAGCCTCATCGCCGCGCCGAAGGCATCGCGCAGAGAGTCCACCTCCGGGTTCACCTTGCCGCCGATAAGCAGCAAGGTGAGGACGTTGAGCAGCAGGCCGACGGCCAACAGCGCGGCCACACGCCGCAGGCCTCGCCTCTTGCTCCACTGGCAGTCTCGCACCTGCTGCCTGAAGCGCCAGTTAGCGAGCCCAGCGTATCTTGCGGCCACGGCCTTACCTGCGCAGCGAGAGCACAGCGCCGACGGCAACAGGCAAGCCGAGGCCCGCGTCCACGAGGCTGAAGGCGAAGGGCGCGAGGGCGCCCGCGAAGCGCATGGCCCTCGAGTCGAGCAGCATCTCGAGGCCGAGCAGCAGCAGCAGTCGCTTGGTCTCGAGGACGCCCAGCCCGAGGGCGGCCCAGCAGCCCAGTCTGGCCTCCCGCGCGCACGGATGTCCTCCCCCCGGCCTCCCCGGTCGCTCCGTCGCACTACGCGAGCATTTCGTTGCTGTGCGCTCGGCGCAGACAAAGTCACCTCGAGACCTGGCACTGTTTTGCTTTGCGCAACAAGCAACGATGGCCGGATCAAGCGCAGCAATTCGAGCTGCAGTTCGTTATTCATCGGCCACTGATCCGTTGCGCGCAGCAAACAGCGGATCGCTCCACTGTCGACTACGGCCTTCGTGAGGACAATCGAGCCGACACGGCCCGTGCGAATGTGGCCGTCGACATTGTTGCCAGGCTAGAGCGCTCTTGTGCTGCTAAATGCGCCGACGACCGCGATCGGACGCGGAAAACTGCGCAGTTCCTTGCAATTAGTCGCTCGTTATTGCGTCCTTGAGTTGAGGGGCGCGCGCGCTGTGAAAAATCGGCCGTTCCAGTTTCGCGAGTCCGCGAGCGACGGAAACAAACACATGGCCATCAATTCACTAATGCGCGTTGTTAACACGAGAAACACAATAACGCCTCGTTTAGTTCTAACTTATTAATACTGCGTTGCGAAGCTTACAAAAGCAGTTTCTTCCTCCCTGTTACGCCAACAGTAGATGCACTGCTTTTTCTTTTCTGCTTCCGGCAATACAAACCTATCTCCTATGAATTTTCATTCAACATTTGTCACCATTCCAAACATAACCCAAATTCACGCTTATCTAGCCCAAACTCATGCTATTGTAATTTATTTAATGGGCATTTTCCAACAACACTGTAGCGATAATAGTTGCACCTTTCACATCCGAACGATTCAGCTGGCCAAATATAATCGATCTGTTGATTTGCTTTGGCGTCGCAGCCTGTTCGCAACACTATAACGTTCACTAATCCCTTAAATATAACAACTTAAAGAAATTAAAGAAATCAAATTCAAACGCACTACATTTATCTTGCTACAAAATCCATCACTAACTTCAAGGCTCATATCTTGTGTTTATATTACGCTGATTCTCCAATAGACACGAATTTCGTGCGTGACAAGTAATTTCGTCTACCGTAGTCGCTGAAAACATTTTTCTCGAGCTCCCTAAAAATTATTACAATATGTTAAATGAGATAATTACTAGGGATCCTGAAAAATAATTACGCGGGTAATATTTAGTAATTTTCTGCTGCTGCCTACTTCAAATAACAACATAACCTCAAAATGATTAGACCAACTTGAGTCCAACTAGTATATTTTAACAAAAGTGTACAAAATATTCAAATTTTTAGGCAATAGTTATAAGTAAAATTTGGTCAGATTAATTATAACATTACAAAAAATTGTTTGCAAGTTAACATAACCTCAAATTTATTAGACAAACTTAAATACACTGATATATTTTAATATAGGTATAGAAAATATTTCAATTTTTAACTAATAGTTACTACTAAAATATTGCTCAGATTAATTATAATCTTATAAAAATACGTTTGTAAGTTAGGATAATTTCGTTATCATTTTTGAGGTTATGTTGCATGAAATGATCAAATTACTGTGAATCAATTTTGAATCGTCCGGCCTATGAGTTTCTTTAAAAATAAATATTTGAAAATGTTGGACGCATGGGGCATGGTGACAGCAAGAAATAAAAAGCTGGGCCTTTGTTTCTAAATTCTAAACAATTTATTTAAGATGCTCTCACTTCAACGAGCAAACTAGCGCGCAGGGCCCAAACGCATATTGTACACGTACGTCAGCGCATGCGCGCACTATACAGCTTATGTATATGCAAGTTATTCTAGCAGAAAATGTTGTCTTAAAAATAATATTATTTAAGTTTAGAAATTTGTTTACATAATTTGTCAAATGACAGCTCAGTATAATTTCTGAAAAATAATGTTCAAACATTTATTTTGAAAGAAACTAATAGACCGGATGATCTAAAATTTATCCATAGTACTTTAATCGGTAAAAGCTATCCGACCTATATTTTTAATTTCGGGTTGCAAGCACAACTCGCGGTCAAACTTTCGACCAAAGTCTACCTATTAATTGACATTGGTTTTTATATCTATGGAATATTAAAGTGAGAACCCTAAGAAAAACGGATTATTTAAAAAAAAGACTAATCATTTATTTCAATTCTTAACATGATCGAGTTTTGTTATAAAATCGGAACATCAAGAAGCCGGCAGTCGTGTTAATTATATCTGACAATATTTGTGTAAAACTTGATAGAATGAATCAATTTTCAATATTGGTATAGCTAACTTTTTCAGTGTTCTATTGATTTTTCTTGATCACCGCCTATTATTTCTATAGTTACACTTTCGAAAAATGTTCGAATACGCATTTTTGAGGTTAGTAATACGGGAGCGACTTTGGAAAGCACCCGAATTATTGGAAATTATAAGCAGCGTTGCCAAATTATCTTACACAGAAAAAAGAAACGAGACAACTACTCTTATATATCTGTTTTACGGTGACGATACAGCCGTTACCACTGAAATACTGCTGTAATGTCTATCAATTCATGAAAACGGTAAGGAGTAAATGTTTTTGCGATTTCTTGCTAAGACGCGAGATGGCCTGCGGTTATGATCGCAAAACCAATTAGCATTGATGACACATTGCCTTGTACATGATTTTGGGATGCTGCTACTCCTTAATTTCTCAATAGTCACTACCTTTTTGATATTAATGACACTACCATTATTGGTGCATAGCAGAAAAGCTGTTATTTTCACAGAGTTTATCAACGCGTTAAATATGACATCTTTTATATATGTATTACTGATGATCTCGATCAACCGAGCTACGCACCCATCAATTGCCATCCAATAATTTTGCTTTCCGTGGATTTCACAAGCATCATTTGCGTATACGCTGAGGCTGTGCTTGTCTTGGAGTTGACGGTTCCTTCGTCACGGATTATGCAGCAGCTTGACACAGTAAGTCATAATTAGCGAGTTGCATTGACCGGACGGTTGCGTAGCGCTACGCAATAAGTAATACAAACGAACGTTTATGCGTTCATCGAGCATTACGAGAATTTTGGAAAATAGTGATAAAAATAGCGGACTGCTCTACGCTGTAGTGGAATGAGCTCGGCCCAGCCTCGGCCCTTCGCTTGGACGTTTTTCAAGCAGTGGCGCGTGTTGAGCAGCCACATACTGATGTGAGTTTCCAACAGCGATGCTCAGCGCTGAGCTCAGCACGCCGACAGTAAATTGTTAACGATGGTCGTTTGGCCGATAACGGAAACGATCAGTAGCCACGACTGCACTCGTGATTTTTCGTAACAAAGCTTTATTGTTTGAACAATCGATGCGTCAGCTTAGAAAAATTGGCGTAAACAAACTAAGCAGTATCAAAAGAAAACAGTGTAAATGTACGAAGGACACGGCACAGTAGCCACAAGTTGCTTCGACAACACAACGTGGCGATAGGTCAACTAGTCGTAGTGAAACTTGTAGATGTTGACGTGCGCCTTGTGCCTGCCGAACATCCAGTAGGCCAGGAAGGGGAACTTCTCGGTGAGGTAAATAGCCAGCCTCATCTGCGCGTTGAAGAAGAAGCGGAAGTATTTGGACCACCAGTAGGAGGGAGGCATCAGGTAGCGGTGCACCATCAGCTGCACGTTGAGCATGAGTCTGCTGTAGAGGCCCATCGACTCGGTGTCTGCAACGATCGGGGAGCATCAGTCCCGGCACACTGGCCGCCGCTCAGGGCGTCATACCGATAACCACCGAGTGGTTGTTGTTGGTTGCCGCGGAAATGGCCAGGTGCAAGGTGAAGGCGGTGTAAGCCTTGGGGTCCAGGTGCGGATTGACCGGCCACAAGCCCTCCAGCAGCACGCGGCCCATTTCGTCGAAGCTTTTGCTCTTGAGGGCGAAGCACGGCAGGAATACGTCGTCCAGCAGCCGCCTGCAGATCGCCCGACACTCCTCGGCCGAGCCACTGCACACGTTGAACCTGCGCGCCCACAAACGACCGGTCGTCACTCGGCTCGGCGCCAGTCGCCCGGGCGGGCAGACGGCACGTACCTCTCCTGCATTCCGAGCAGCCTGCCGACGACCCGCCAGAAGTGGACCAGACCCTCGAGCTCGGCCTCGGTCGCGCAGACGCCCAGCTGCTCGCCGCTCAGCAGGGTGAACCCGATGAAGCCGAACTGCGTCAAGGCCATGTCCAGCTGGGATATCCTGCCGAGGCCCGCATCGGCGCTGCGCCGAGAGACCACGCAGTGCTTCCTGCGCACGTTCTTCAGCGACTCGAAGAACCTGCCGAAGAGCAGTCGAGAACGCCGGTCAGTGAGCCGCGACTCCGCGACCGGCCGCCGCGCGGCCCGGGCAAGGCACTCACTCGTGCTGCTTCTGGGGCTCCTTCTCGTACCAGACGAAGGTGTGCAGTATCGTGGAGACGTATCTGCGGAAGGCCGTGCAGGGCGTGCCGCTCTGCTTGGTGAAGACGAGGATCTCGAGGATGGAGGGCACGGCCAGCAGCGTCAGCAGACCCGACAGCTTGGCGATCATCATGACGAACACGTTGTTGTAGAAGGCCTGCTGGCCCAGCCGGAACTTGCGCGCGTCGTAGTAGTCCGGCAGCCGCAGCTCGTCCGCCTCGTCGTCGGCCGGCGTGCCGGCGCCCTCCCGCAGCAGCAGCCGCATACGCTCGTCCAGGGCTGCACAGGCGAGTTGCTCGAGCGGCCCGTCCGAGACGCCGGACGCGCCCGCCCGAGGCCCGCGCCCGCGCGCGTCGCGGATGACGCGCGCCAGTTGACCGACCAATTGGCACCTCGGATCGGCGGCCGGCTGCGCTGCTCTCGCGGTCGGCCCTCGCTGCCCGGCGCGTCTCGTGGAAGCGGATCGGCGACGGCGACTGACCGGAGCCGAGCCAGAGTCAGCCTGTTATAGGCCGAGAGCTGCGGGACGCGCGGCCGATCCGGCACGTCCGCTCGCTCGCAGCCGCCTTTCGAAAATTGTTGCGAAAGGCTGCGAGAGGCCGAGCGCTTTGCTGCGCCGCGGGCGCTAGCCGGCTATCGCTGTCCTTTACGGGCGCGCGTCCTAATCGCGCGAGCCGCCGCGGATGCCGCGCTTCGCCTCCGCTTCGGGCGGCCCATTAGGCTCGCCTGCCTCGCCTACGGCCGAATAAGAATTTATGCTAATTGCTCGACGTTGCCGTGGACGCGGACCTCGCCGCGCGCCCGTCCTGCCGTCTTTCGCCGCGGTGTTTGCACGAGCGACCCACCTCGTCCGATGCTGCCGCTAGTTCACGGTCAGTCGCTCGAATTTTCGAGGCCGATCGCGGCCGAGCGGCACCTGCCCCCGAGCGTCCTCCGGCTCTCCGCGCGTTTTTCGCGAATCGCGGATCGCGGATCGCGGATCTTCGCGGAGGCGAGGCCAAAAGCCGACGGGTCAGTCTCGACAGTGCCGGCCTGTGCCGATCGTCAGCCCTTACCGTCCGACTCGCAGTCAAAGTCCGCGGCCTTGAGTGGCGACTGGCCGTCCTTGAAGCCGGATGCCGCCATGGCGTGGGAAAACTTGCACACCATCGGTTCGCTCGTGTCCTATCTCTCTCTGGATGAAGAAGCGAAAGCCCTCGGAGGCGGTCAGCCGCGGCGGGCAACTGGCCGGGGGCACGAGGCCGATGCGCGCGGCTTCATCCTCGAGATTCTAATGGCGCTTCGTCGCGATCTGGCGGCCCCTTTAACTCTGCTCTACTCTCATGCAACTGAGAAGTAGCAGCAGCGAATGCGGCGCGTCTGGCTGCCGCTGCCGCCGCCGCTGCCGCCGCCGCTGCCGCCGCCACCGCTGCCACCGCCGCTGCCTCGAAGCGTACTGTGCCGCGTGAAAATAGCGGGCAACGAGAGAAAGGCATGCCCACGGCTGCGCGCCGTCTCTTTCGTCTCTTTCTCTCCGCCGTTGCTCGGCTCTCACTTGGCGCTCGACTGCTCGATTGCTCGGCTGCTCACTGCGCCGACCGTTGCTGCTCTGCATCCTCGCCGAGCGTCGCCGCGACCTTTCCGATCGGCTCTCCATGCCCTCGACCTCTGTCCGACGGATGGCCGGCGCTGTTTGCGTGCTCGGCGCGTCCAAGCGGCAAGCAGCGAGTCGTCACGGGGCAAACTCTCGTCACTGCACTCGGTTGGCGCGGCTCAAATATTTGCGCTCGAGCTCTCTTCCGCGTCTCCTTGTCGCGCGTGGCTCGTTACACTTTGCACTCCGCAGCCACTTGACGACGACCGACAGTGTGCCCGACAAACACGCGCCGCTGCAGCGCGTGGCGATCCCTTAACGTCGGCTGTTCCCCGGAGCCGAAAGAGCCGAAAGATCCGCGGATTGGAAAGTCCGTTCCAGCGCAGCGTCGGCGCGCGGGCCAACGCACTCGTCGATCAAGAGGCAGGAAAAACGGCGCGCTTGGTTTTTCCGCGCCAAGTGAAAAGCGAAGAGCCAGTCACGCTCGGCTGCGGCCGGGCGGAAGCTCGTTACGGGCGATGAGCTTGCGGTTCGCGAGCGGCCGATTTCTCGAGCGCGACTACGTCGTTTTGGTCGTGCGCCTCGGCGAAAGTAGCGAGCAGCGGCGCGCGCGGACCCGAGCCGAGCCGAGCCGAACGATCTCTCGCTGTGGTGGCGGCGGAGGCAGCGGCGCAGGCAGCGGCGGCGAGGGAAAGTGCTCGGGCAGGGACCCGAGCGCCGACCACGGGATGCCGCCGCGCAGCGGTGAAAGCCGCCCGGAGCAGCTCCTCTACAGTGCGTGCCTTTGGGTGCTACGGGCGTCGCGCTCCGAATTTCTACTCCACAGCCGCATGCTCGTTTTTGCAACGTCGCCTGGCCGAATTGGCCCGGCGACTATCTGCTGGAAGCGCGGGGCGTCTGGTCGGCTGGTCGGCGATTCCAGTCGAAAGTGCTACCGAATGCTGACGGCCGTCGCATCAGCGCAGTCTAATTACACGGCTGATGCGGATCCGCAGGCGCCTCTGCGTGACGGAATTGGGCGCGCAACACGTGCGGCAGGCAGCGCGCGCGCATTCCTAATCGACAGCACGCTTCTGATTGCTTGCTCACGCCGCGGCTTTCTTCTCGTTCCGTCTCTCTTTTTTCGCTAGCGCCCCCGATATACGTACATCTAACGATGCTCTCTGCGCTCTCGCCGCTTTTGCTCAAACACTGCTTTACTTCCGCTTTTTACCATGACGCTACTCTAATCTTTGTCCTTTCCTCGAATATCGTCAAAAGCGTCATTGCTTATCTCCGTCCTACTTTCTAATTGCCAATTGTTTTCTATTGTTGCTTTATAGCCAGATAATAATCGCATTTTCGTGATGTTTTCACTAACGTCAAGTTCATACTGTTTTCAGCCGACTAATGCCCAATGTCTGTATATCTGTTCCGATGTTTCAGGTATAAAGTCTATTTAGGCTAATGGAGCAATCCATGCGAGTGACAGCGATAATGCCATACTCGCTTAATCAAGGTCAATACTGAATTTATCAATACGGACCGATCAATGTGACCAATTTGGAATGGAATCGCTACCCAGTCAACCCTTCAACGTCAAGCATACGTTGATACGGATGAAAAATTTTATCAACGAATCAACTACGCCACTGGTTCTTTGTAATTTTGCAACTGGGCTCGCTGCGCTTACCGACTCTTTTCTAATCAGTTTTGACAGTCCATCATTTACCAATCAAAACATATCGTTGCTGGCGCATTTCAAACCTAAACATTAACTTTCTTTCGACGGTCTTTCTACACAACAAACAATCATTTCATACCGAACTGGGATCAGTTTTTAAACAACAACCTCTCGTATCTCGCAACAATACGTTCCGTTCTTCAGACGTGTATTTCAAATTAATAAAGAAGAAAGGCAGTGGCAGGGAAGAAAGGAAGATCCATGCTCTGTGTTTACGATAATTTTATTTCATAAGATCTTTTATGAAACTTAGTAAGAAAAATTTTTTTTCAATATAAAAATAGCTTAAACGGCTAATGACATTCAATGAAGGCCAATCTTATAATAAAAGCGACATTAACAAACTATATAAATAGTTAAACAAAAACAAATATCTTGGAAATAACGAAAGCTGATTTTTTACGCTTAAAATACCTTTAAAAGTCGCTGATAAAATATATTAAATAATTGTCGGTTGGGGGAGTTTCTTAAAATTTTAAGTAAAAAACATTTCCAACTATCTAAAAATCATAGCTTATAAAAAAAACGGCCATCTTCACTAGTTAATTACAGAACTCATCTGATTTTGAAGATGTCAAACTTGGACATTCGATCAGTAACAAGATAATACAAAGGAAAACAAGAATCATTGATGTATATCTATTAAGTGATACCGTATCGTATTCTCTTTGAGTACCTTTTCTTCTTTTTTAAGAAAAACTTCGGTATGATCGCATTTTTCAAATTTCTATATTTTTCGTCGGCTGTTAAAAGACATTCTCATTCATATTAAAAATAAAATTTCAACAATTTCATAGATAAGCATTTTATACGGACTTAGAACACTAAGAATCTCAGTAGTCTCGACTACAAGCAAATATGATTCCTTATACTTTGCCCTTCGAAACTCTCAAGTTCAAGGAAACAACATTGATCACTCTCTTCGTGTACGACATTATTTACGTGTACACATTTATAATATGGCAGCAATCTGATATACAGATTTTACAATAATTGCGTTGTAACAAAAAGCTTTTTTGTCAAACTCTTGTTGTTGTCGACGCGATTTCGAACGACCAGTCGTGATGTAAAATTTTATTGTTTAATTATCATGAAATTTACCAATTTCAGGGATATCTCTGAAGGCTAAACATATATTTTTGATTTACAATTTAGGCCGCGTACTATAAAAACATAAAAAGAGAACGATCGGCATAATTCAATTCCTTTGTTTCTATTTGTATTTGATTTAACATAAAAACTTATTCTGAATATCAGCTAGTAAAATCGTTTAAATGCGTAACCTTCAAAGTGCGCGTAAGTTGCATAAAATAAATAATCAGCGTTCTTGCAACTTGTTATAAATAGAGTCCCAAGAAGAAAGTAGAGAATCATTAAAATAATATAAGCACCCGTTACTTTAATGCAAACAGTTGTCAACCGATGAACAGTTGGGAGTGCACTAAAAATCTTCACTATTTTTTCGTCGATATTGCTAATAATCGCCTTTTTTCATCTATTATTTGCGATTTTATGGTACCTATATTGCGCTTATTTGTATTTATTCAACATAAAATTATTCATAGCGAATTGCTGGCTTTTCATCATTTTTTCTCTACATCCACTATTCAACCGTATATAACTATTTTCAACGTAGCTTGCTTTACAATCTTTTTACATCGCTTAAACATCACTGGGAGAAGGGGGTTCACCGTTCACGTCAGTTATGTTGGCTCTTCCTACTTTTAAAAAATTACTTTGTTAAATATTTTGTCGCTGATTCATTTTTTTTCTTTCGCTTGACGGTGTTTTATCAGCTGACACGAACTGAAACCACACAATATAGAACATATGATGAATGCCATTTACAAAGCTTAACTTATGTAATTGTGAGGTTACTCATACAAAATGACGTACGTTGACTTTGGAATTTTCTAGCGTTTATAATAATAAACAACGTTCGTGTGTTACTCTGCTGTGTGATTTCAAATGCTCGTGACAGCATTTTTATTTGTCTATTATAAGTGTAAATTTTTACTTACACAGCGCCCTTTTCAACCAACTTCCAAATCCAAAGTTAATTATTATTGTTTTAATAGTCTAGCGTACTTAATCATTCACAGTGCGTACTCAGCGTAGGAACATAAAAGGGCAACCCAGCGAAGCCATTCTGATCACGCAAAAACTAACAAGAGTTTGTTATTTATTAATCTTTTTTAGCTGTATTCACTTGAAAAAATAGGTTTGTATCAATCGCGCGAGGACATGTGATTCCACACTTTATAAGCATTCATTTATGAATTCGAATTTCAATGGGACACCATCTTATTTCCCTCGGTCACCATATTTATCTATTATAATTTCAGTGTGATTCCATTCGAGGAATACCTTAAACATTTTCACAGCCTCGCCAGCAAATCCTATAAATTAACCTTCAATTCAGTCGCATTGAAGAAGAATCGAACAACGACGATTCCAATTTCGGATTCTGGAATAGTCGTCTGTTCTTACACTTTTTCCTCTCCCTTAATAGCTAATTGAAAATTTTCTAAATTACTTTCTCTTAATCGGTTAACTTATCTATATACACTGATCTTATTCTGATTATTATTAGCAGGCTGTTGAATTTTGTTTCTGTTTTCCTTATTAATCTATGCTTATCACGAAAGAACGGCATTTTTCTCTACCGTATCTTTGCAGTCTTGAATAGATAACTGTGCGATTTCGGTCACTACTTCGTCAGATGTGTTTACTGTTGCCACTGACTTCTTAAGAATAGTGTAACCTAAAATAAAAGTCATGCTAAGATGTGTTACAATAACTTTCAAGATTTGAATGGAAACCGTCATAACATACCTTGATTAGTATCTTCCTGTTCATTAACTGTCATCTTTGAATTCGTCTTTATTTGTCCATTCGATTTAAACTTCTTGTTAGTTGTAACTTCTTCTCCGGTACCATTATTTCCTTGATGAATTTTAAATATTTTAATAATGCTGTTTACAGTCGACTGGGTACGTTTTGGACTGTCCGATGCTTTTTGTTTAACGTGACCGTTCCACCCCGTACTTGCCTGCACGTCAGGCTGAGATCCTTTTGACTGTTCGTCCACATCTTTATCTTGAAGCCTTTCAACTGGATTTAAGTTTGTTACAAATTCGAAACTTGTCTTCATGCCATTCTTCATACTTTTGTTAGCATCTTTTGCCCAAACCTATTATAAATAATATTAATAAATTACTGCTCATCAATTATAATTAAAATAATACGAAATTTTCTCTCTAATGCGATAAAAATCTGTACCTTTCCGTCATTCGTACCAGCTTTGTTTCGGTTGAGAACTGTCTTAATGGACCTTCGTTTTTGATTATGATATTGCTGTTTCACTTCTTTCGTTTCTTGTATATGAGATTCGGAAGACGATGGCATGGGATTTTCTACAGGTGAACTCTTACTTTCTACTGTACGATCCGTGAGATCTTTAAACTCTTTTAAAGCGGCAGCATAGTTTAAGGCTTCTGGTTTTTTGGGGCTGACCTCGTTCGTCACCTCCGCGATCTCTTTCGGTTTTGGATCTTCCTCGTCAAGATCCGTTACCTGAACATTATCGAGTTCGTTAATTCCATCAAAAGTCTTCTCCAAACTCTTTAAATTCTTCTCTGGAGAAGACTGAGAAATATTATGCTTATTTTGCAATAGTTGATCTCTTTGAAGAACCTGTAAGTAATAATAAAATTTGTACAATGTTTAGACTAATACAAGCAATTCAACAATGAGAGTTTGTAATTCTGCTCATTAATAATTAATTAATAACCATTAATAACCAACAATCTAATTACCTTCACTGGAGATTTCGGCTTCGTTGTATTTTCCATATTTTTCTTCAGTGGAGGTGCATTATTACGATTTGAAGTTGACATGTTATTCCTTCCGTACGAGTTTCCCTTGTACATTCTGACGAATTTCACAAGGGGAGGATCTACGACATTTATGCCCGTAGATTGATACTGTGATGCGGATTGCTGTATATGCGGGGGTGGTGGTCCAAGCATTTGCTGTTCTTGCTGCTGCATTCTATGAATCTCCGCTTGCATTTGACTCTCCAATTTTAAATGGCGTCGCTTAAAATCCGTAGGTAACATGTGCTTATGCTGTATCATGTTAAAATCGCTGTAGGGATTTGCAGGGATGGGATTCATCTGAGACGAAAAGTATACGTTTAAAAAACCAACGTAAAATATAAATGAATAAAGTACAAATGAATATTGATCTGATAAAGATCAATTTTCAGGTGATACTTAGCAATATCTTTTCAAGACTCATGTAGCCATTGTACATTTTACATGATCTTCAGAATCGTTATAGATTAAGGGAAAATTATTACCTGACCACCATAGCTTGGAGGCATATTGGAGTTAACATACTGAGGCATCATTTGCCTGGGCAGTTGTTGAAAATGGTATTGCGAAGCTGGATACGCAGGGCAGTTTTGTTGTTGTGGTTGTTGAGGAGGTGGAAGTTGTTTTGGCATTGGCTGCTGGGGTAACGACCTGCCTCTTTCACGGTAATTAAAGCGGTCCGAGTCAATTCGCGAGCCATTACCATTATTGTAAGTGCGTACTAGCATAGGATTTTGCTGATAAGCTTGTTCATTTTGACTCACTGGTACTGGATTCTGTTGTGGATAACCATACTTATCGTAGTTTGAACAATCATTACTTGATAAGTTACTAACTATGTTATGTTGATACTGAGGTGGTTGAGACATCATATATGAATTCTGCAACATCTGCTGATTCTGCTGGATCTGCTGCTGTGGAACTGTTGATACTTGTACTTGTTGAGGTATTTGTTGCGGAAGTTGCTGAGGTTGTAATTGGATTTGTGGTTGCTGTTGTAATTGTTGCTGCCGGTGTAGTAATTGTTGTTGAAATTGCTGTTGCTGATGTTGAAATTGCTGTTGCTGATGTTGAAATTGCTGTTTGTATTGTTCCTGGACCTGCTGGTGCTGTTGTTGCTGCTGTTGTTGATCGACTGGTTGTGTATACTGAGGTATAGGAGGTTGGCCATCTATCCACGTCTCTTGCTGATTTACTTCTCGCTCTCTCTGATTTTGAACAGAAATCCACACTTCCTTCAGTTCTCCTGTGATATCTCGATCTTTTAAAATTGTGTAAATACGTTTGAATACTATTCCTTTATTCGTAGACTCCAGGAAATCTAGTAGTACGTCTACAAGACTTGATTGCTCCTGTAATAAAAAATCATGATGTTTCAGTATCTATAAAACATCTATAATTAAAATAGCACTTGCCAGTAAGAAAAAACCAACCAAAGATTCATTAAATTCTAAGGGCAAAACTTACATTTTGATCCTGGGCATTTTTTCCTCGCTGCTTGAGAACTTCAGGATGGACAATAACTGCAAATACCTTAGTATTTTTGTCTTCAGTTCTAGGTGGAGTGAGCGGCATACCACCATACAGTGGAAGAGGTTCGTTTGGACTAGTGGGCATATCAACTTTTTCCCAAGATAAAACGTTAATATAACAAGGGATTGATGAGCCCTACAGCAAGAATAAGCATTTTAACAAGTATTGCAGAAATGACTATGAGAGATAGATGAGAGAAGACAGACCATGATATAGTCCTTAATACACATATGAGGCTGGGGTGGATTCTTGAAGCTTCTGGCGCCGTTGCGCTTGGTCCTTGGAGGTGCACCCTCGCTCATCTTGAGACAACCTGAAAACTAGTATCACAGGTCTGAACTGCAATGTGCCGAGACGGCTTGTACACGCATTGTTCCTCGGGACGTCAGCGAGCGAGTTAAGAACATTTAACACATATGTTTAAGAACTCTTAAGCTCTACAATTCGATTAAGACACACTTGCTCGCGACTTGCTAGTAGGCTTTAATACTGCAAAGCAGCAGTAGAGTAGCCCGTCCTCTAGGCACTGAAGCTTTGAGTGCGAGAGAGCGAGAGTGAGGATGCGCGCGCGGCAGCTTTGCGCGCTTATCATGTAAGCGATACACCGTCGACGACAATGAAGCAGCGACACGTGAGTGCAGCAGTGCGAAAACACTGCTCTGCAAACACGAGACGAAACGAGCAATCCGCAAACAAAGCACTTTGAATCCACTTCCACGTACCTTCGCCGAAGATGATCCGCTCTCTTTCTCTATCTTCGTCTCGCTCGTTGGCTCTCTCTCCCTCTCTCTCTCTTCTGATCGCTTTGACCTAACCTCCAATAAATTGGCTACTTGTACGGACGCTAGTTCTTCTCATGAGCATCCGTGGAATGGCACTAATCTCGCGAATGATTAATGCTCACGACAAGAGGTACGAGTACAAAAGGAACGCTAAGGGCAAAGCCGATGGACCACGATCTTACCTCTACGTATGCGTGTCCACTTGTGAACGAGTAAAAAAAGCACGAAGTGAGCACAACTCGGTGCTCTTAGTGGAAGCAGGCAACTCGTTGCATTATCAGCGAACAAGAGAAATAGGTCTGCGCACGCGACACGATGCTGCGCTGCACTGCGCGTTAGCCCGTCTTCGTCGAGAGAGGGCAAAGAAAGAGTTGTCTCGCAGCTCCTTTTGTTTATTATTTGTCCCTGGCTGGATGGCTGGCGACTCCCGAGGCCTGTGCACATACACACAGCACTTGCGCCACTGTACTACGCGTGTCAGACAGAGAGGGAAAGCAACGTATTGTCCGGAGCTGCCCCCTGCAGCCAGCAGGTTTCCTTCGACATCAAACTTACGAAGTGCGGACTTGCCCCTGCCTTAGCCAGGCTGCAGTGTTTGTCAAATGGCGACATCGTCTGCTTCTCGCGAGCAACCTGTCCAGTTACGTTAACCAACGTCCGTTTACTTACCGATTGACAATCCTTGCGTAAACAGACCTTATCTCGCATTCAAATATTTTCGTTTTCTGAGATCGACAAAGCAGCGAATTCCTTCGACGGCGCGAATAACCGTCCTAGTGATATTCCGGTGTTTTGTCCTGAAGGCTGGTGTTATCGGGCTCGCTAAAGTCCCTATGGTCACGATGCTTCTAACAGGCTTTAGAAGAACAACGGTCTCTTTCTCTTTTGCTGCGCAAAACAATTAGAAATATCCTACGAAAGTAGTCTTGTAAAAAGCAGTTTTGGGAATAAAGGAATTGTTTTTAATTTATAAAACAGCATGGATTTGTACGTAAGAGTATTTTCAAATGATCGCAAACTGGCATGTTTATACACCACTTCCGTCGCTCTCCTACGAATCTAATCTGTGCCGGATATTGATAAGTTTTTACGCGTAGCACATACGAGCGTAACACTGCTCCACGATCTAAATGGCAGCGAATGATTATTATGAAACAAAATTACTTGGCGTATATACGTGCAACTCAGATGATGACATCACCTCTCTGCTCTTTGACAAAACTGTTGACATAATGCATTGTATATGAAAATAAGCTAAAAGTAAGCAAAATCGTAAATGGTCATTGCTCGAGTCGAGCAGAAGAAATAACCTTATCGCAATATTATGCTTAAAATTTAATGACTTTGATTCGCATTAATAGCATTGTATTCGCCGGTTCTAAACGAAAACAAAACAGTCGATTGATCGGAGGCAGTGGCGACTGGCGAAAGTATAAAATGATTTGACTGAGCGCGGACATGCAAATGTGAGGCTTATAAGACTTGGTGAGTTTTCCAGGTAGCCTTATCCTCGTAACAATATAACATTACATCCAATGGTCTTTTCGTCTTTCGGTAACTCGCGACAAGATTGAGCGTGGAGCTGAGAAAGTTTACATCCAGTCGATTACATCAAGTAGGTTCCTTCCGTCGATTGGCGAAAGAGCCGCGCAACCATTTCAATCTCGCGCGAGGGCGAGAAGGCGAAGAGCACTGGCCAATATATTAATAGCATGTTATTATTCGTACGTGCTTTCGACGAGATGCAGCCGGTGCACTGCGCACAGCTTGGCCGCGCGCGGAGCGTATCATTATCGCGCCTCGCGCGCAACGGCGACTATCGATGTACGCCGATCGATGATATTAATAGGCGCTAACTATAGTCTTCCTCTTATTCTGGCCAGCCGCTCGTAGCCCCGAGAAATGCCCAGTACTCATTGCTTGTTTTTTCCCGTTCGAGCTGGTTTGTTTGCGTGTAACTCTGCCGCGAACGCTGTTGTTGGACTCGACGAGCCAGCCGGTGGATTGAGAAGCGTCGCAAGCTAGTAGCAAAAGGCGCTTTGGCACACGAGCGCACGGGAGAAGTGGTGTGCTCGAAAAGTCCGCCGACAATGTGAAATCATGGGATATCCAGCCACCGGAGGCGAGAAAAAGACGGAGAAATTGCCGGTAGGGAGGGAGGGAAGGAGGCTCGAGCGCGTACGCACCAAATACTTTCTTTCTGGCTGGCCGTCGGAAAATTTACAAGGTGGTTGTTGCTTTTTCGAGACGCTCGCCGCCGCCGCCAAATTGGCCTAACGGTAAGGATGATTATCGAACAAAGCAATTTGCGAGCTTCATATTTGATAATCCCGCGCGAACCAGGTGCAGCGCTCGTAAAGCTTCCCTCTTTTAATTTGACGGAAGCGCGCCGGGCGCGCATTTGCATCGATACGCGGGGTCGAACACACGGATCGCGTTTGCGTTTGGGGAGCAGATTAATTAATTGACTTTGCCGGCGATCGATAGCCGCTCGGCGCCGTCTGCCGCGTCGCTGTCGTTTTCGCTGTTCGCCAGCCGAGCCGCTGCAATGAATTCGTCGACCGGAGAGGAACGCACAAAAACAGACATTCGCGTGTCGCGCCCGCAGTTGCCGCAGCTGCCGCGATTCGGGCGCGATTTACAGCCCGCACGCAATCTCTCAAAGGCGAATAATTCAGCCGCGCTCGATTTTAATTTAAGGCCGTCTCGCTGCGGCTACGTAAGTCATCGCCGGAGAGGCGAGCTTCACGATTAGGCAGGCGAGAGGCGGCGAGCGAGAGAAAATAAAAGCGAAAAGGAGGCAAGGCGAGCTGAGCTATGCGAGCCGAGGGGCAAGACAGCCACACGCAGCGCCAAGCCAGACGTGTTTATAGTAATGAGGCTTGTCGTTATTTGTCGGACGCTGGGCCGCGCGCGAGAGGCCCGATTTATCGGCGATGCCCGCCTGAAATCTCGCCGGCCGATCTTCTTCCGAGCCTCCTGCGCCAGAGCTCGCGTGAGCTGCGGGCCCGTGACCATCCCCGGCGCTCCTGCCGCTTTTCCAAGACTCTGCCGCGACTCGGGCCGCGTCGCCGATTATCCTTCCCGGGCGTTTACCTCCTCGTAAAATCGCGTCGCCGAGGCATTATAAAATAATTTGGAGGCTAGTCCACTCGAACGAGCCGCGGCCAATAACGAGCTGGTTGGGCGCGCGATTTCGTCCCTCGAAGAGACGCGCGCGCCTCGGCCTCGTACATCATCCAATCGAAAGCGCTGGCGGCGCGCCTTCGTAATGAGGCCCCGATAACACGACGAGCGTGTTCGGGCCGGCAGCGCGCCACGGATTCGAAGGGAAGAGGAGGCCGCCCGGCGCGCGCGCGCGCGCGAGAGCCACGATTACGGCTAACGAGCGGCTTTTTAGCGCACTCGCTCGTCGCTCTTTTTTCATCGCGCCTGGCCGGCCGCCGGCCGCCGGCAACCTACCTCCTGGCTGCACACCGAGCGCTCCTCTTTCTTCGCTCCTTCGCTCCTCCTCTCCTCCGCCGAGAGTTATGCCTGCCTATTAATAAGCTGCACACGGGCAGAGTTTCGACGGAGCCTCCTCGTCGAGCGAAGCAGCAGCGCGACGCGCGATTGGAGGAACGTCGGGCCGAACGTTGAGCAGGGAGGACCGGCTTCGAGGACCGGCTTCGAGGACCGGCTTCGAGGACCGGCTTCGCGGACCGGCTTCGAGGACCGGCTCGGACGGAGGCGACGGGCAGCAGCAACGGAGTGCCGAGGCTGCGAGCCCGAGCGATGGAAGCGATCGATGCAGGCGCGCCGGGAGGATGTCATTGGGCACGCCGGCGCCGATTACGCCGGGAGACGTGCGATCGCGCGCCGTGTACGTCGGCGCAGCGGCAATCAACACGGGCTTTTCCCACAAGAGCTATCGCAAAGAGCGCTGCACGGCGCGTAATGATAGGCCGCTCACTGGCACTCTCGTTCTCGCTGTTCTCGCTGCTATCCGCGCCAGGGCAGCGAGCACGAGGCCTCTTCTCGTCGGACACTCCTTCGCGCGTGTAATGCCCCGCGGACGAGAGCTGCCACTTACGAAATATTTTCTCAAATTGCGAAATTCCGTATTAGGCTGGCCGCCAGAGAGATGCTCGTTATTAGAGGGCTGGACGCGCGCCTACGTGCGCCAGCACGTGCTTCAAATTTATCGCGGCCGGCTCTGCGGCGGATCGACCATTATCGCATTCGCACCTTCTTCCTCGCTCGTCGTTTCCTCGTCACTCCGACCGACTGGCTCTCTCGCCGCTCGTCGCGATCGGCATCGGCGGGGCCATCTCCCGCGGCTGCCGGGCCCAGGCGCGAGCGCTTCGTGCCTCGGAACGGCTGATCGATGGCCGGCCAGCGCTGTTCCGAGCGCGGCCAGTTCATAAATACGCCACGCTGGCGCAGTAAATCTGCTATGCTCGGGTGGTCGCCCGCTCGTTGTTAATTACCGTGTTTTAACACCTCCCTACTTTTCTCTCTCGGCCACTGGCCGCTGGCCGCTCGCCGCCGGCCGCTGGCCGCTCGCCGCCCGCCGCCCGCCGCCCGCCGCCCGCCGCTCGGCCGTCGCACGCAGATGCCTATCTGCCGGCTCTCGTCGCGGCACCGGCAGCAAGCCCATTTACATGCAGATTATCGGCACTTGGGCTAATCGAGTTATTTATGTGTGTGCACTGCTGCCCCCGCCCCAACTTGCCTCCTTTCCTCCGAGCGGCGCTCGCACATTTATCAGGAATGTGGCTCTCGCGGCGCAATTTGGCGTCGCTTCACGAGGTTCCGCTCAGTCCGCTCAGTCCGAGGCTTGAATATTGATCGATTCCACTGGCAAGTTGTTGCGCTCGCAAGTCCGTGCCACTCTCGAGCTGGACGGCTCGTTATTTTGGTCCGCCTCGGCTGCTTCGTAAGCGCGCCTCGCTTTCGATAACCACAGAGATGCAACGGCAAACTGGCCAAATTGATCGCGGCCTAAGGATCAGCGCCAAGTTGAATCGGCTGCAGGCGAGCGCGGCAGTTACGAAGCCGAGGCCGCGGAGAAAGATTATAATGAGAAAAGGAGAGCTGGTTCGTGCCGCAGCCAAATTGGAAGGAAATCGATCGTCGCGCGCCGCTTCTCTGTGGGTATAACGAGTAGTAACCAGAGAATACGCAGAGAGTAGGTATAGCATCGGCGTCGCTTCCTCGCGGCTCGGCGGCACTCGGCGGCGCTCGGCGGCACCGGCGGCACCGGCGGCACCGCCGGCACGGCCGACCGAAACGTCGACGGCCCGAGGAGGCAGCAGGCAGCAGGCTAGATGCAGCTGGCAGATCAATCGCCGAGAAAACTATTAGGCAGCCTGCCTCAGGAGCTTGGAGGCGCGCGGCGAGCAAGGCGGAAGCGAGCAGAAGGCTCCCTCGTGGGCGTTCTGCGCCCGAGCGCGAGTTATCGTTCTGGCGGGGCGACAAAAAAGGGCGTGCAGCCGATGACCTACCAGTTGAACCAGTTGAGCCCCGGCGCGGCATTAGCTATTAGCGGCATACATATTTATGGCGGCCGCTACAGTGCAGCTTGTATCAGAGCGGGCTTAGCGGGGGGATGGCAGCGATCTCGCAGCCGAGATAACGAGCTGGCAGATCGCCGATAAAAGCTCGCGCGGCTCGTGCGAGAGCTGGCCCGGCATTTGCATGCAGTCGCTGCTGCCGTGGCAGCGGCAAAAATTAATTGATTCTCCCGATAAGCCAGCCCCGTGCTAAGAGAGAGAGAGAGAGACTTACTAGCTACTACGATTATTGTTTTACAAGCCGCGCCAGTGTCGGCCACTTGCTAGCCGCGCTGTTTCCTTTTTCCCGGCCGACAGAATAAATCTCGAGTTTGAAAGCTTATTACTGCCACG